ACATATGATTGATGCTTTCGTTGGATCGATCTACTAAGATTCCGACGGCTTGGAAGCGGGCAACATTTCTCCCAAGCGAATCAACTTCCTGCGGTCGAAATATCTAACAATTTAATATGTACGATGTCATCTGGGAGAGTACATATGTATGCACGCAGTAAGGGGTTCGGACATCGATTCTACTTGCAGAAAATATACGTCAATTTAACGAAGCGATTCGGTAATGTAATTTGCCTCAGGCAGTACGGCGGTATATGTAGTACATAGGTTTGCTGCAAACTGCAATGCAACTGTTCGTCAAGCTGATCATGCATTGATATTTGTATCGTCGGTCTGATGCCTGTATGTACGAGCCGTCTTGCCGATTTGCTACGGGGTAGGTGTGTGGCTTCCGACTCCCCTGCGCAAGTCATCATCTTCTGAAAAGTGTGCGTTTGTATAGGTCCAGTATGCAGCAACTAGTAGCTACTGTACAATACATGTAGGTTGCTGTAGCCTGTAGGACCAGTGTAGGTAGGAGGTAAGTCAGGTAGTGAACATCACGATACTACAAACATGCATATCCCTTGATATCTGGCTGTGCAAGCTACTCCTAACTCCTCCAAAGTCGAATAGCCTGTTAGACATACTTTAGTGTGGCCGTGAATACCGGTTATTACTGCAGTAAAGCCAAGCACACGGACTATAACTTCTCGACCTGCGTACATAGTACTATGCCGTATAGCGTGGACTCCGTGGACTCGTGGAGAGCAATCAACGTGGAGCGCATCTGGAGAATATGTATTTCGGGGAGGACAGGGTTCCAAGGACCTTACCTAGTACATACCAGAGATTGTCAATCTAAGGGGTATTTCCTAGTTGATGCCTAGGATGCATAGGATACCTACTAGTAGTAGTACTGTACGAAGTAGTAGACTTGTAAATTACTTTAGCTTGGCTGTATGACACAATATTCAACCTTGGTAACATTGCTTTGAGTACATAGTTGGGTATGAATTATGTAGTAACTACTAACTATGTAGTATGAATGTCTGACTTCATGTTGTCTTGTCGCAGTATGTTTCCGTAGCCAAACCACGGAACCCTGGTCCGCCCAGCCCTTCTCTTTTTTTTTCTTTCTTCCCTCCCGTACAAGCCCCTCTTGAACCACAGCGGCATTTATAATTAATAGTTAATGTCTGTTCGCTTTCCAGCTCAAGGGCTCATACACACATACATACATACATACATACTTACTGCGTATACAATATGCACAATGCCTTATGTACAATACCTAGCTGGCTGCTGAATAGCATGTGTGTATTTATATATTTATAGTACAGTATTGTTACTATTGTACATAAGCCTGTAAGTAATAGGCTGGAGCCTCGAGGTAAATAATAAATAAGCAAAAGTAGGGGTATCTTAAAAGCGAGCAGGAAATAGGAAATTTTGTTCGACTACTACCGAGATTGCGTGTCATAATGCAGTAAAACAAGCACTAAATAATACCATGTATGTACTAATGTAATAGCGAATACGCTTGTTATGTAAAACGGACCCAGACACTTGGGTCTCTATGAGTCTATGCATTCTTGCTTTGTCTGCTTTGTCTGCTTGTCTGGACTCTGGAAGTTCCGCGGCGTTAGCACTTGTCAGGGAGCTAGGTTTCTATTCTATCCTATCAAAGCTCCCAGCTCTTTCATTATTATGATTGGTCAATTCGTCAAAGCGTTACGCATGTCCTTTAGAAAGCTCTTTGTGAAGTGAGCCTCATTTGCATGTATGTTTCAGTTGGCAGACCTCTCGGATGCATGTATTTACCTACCCTAGGTAGGATAGACTGGATAGTACAGTTAGGTATCCTTGAAGAAAGATGCGCATCAATCAATTGAAGTTCAATGTTTGCTCTGGCGCACATGTGGAGAGAAGCGGGAGTTTATGTACTTGTTATTATCGTGTACGAAGTACATATATGTAACTACACATACATGTATGTAGAATCAGTGCAGATGTATGGAGGAGATATGTATGTACAATACCTAATAACTACTACCTATTAACCCTATTAACCTTACATATTAGCCCTAACCGTCATACTACATAAGTAGTTATGTACTACTACTAGAAAAGCTACCTTACTATTAAGGTTCAAATGCCCCCAGGGGTCACTGGTTCTTCAGGGGAAGGTCTTGAGGGATGTCGTATAATCGTATGTATGTCGTACTACTTACCTATCAGTTTAGCTTTTTTGGACCAGCAGCTAGTTAATGTTCCTAATGTTTTCTTGAGAGAGAATCTTATGAGACTACTGCAGTACTAAAGGTATGTGCTCACTTAGGTAGTTACCTAGTAACTAGTAGTGAACTGCCCCTAATCAACATTTGAAGACCCACGGGTAGGTACCGGGTAACCTAGGTACTTGAGCCACCAAACACCGTAGTACCAGACCATGCCATCCGTCCAGTGACTCCAGTCTGTGCCATCTGTGCTAGTACATAGTTACCTAGTACCTATGGATATTTTACTGGATATTTTACTAAAATCTTCAATATTGTTTTGCCGTGATGGATAACTACAAATTATGTATTGCTAATCGTAACCCCGTTTCTATTCTTGATCCTCACATATGCACTTCAAGTTGTTTCCTTTCCCCGTTTCTCTGTTTCAATCTTTAAACTTGTGTCTCCTGAGAGAAGAAGAAGATCGCCAGCTCCATCGTTATCGAGCTTCACCATTCAACATCATCGACTAACTTAATTACTCCAAGGCCGAATCCTTCACCTTCGAAACGAACTACTATAGTACTACCGAGCTACTAGCACCTCCACAAAATCGATCACCGATACTACGGCACAAGTGACCCAGGTCAGAGAAGAAAAGAAAGTACCGAACAGGCTGGCCTGTGAAGTGAAGTAAACCGTGGGTGAATTATACCGGTATCCAAACGCAGACGCAAACGCAGTCGCAGTCGCATCGAAACCAGACACTCTTTACTCTTTACGTTTTACTCTAGCATACTAAAATACCTACATTACGTATTCCTTCTTTTTTTATCCGAGAGGCCCTTGAATCTACAAGCCACAGAGAGAAACCTATCGGATATATGAAAACATTGTTGGAGCTCTTGTCGTCTTCCTCAACTTAGGCGACGCAGGCGTCATCTTCAACTACATACCTACCTAACCTAGGCAAATCTCATAACTTCAAAAAACAAACAAAAAACAGAGGTACGCACATGCAAGCTCCTAGTCTATAAAATTGTCTTCTATTATATGCTATTTTATCCTTCGAATCAGTGTCAAGTGTTTTGGTTTTGAGCGGATTCAAGATGGGCTAAAGAGTTGTGGACTCTCTTGTTTCGAAATAGGAAGGCTTGCATTCTGCATTCTGCGTTCTGCATTCTACATTACAGTCAGTACCATCATCCATGAGTAGCATGTGGCCGTTAGCCAATCTGCAGTGTAACAAGGATTCATCCTCGGTGGAGATACCAAGGCTGCAGGGGGCTGTTGAAGCCATGAGCCCTGAACGCTGGTCAAATTCTGGCGGGTCTTAAAGCTGACTTGGGAGTAAGAGATGTTGATCAACTCGGGAGTCTATCCAGCGAGCATCACATCCTCCGTTCCTACAATACCAATTCACCTATGTTCCTATTCATGCTCCTACCTATTACCTTGTACACGCCCCAAGTCGAAGGAGCCCAGATGGCCTGAGCGTAGCCGTCATGATGTTGTGCACGAGAAGCCAGAAGACTCCCCACACTATCAGATTACAGATGATTTGAGAGAGATCGGGTCTTTATATTATTGTCATGATTTCGAGATGCCGCTTTACTGTATTGAATGCTGATCCGAATCTTTGTTAGCCTAATCCACACCACACACATACCGGACGGTGCTGACTAGATCAACATCCACTCCTCGAAGTCAATCTTCTTTTTTTATCTTTTTTTATTTTTATTTTTATTTTTCTTTATCACTATACCGTCTCACCACCAAGCCATCAAGTCATCAAGTCGACTAAACTGTCTGACAAGACAGATATCCGGTTCGGAGCTTGACGGGCCATAAGTGAGAAAAGAAGTAAACGACTATTAAATATCCATCCCGAACCTGCGGGGGAAAATCAAGACTACAGCGGTCTAATTTTCCGTATTTATTCACCTACATCCTATCCACCGCGGTATACGAACGGTTCCTGGCCTAATTTGTAGGCCCCCGATTGTACCTGGATTGTATGTACCTGCAGATTCACCGGCCAATCCTTCAACTTCAAACCATCCTTTTAGGAACCATATGCCGCTACTAAGAGGTTAGTGGGATCCAGTTTACCGTATTATCTTTAGATCTCAACCTTGTTGCCCTGCCCCGTTGCCCATTGGACCCGAGGAGTTTCCATGCTCTAACCGTTGTTGTGCATAGTAGTTGGAATTTGACGGCATCTTTTTATGTTTATGCTCTCCGAGACTACATACACTAAAAGCAGCTTGAACCTGGAAAGCAACTTGAGTGAATTCTCTATACATAGCAGCATTAACTAGGTACTTACCTAAATATCTGCCTGCCTATCACTGAATAGTGTTCTCTTATTCACCCATTGAGCCTGTATAACAAACTTGCATTGTATAACAATACAATACAATACAAAACAGTACAGTACGACAACGGCCCTGTGGAAATTTAGCTATCAACTTTGGGGCACAGTCAAGAGGATCCATGGAGACGTAACGGTCTTCTCACTTTTCCCGAAGACAATCCCTTACCCCCTCCCCTGTCTTTGTACATGTACCATATTACCCTTGTTGCATTTAATCCTACCCCCGAGTCGGGCCTTGCATGATCATACAAGGTACCAATATTGGCAAGCATCTCCACCCACCCCATCGCGTCAGTGTCAACACTGGGATTCTTTTATATCCACAACCTACCTCCCTAACGGGACAAAAGTTGTTTTTACCACCCCGTCTCCACAGCCTTCTTTCTGTGTCCGCCTGCGCTCTGGCAGAGAGCCCCTCGTGATAATCGAATAACTTTCAACCGACGGCGACCTGGGAAATCCAGTCCCGTGCTGAGTTTTCGAATTATCCGAACGTGGGAATAGTTCAATACGACTCTCGACTTTCGTGTCAAGCTTTCTAACGACAGGTTGCCCAACATGAATTCAATCAGCAAGGACCCGTGGCAATCGTCCATGAGAGACGAAGTGCGTTATCCCCCTGAGAGGACCGGCCGTTCGACTTCTCTCTCAGTAGCACCGGTAAACCATCGACCTTATCATGGCATTGATATCCTCGAGCCAACCAATGACGAACCGTCATCTCCGGGGCGCCTCCGATCATTCAGCAGCCGGGTGAAGCGAAACTCGGCGACTGACAAGCATGTCAGCGAAATTACGACATCATCAGGCTCATCGTCACGCCTTTCAGCGACATCAGATAAAAACTCGTGGAACCGAAGTATGGAAAGTTTGGGTTTATCACGAAATCCATCTCAACGGTCTGTATCCGCTGCTGTACCGTCGCATGATCGACCTGATAGCGCGCAATTTTTTAGCAAGGGGATATTCCACCGTAGAGGCAGACTACGCAGGGAAAGTAGCGACCAGGGTGGCCCGAATCCGACTCCCAATCCCAATCCCAATCCCAATGCCTCGCAGGATACAGCTGAGATGCCAACTGATACTGCATATCCTTTTATGCAATCCGTGTTCTCACGACGGAGGGCGTTAAGAGGAGAGCAGTCTGGGCTAGCGACCTCGAAGAAGTTACAGATATCAGGACCTTATAACTTTCAGCATCTCACACATACGCGCAAGGATAGCGTACCTGATTTAAACCGGTCGAATCGAATGGAGCTTGTATCGGAATTTTCAGAAATGCGGCCACGACGACCTTCCATGGAAAGCCTTCAACATGAAGATTCACCATTTAGGAATTTCTCTTCCGAGTCATTTTTCCGTCAAGACGATTCAGCAGGACTAAACAGTAATGGATCACAATCACGGGAAACAAGGTTACAACAACCGCCACCATCACCGCCGTCGCCGAAAAGCCGGGTGAACCCAATACAATCACAAAATCAAGGCCGCCCTCCACGCCCACCGAGATCTCCAACCGAGACTGATTTTGGACCGCCGATGCAGCACCCGCCCCCGAGGACATCTAGCCGAATCTCTACGCGACATAAGCGATTTGATTCTACTGCCACAGCAGTCATAGACCGTCCAGGCTCGACTACCGGCTTCCGAAGGCCTCAGCCATTCACGCCCTCTTCGCCTAATAAGCTACCAGTACCGCCTAGCCCCCCGCGAGCCTCATCCAAGAGTTCATTGGACCAAGAAATGACCACAGAACCGCAACAAGAGTTGCTCCACGCCATTACTACACCCGATGATGAGGCTTGGCCTTTGAGTAACAGCATCAGCTCCTTGCCCGATGTGCCTGAGGAGGAAGAGCATCACGTTCCAGCACGTGTAGGCCGCATGATGAGCGTCGTAAGCCCTTCCTCTTCTCTCAGAGGTAGTATATCAGCCCCGTTACTTCGACAGATGTCCATAAAACATACATCCAAACGATCGCCTAGCAATGCCTCTGATACTTTGGGGATATTCGGTACCAGTGCTCATTATGCCTCTCGTGGAGATATCTACGAAGACTGTTCGTTTGAAGAGACAATATATGAGGGCTGGGAGGATGACATTGATTATTGCTACGAGCATGAGGCCGAGGCGGATTGCGACTTCGCCTGGGAGCGACCATCATATGATGCAACCCGGGGACGCGAGATGGGAGGCCATCGAACCTCAGGAACCCATACACAAACCGTCTTTCTCTCAGGCCGTCTTTCGTCTGGACTGCTTTCCCCTGGGAGTTTCTTTGATCTCCCTGCGCTGAGCCCAGCAAGCCAATCATCGAATGGAACTCGACATGAAGCTATAACGCCCACGAACATGGCTGTTCCCGTGACGTCCAACTTTTCTCTTCCACGACGGGAAAGCTCAGCACACCATCTTCGCGCGGACTCACGTGCTCACTCACCTGAGTGTAACTTCAAGGAGGTTCAAGGGTTTACCATATCGCCGTCTCTCCTAATCCCGAGTGATTACCACCAGCAGATGATTCAATACGAGCGGGACGAGTTGGAAGATAGTGATAATGACGAGGACCTCCTTATTCAAGGACCGTTGCTCAACGAGGGGCCTATTTTGAAGTTTGGCAATAGCCTGAAACCATCGAATGCTCGTTCAAGCGCATCAACCACTGACTCTGTCTATTCTGAGCACTCGTTGACATCTAGCCGCCACAAGTCGACGAACTCGACCTCGACTGCTTATACTCGCTGGACTGGCAGCAGCACTTCGAGCTGGCACTCCACGAAACCTACCAGTGACAATGGACACGCTGCTAATGTCTCGCCTGCCAAGGTGTCAGTATTCCCCAAGTTTAGTGACGAGGCCGTCTCGCCGCAAGACTCTGGCCGCGAGAAACATTCGAGGACGCAGTCACATGCGTGCCTTCTAATGAGGGCTACCCCCGATGCGGTATCTGCTGCCGAGTCAAAGCCTGCAAAAGAGACGATCAGGACTCGTGGACGGGCTCGAACCACCAGCCGAAGCCACACTGCCCCTCAGTTTGCTCTCTTTCCCGCTGTCGCCGCTGCACCAGGTGGTCGTGTTTAAAGGACCCCCAAGTTCCATATTATCTCCCAAAACTGTATCTTCCATCTTCTGTCGTCTCTCCCAGCTATAGCGAGCTATACATTCATTACGCTATCATCATTACCAACCGACCACTCAGGTCTCACACCAAAAGCTTCTTGGTTTCGGATATATAGACTTCTTCCTATTGGCCTGGGAGCCAGGCGTTATCGGGTATACTAGCCACCTGTGCTTGCACTTTTCTTAGACCTGTCACCATTCTTACCTACCGCCCATCAACTTCGACACATAGACACTGGCTTGCTTGGATATTGGATATTTTAAAGGATGGAGGGGTTGCATTATTTCGAAAAACTGTCGTTTCCGGCGATTCGCCTCGTTTTTTTTTTCCCACTACCAATCATCACCATCACCATCATTGATCACCAACCCCTTTATAGGGCGATTGCTCTGTTTCCTTTTTTTTGCCATTTGTTTTTCTCTTTCTGTTTTCCGCCCTATTTCTTTTGCCAAGCATCTTCTTTTCTCTAGATAAAAAAAATTATGGGCTTGAATGGTCGAAAAAAGCTCGGTGCGCGGAGTATCGAGACAATATTGCTTCGGGAGTTAATTTACAATTGCATGTTCTGGAGGGATTTCCCTTTTTTTTTTGTTTTACATTCTTCAACCCACAACAACCTCTCTTTCTTTCCCCGGGTTGACGATGTATATAAAGCAAAAAGGGAAAACGGGGGGTTTTAACTACTCATGACGGAAAGGGGGAAGGGGGAAAAATGTCATGTATCAAAGGAGGATTCGCACATACAACAATACCTACATCATCATATTTTTGTATATGCTACCAAAAGGTATCTAACCAACCAACCTCATCTAAAACCTACTTCACCTAAGTAGGCATGTACCTATATAAGCTGTACAAACAATTTATACCGGCTTCAATGCTTTTTCTTGCTACGGAGGAATAACATTGGAGCATTATACATTGTCTCTTTGTCAACTTTGCCTTTTACCGAGGCATCCCTAGAGAGAATAAGAGGAAGAGGAGGAAGAGGAGGAAGAAGAAGAAGAAGAAGTAGGAGAAGGAGAGGATAGAGTTCAGAGACCTGTGCCTAGAAAGGGGCTGAAGCCCGTGTTTGTTTGTTTGTTGGTTCGGGGAGGATTCAAGGAGAAGAAGATGTCAGCTTAACTCTCAACTCATAGACCTACCTACCTACCTACCTAATCCACCATGCCATACAAATTTCACCCCTTTCCCTCCCCCCCTCCCCCTCTTCGTCTATGCAGTATATACAACCTAGGCATGCAGTCTAATCTATCGTGCTTGCAATATGCCGTATTCGTTTATCTTGTGTGTCTCGTGTGTGTGAGCTCGGCTCCGCGAACGAGGTCAGGTCGTGTTAATTAAATCAATGTTTTCGTTTCGGCTAGCTTAGATAGGTATGTATGTATGTATGTATGTATGTATGTGCCTAGGTAATGTATGTAGGTACGCAAGGTGGCTTAAGCTATGTACATTTTATCTCCTATATACATACATACCTCACTCACCTCGCCTCGCCTCGCCTAGAAGATAAGTCACCTAACCTTAGGTAGGTAGGTAGGTAGGTAGGTAGGTAGGTACTTAAGCGACCATAAAACAAAAAGGGGGGGGGGGGGGGCGATGGAGGACGGGTAATGCTCTCCAACGGTTATATGTGTGTGTCTAGGTAGGTGGGTATGTATGTATGTATGTATGTATGTTTCTGCGTATTCGGACATATTGAGGCTATCACGATGCTGCCGCCGGTACAATCGAGAGCTGCACGTAGAATCAAGGAAGGCCCCATGCTTGTTTTTTTTCTTCTTCGTCTTGATAGTACATTGGTTAGGTGGACACAGGTACCATATGTATAGGCATATAGACTGCAATGGCTAATAGGTACCGGCCCATAGCAGATATATAGTAGGTAGTGGCCATGTCTCGAGGTAGTATCCCGTGGAAAAAGACGGCCCATGGTACTACGCTGTGGCATGGGGAATGGAGAATGCCTGAATCTAACCAAGATCCATGATATAATGGGTATATATACCATCGAATCTACAGAGCCATACCGGCAATATACGGGTATGTCGAAAAATAGATTAACTCTTAGAACGTTATAGATGGATCCTTGGTTGGGGCACATATAAGGTAGGAGGGATATCTCAATTAGAATATTCAATGAAACTCTATATAGCTTTTTCAAAAAAAAAATAAAAAAAATACTACTCCATGTATGTAGGCAAGTAGTGTGTTAAGTTCATAGACGAACCTTTTCTTTCGTGTGATGAATGGAGCTGCGCATCTGGCAATAACCCCAAGAGACGAGACAACACCTCAGAACTCCTATCCAATGCAATGCCAGCCACCCCTGCTTCAACCGAAAAGAACCAAATAGGTTGGTTGCTGAGCACGTTCGATAATGCATCTCTATCACCATATATCTGTTTTCGGAATTCGCCCGCGTTTTCGGTGCTATGGTTGGTCAAGTAGTGAAGTATTGCTGCGTTGACTGTCGTGATCTATACCTGGATCCTCTGGATCTGATATCCTTCTTCTTTTTCGACCGAAAAAGTCACCTAATGCACTGCTTAGGCTGCGTGCTCGTCCTCGGAAGGTCTTTTGATCATCTGGCAAGGGGTCGTCCTGATAAGGCGGTTCCTCATTCTCCCGATCGCTTTGTAAAAGTGGCCCAATTGCAGAGCTTACACCGTCCTCACTGTGTGGAACGAAAAAGCTAGATCTAATGCTAGGCCTCGCTCTCCTGATGGATCTCCTTCGCCCTGATGGATTTTCCTCATTACGTAGGAGAGCATCTGCCACCACGGCACTGACTGTGGAAGACAGTGGGGATGGAGAAATGAAGGCATTGGAAAAATGATGACTGTGTTTGGAAGACTGAGCAGCGCGTGGAGTCATAGGCCGATCAGGGGTTGGGGGTGGGACGGATGGTTCGGGGAGGCTGATATTAGACTGCAAAGGTTCGGATATGGGGTTAGAAGCGATAGAGTAAATTGTTGGGACACTATCCACTGACGTCCTTGGTGGGAGGCCCGGGTGATCAGACTGCTCATCCATCGAGTTTTTCCATGGATTACTAAGGAGTGGTGAAGATTCGACCGCAGTCGGAATTGTGATTCTAGAAGTTGATGTATCAGGTTTATGGGTTGAAGGGATGATACTATTTTGCGGAAGGCTGGACGGATTTCCACCCGTGCTTGCAAAGCTGATTCGCGAAGCGCGCGACGACCGCCTTGATGATCGAGCCGAGGCGCCTTGTTGCTGGCGTTGAACTGGCCTGGGCTGCTCGGCTCGGTTAGCGTAAGGGCCAGAGGCCTCTTGATCTCGAAGACCGATAGTCTCTTCCACGTTTTCATCGTCGGACAACTGTTCCTCATCGTCGTGTCGCGGCCGGCCGCTAGTGATCAGAAACACACCAAAAAAGGTAAGGAGACAGCCTCCAATAAACTTGGCAGCCTGTCGCGCCGTTGTACGCTCGAAGTCTCGGTATAAGATAGCGCTTCCGATGATTACTGACAAAGTAAATAATACAAATTGGATAGGAATGACCTGTGTCGAATCGAATCGTTGTAATGCTTTGTTTACGTATCGAACTTGCATGACAGCAGTCCCAAGTAGAATGACTATGAGGCCGTATAAAATCGGGTTGGTGAAAGCCCTAAAGAGTGTTGATGAAAGCATAGATGAGACACCCTTGGTTGTTAAGGCAGTATACCCCCCTTGACAATATGTTAGCACCAAGCTGGCTACAAAGAAAGGACGTATAACTCACCAAATAAGCCGACAAGACCAAGATCAACCAGAATTGTTCGGTGGCCATACCTCGGGCTTGCCCACATAAGGACGATGATAAGAAAAATAGAAACACCCATGTAGACTTCGAATTCGATTGTTGCGATTGCATCCCAAACATCATGAGGATCCAGCTTGGTCTCTTCCTGATTGGCGCTTAGTACGACAGTGACAGCGCCGGCGACGGCAATAACAACACCCCAAAAGTCACGCGCCCGAAATATCTCGCCGAAGAACAATGGCGCGATGACACAGTTTGATATCAGGGCTACGACACCCAGTGGCGACACAATGGAAGCTGGCGCAAAGCCGTACGCCAAAAAGTTGCCCATCTCGCCGATAGTCATCAGGACCTGTCCTGTCCACCAGGACGGAGACTTCAGGTACGTCGAAGTAACCTTGGAGCCGTCGCATGACGGATCGGTCATGTTGGAGTCTACGGATTGGACGGAGTGAGCGAGAAGGTGAGTACTATCTAAATCGGTAGCATCGTCGTCGCTATTATGATTCTGCGTATTATCGACCGACGTTTCGGTGGTTCCGTAGCCATTACGATGGCCATTTCGAGCTCTCTTCGAAGCTTCTCTCGCTCGCTCACGAGCCTCGATGCGCACCCGATGGAGCTGTATATGCGCGTATCTCTGAACATTAAGCGCAAGGGCAATGAGGACATTGCCCACTATAGCGGTTATGATACCGATGAGGGAGCTCCAGTTACCTAGGTTAGAGCCAACCTTGTGGTCGCTCGCCTCGTTACTCGCAGCCCAGCCCATATTGGTGTTGGTTGTATTGTCCGAATGGGCCTAATTCTGACTCGGGTGTAGGCGGCCTGTAAGGTGTAAGGGGTGGAGGTGCGGTAGCCGTGGCGGATTAAGTTGTAATGAGGTTCGAGATAGTAATTGCCGTGGCTGTGCCAGCAATTGAAACGCGCCAGCTATGGCTAGTTCGTCCGTGTGAGCCGGTAGTGAATGGATTCATTGGGCTCCGTTTGAAGCGAATTTCCAAGTAGCATCTAAGCAGGAAGATGAGGCCTTTAGTGATTTGAGTAGGCTGGTAAGTTGTTGTCAAGTCGAAGTTACTACCTACCTGGGTAAGTAGTAACCCTAGGTATGTGGTGAGTGACCTATGTATTGGATGATCGGCACAATGGTTAGGGTGGAGAGTCGTGGGATTCTCGATGGCACATAAGCGTTCGGCAAGGCGAGGAAGTTCTACGGCTATTAGATGATACCCAACTTAGAACTTAGTATCGCATTATAGTATTGTGGATGGACGAACGGAATATCAATAATTTGAATGCTCATGGAAAGAAGAGCTTATAATAGTTACTAGTAGGAAAAAAAAAGAGATTAGCTATTGTACCTGGACAACAGCCCTAAAACGTTTCTGAAAATTATCGATTATTTCGAGTATGTAGATGGAAGAAAAAAAAGTATAACATAGAAAACGATAAATAATACATCGAAATAAACAACTGTAACTGATGTCAATAGTTGATAGTCGATAGTCGCCATGATAACTACTATGTATGTAACCTTAACCCGGACCTTTTAGTACTACTAGGTACATACCTACCTACCTATGTATGACATTGTGTGTACTCATTACCTAAAGGTATTTGTAGAATTTATACAATATGGATACAACTTGAATTAAGTTCAATGTTGCACATGTGGTACATCAACGATGGAGGCAGCTCTGGAACCGGAACATTGAAGTTATGAAAGTTTGTTACATGCCTAGTTAGTAGTTACTAGGTACTAACCTAGGTATGTGCCCGGGTAGTTAACTTATGTGCTGCCTGCCACATGCAGTGCCGTCATTCTGCAGAGTCAGGACCCCACAATCGATAATAAACATTTATGTACTAGGTAACATTGAATGAAGCACATACCTGAATGCATACCTGAATGCATACCTGAATGCATACCTGAACAACATTGAACTTCTACCCTACAACCACCCAACTTGTTCGCCTATACCAAGATTTTCGACAAGATGAGCGACGACGATGACGTCCAAATTGAAGGACCAGCTTTGGCGGAAGATGATCCCATGCGCGCATTCTTACCTACTTCATTCGGGAAGAAAACGAAAGAGGCTGACATAGCTGCACAAATCGACCGAAGCAAGAGAACTATCAACGAGCCGATATCTCGTCAATCCAAGTCACCAGAATCAGATTCGAACAATGACAGCGATAGCGATGATGACTCAGATGGCGCAGATGACGAAGACGAATATCCTACATCCCACGAAATGATCATCAAAACTCACGACCGCGCCGTTACTTCGCTTTCGCTAGATCCCGCTGGTGGCCGATTAATATCGGGATCAATCGACAGCACCGTCAAGCTCCACGATTTCTCTTCCTTGACCCCAACCACCATCCGAGCCTTCAGGAGTGTTGATGCTTATGAAACCAAGTCATCCGCCGCTTCAGAGTCCCATCCGGTACACCATGTTGAGTTCAATCCTCTTGCTGGGAGTGTCTTCCTTTGCATTTCGGCACATCCCCAAGCCAAAATACTATCTCGAGACGGTGATATTGTGACCGAATTCGTCAAAGGCGATATGTACCTTCGGGACATGAATAACACCAAGGGCCATGTTTCCGAGGTGACAACAGGTACGTGGCATCCCACAGACAAGAATCTGTGTGTCACCGCAGGGACGGACAGTACTTTGCGCATATGGGACATCAACAACAAACGTTGCCAGAAGGAGGTGCTGGTTTTCAAATCGAAAGCCCCCGGAGCCGCAGGCCGAACACGAATGACCGCTGTTGCTTGGGGCACTCCGGCACAAGGTGGCAACAACGTGCTCGTCTCTGCAGCTCTCGATGGGACCCTGGTGATGTGGAGCGGAAATGGACCATTCACACGACCTGTCGGGGAGATCAGAGAGGCCCATAAACCAAACACTTGGACTGGAGGTATAGACATTAGTTCGGATGGACGAATGATAGTAACGAGAGGAGGCGATAACTTGATCAAGTTATGGGATACGCGGAAATTCAAGGAGCCCCTGCTCTTTGTTGAGCATCCGTCCACCTCCGATCATTATCCAACAACCAACATCAAATATGCGCCGAATTCTACAAGCATCATCACTGGGTCGGCAACGGGCCATCTTCACATACTAAACCCCGGGAACTTGCGCCCCGAATACATTACACCTATTACGCCCGGGTCGCCTGTCATTGCTGTGGACTGGCACCCCAAGATTAACCAGATAATCACTGGGTCCGCAAATGCGGAAACGCATATTCTATACAATCCCTCCATGTCGACAAAGGGTGCAGTGGATGTTATGTCGCGCGCTCCGAAGAGGCGACATATCGATGACAACCCAGAGTTCACTACTGACCAGTCCCTTGGGCTCTCCGGGGACTCGATTATCACCCCAGGAGCGTTGCCTGGAACTAGGAAGACCGGTGTCACGGCGTCTGGAAAATCAAAGGATCCCAGGAGGCCACACGTTCCCCAGCAGACTCCATTTTTGCGAAGCCAGCCTGACGAAAAGCACATTAGTGAGAACATTCCGCTGAGTCGAATGCTACACGAGGATCCTAGAGAAGCGCTTCTCAAGTATGCAGACTTGGCTAAAAAGGATCCTGTATTCACGAAGGCGTGGAAGAGCACGCAGCCTGTAACACAGTACGCCGACGTAAGTGACGACGAAGATGACGGCCCAGATAAGAAGAAGGTGAAGAGATGAGAAGCTAGGTACTCAATGAAGATGCGGATATCGCCGCAGCAAATGTGAGACTTGATTCCTTAAGATAGCTTGTCTAATAAGTTGTACCAGTTAAATACTACTTACCTACCTAGGGTACCTAGGTATGTATATAAGATATCACCACCTAGGGGCCGCGATGGATTCCGGCAAAGCTTAGGTATGCATAAGAGCTAGGCACCTGAAATCCTAGCGCTTCTTGCTTTGTACAATACATACTAGGCATAGAGTTACAGGGTGGTCAGTGAAAGGTAGGCCCATATGTAGATCGACAATGCCGGGCTTAGGCCAATGGCAAAGACCCTGGGAAGCTTACTGGAAGTTTATGAGTTTTAGGGATATTGATAGGAACATTAAGGCTAGGTTAGGTACTTACATACTCTGCTTTGGATTACCTATCTCTACTGTGGACAACTGAAATAAAGGTTTCTACTATCTAATTTATAGTCTAAGAACAAAAGTCTGAGAACAAAATACTATCTACATAGTAACACTTAGGATAGCAGTGCAGTGAGTAGGTAGTAAGTTAATAGCTACTTATGGCTTTCTTGCTGTAGTTGTTTATCACACATTCACGGATGCTTTATGAACTTCAATGCTGACAAGCTTGATCATTTTCACCAAGTATTAGACACCAATGTTTCCAAAGAATAAATATACCTAGGTAGGTGTTATGTACTATGTGGGTGGCACTGGGTGCTAGATAATAGTAGATACAGTACTACGGTACTATAAGTACCTACTACTAGTAGTAGTAGTGCAATTAATGAGGACATTTGTATTAAGTTTTTGTTCAAAGTTGCATCTCCTAATTTCCTCATGGCTGAATGCGATTTACAGGTGCCAAATTATCAAGTATGGCCTGTATCAGGCTGTACGATACTGTATGTTGCCTATGGACAGGTGGCAAGCTGATTAATTCAAGTGGAGACTTCCAGAGCTAGTCAGGATTATTGTTGTACCGATTGGTTCAAATTGCTGGTTGTGGAGACTAGCGTGGTTTTCCTTCAGGTGACAAGCAAAACGGAGATGGAACTTGACTTGTTTGTGCGGTTGTGCGCCTTTCACATCAAACCATCTCTTTCCACGCCATCAATCGCGCATCAAAAAAAGCGAGCCGCATCACCCATCCCCGTCTAAATTCATCGACAACCATCCGTACTTACCTCCAACTTTTATTTTACGCGATTATCTCGCGAAAATAAGGCCCCTCTCTACCGACTTTTTACGCGCTCTCCACCAACCAGTTACACTTTCTTACAACTTGTTGGCCTTTTCCGGACTTGCGTTTCCCCCGCGACCGCGAAGTTGGAAAAAAAGGCCTAGAGTGAGTTTAATCTACCTGCTATCACTACTACCTGCTATTGCCTACCACCACCAACAACCTATTCTATTACTGTACCCCCTAATCCCCACCGAGATTTTCTTTTTTGATCTCCCGGCCCTTCGACCACTGCGCACCGCGTCCGACACCCGTCGCGCATCTTGACGACATCCGGTATTCTCGACCTTTTTTTTTATACTAATCCCCGTCCCGGTCCCCGTCAATTCCAACGAGGCTCGCGAATCATTGCGACGTGTTTGACCATCAACACACTCCTTCACCACCATTGATTGTCATTAACCAGCACCTTTTCCCTAGTCGCTCTTTTATCACAGCTAGATTTTATTCCCCAAGGCCACTGCGCTAATTCAATCGATTGATCTATCGATATAGCTTTGCTTCAGATATGAACGTCTCGTAACTCAACTTGGGAGAATACTAGAATTTGTTGCGACTTGTATAGTGCTGCTTCCAGCTTAGACAAAATGGCATCGGTTCAGGCCCCTCCGGCCGTGCACCATTCTGGTTCGTCAGCGATGCCAATGCAGATGAACCAGGCGCAGGTGCAAGAGATGTACATGGTTCGTACTTACCTGTCCCATACGAAAAGTTATTCTTGTCATAATATGTGCTAACTCGTGGATATAGAAGTTTCAGCAGATGAAGGAACGCGGCGTTCCACAAACGGACCCCGAATTTGTGAAGACGAGCCAATTTTTGATCAACGTTCAACAGCAACAACGAATGCGCAAGCAGCAGCAGCAGCAGCAGCAACAACAACAGAACTATTTGCAGATGCAGGCTGCACAGATGTCGCATAACACTCCTAATGGCACTGTAATTGGAAATCAGCCAGCCCCGCACAACCAACCACAGCAACCTGCTCTTCACACTACCCAGCCGCCTACTCCCAATGCCTTGAGTGCCTCTGCACTGCCCTCTACCTCTGGCCCAGGCGCCCAGCCAACTACATCGTCGCCTTCCACTGCTTCACCCATGACCCAGTTCTCTCCTCAGCAGCTAGGTCTCTTGAGACAACAGATCCAAGCCTTCAAGTTACTTAGCAAGAATGCTGGTGTACCCTACCAAATGCAACAAGCGCTGAACGCGCAACGCCAGCGTAGACAGGCGGTTGCCGAGCAATCCACTCAACCACCTGCTCCTACCGCCGCTGCTACGGCAACTCCCGCATCTGAGGCGCCCAAAGCAGAGTCTGTTCCGCCTAGCGGTGATGCCGAAGTTGAAGCAGAAGCAGAAGCCTCCTCACCCAAAGGACGAACCTTCAAGACAATCAAGTCCCCGTACGAAGGTGGTCTTGTCCGCAAGGACGTTAGCTATTACGATCATGGCCTGCGTGGTCAGCGGCTCCTCATCCCTAGCATTTTCCCTACTGGCGTCGACTTCGAGCAGTTACGGCACGAACGGGAAATCATAATCTTCAACCGCATGAAGGCCAGGTATGCTGAGCTTAAGGCACTACCGGGAAATGTTGCGCATTGGGATACTATGAAGGAGACCGTTGATTCTGATGACACGCTGAAACGCAAAGCTATCATAGAACTAAAGTCTCTAGGGTTATACGCCAAGCAGCGTGCTCTGCGTGAGAAGATTGGTCGTCAGATGATGCACTATGACAATCTGGCTATGACTACTAATCGTAGCCAGTATCGACGGACCAAGAAGCAAAGCGTGCGCGAAGCTCGCATCACAGAGAAGCTTGAGAAGCAACAGCGAGATGCTCGTGAAACTCGTGAGAAGAAGAAGCACGTTGATTTCCTCCAAGCCGTTCAACACCACAAGTCAGATATTTTCAGCTCTGCACTCGCTGCTAAGACCAGGTCAGGAAGGATAGGAAGGACTATGCATTCTCATCATTTCAATATCGAGAAGGAAGAACAGAAGCGCATTGAGCGTACAGCCAAGCAACGTCTCCAAGCTCTTAAGGCTAACGACGAAGAGGCTTACCTCAAGTTGCTCGACCAGGCGAAGGACACACGTATTACCCATCTTCTCAGGCAAACTGACGGCTTCTTGCATCAGCTTGCATCTTCTGTTAAAGCACAACAACGTCAAGCCGCGGAAAGATACGGTGACGAAATTGTGCCGGAAGAAGAAAGCGAAGTTGAGGAAGATGAAGAGGCCAGACGCAAGATCGACTATTATGCCGTGGCCCATCGTATCAAGGAGGAGGTTACAGAGCAAGCCAGCATGCTTGTTGGTGGTTCTCTCAAAGAATATCAGATCAAGGGCCTGCAATGGATGCTTTCGCTCTACAACAACAACCTCAATGGAATCCTTGCTGACGAAATGGGTCTCGGAAAGACGATCCAGACGATTAGCTTGATCACTTACCTCATCGAGCGCAAGATGCAACAGGGCCCATACCTTGTCATTGTGCCTCTCAGTACCCTGACTAACTGGAACCTGGAATTTGAGAAGTGGGCCCCTTCAGTCAGCCGTATCGTCTACAAGGGACCACCGAATACTCGAAAGCAACAACAAGAGAAGATTCGCCAAGGACGATTCCAAGTTTTGCTGACGACGTATGAATACATCATCAAAGATCGGCCCGTATTGAGCAAGATCAAATGGTTTCATATGATCATTGACGAAGGACATCGCATGAAGAACACCAACTCAAAGTTGAGCGCTACCATTTCTTCGTATTACAATACGAGATTCCGACTTATTCTCACTGGTACTCCCCTCCAGAACAACCTGGGCGAGCTCTGGGCCATGCTCAACTTCGTTCTTCCAAACATCTTCAAATCGGTAAAGACATTTGATGAATGGTTCAATACTCCGTTCGCAAATACCGGCGGACAAGACAAGATGGAGCTCAATGAAGAAGAGCAAATTCTTGTTATTCGTCGTCTCCACAAAGTGCTACGACCTTTCCTACTTCGCCGTCTGAAGAAGGATGTGGAGAAGGACCTACCGGACAAGACCGAGAAGGTCATCAAGTGCAAGTTCTCTGCACTACAGAGTCGCCTATATAAGCAAATGGTCACCCATCAGAAGATCACTGTCAGTGATGGGAAGAACGGCAAGACCGGTACCCGTGGCCTTAGCAACATGATTATGCAACTGCGCAAACTCTGCAATCATCCCTTCGTATTTGACGATGTAGAGAACCAGATGAATCCTATGAACACAAGTAATGATCTCCTTTGGCGAACCGCCGGCAAGTTCGAGCTCTTGGATCGGATCCTCCCGAAGTACAAGGCTACTGGTCATCGTGTTCTAATGTTCTTCCAAATGACGGCTATCATGGATATTATGGAGGACTTCCTTAAATACCGAGGGGTCCAGTATCTCCGCTTGGACGGAACAACAAAATCGGAGGACCGTTCAGAATTGTTGAAGGACTTCAATGCTCCAGATTCCCCTTATTTCATGTTCTTGCTTTCCACCCGTGCCGGTGGTTTGGGTCTAAATTTGCAAACCGCCGACACTGTCATTATCTACGACTCAGATTGGAACCCCCATCAGGATTTGCAAGCTCAAGATCGTGCTCATCGTATCGGTCAGAAGAACGAAGTACGTATCCTGCGACTTATTAGCTCGAGTTCCGTCGAGGAGAAGATTTTGGAACGAGCCAGGTTCAAGTTGGATATGGACGGCAAAGTCATCCAAGCTGGTCGATTCGATAATAAATCGTCGGAGACTGACCGTGACGCTATGCTTCGAACGCTGTTAGAATCGGCGGATTTAGCTGAGTCTGGCGAGCAGGAAGAAATGGACGATGAGGAGTTGAACATGATTCTTGCTCGCAATGACAATGAAATTACGGTGTTTCAGAAGTTGGACGAGGAACGTGCGAAGCATCCTCTATACGGCAATGGCCCCAATTCGAAACGTATCCCGCGCCTCATGGCCGATAATGAGCTTCCGGATATATATCTATCAGAAGGAAATCCCGTTAGCGAAGAAGCAGAAGAGGTGTTGGGTCGGGGCGCTCGTGAGAGGACACGGGTCAAATATGATGATGGTCTGACCGAAGAGCAATGGCTAATGGCTGTGGATGATGAGGAAGACACACCAGAAGCTGCGGCGGCGCGGAAACAAGCCCGCAAGGACAAGCGAGAGACAAACAGACTGAAACGGCTGGCAGTTACAAATGCATCTGGTGCAGATTCTCCGAGCGCAAGTCGCGCTAGCACTGAGGAGGTTGAGACGCCTCCCAAGAAGCGCGGTCGTAAGCCAGGCAGTAAGAACGAAAAACGCAAGGCTGAAGACGACGATGGTGAACCGCCTGCCAAGAAGCGTCGAGGACCTCAAGGGCGTCCTAGAATGATACCAGGTAATGGAGGTGATTCGCGTCTCAGTTTCGAAACACGACTAGTTCTTCAGAGGACTCTGCGTAATCTCTACGAGGGCCTGATGGAGCTTGAAGCCGATATTGCACCAGAAGATCAGGTTGCCGACGATGACGATGAAGAGCCGAATAAACGTCTGATAATCGGACCATTTGTCAAGCTGCCATCGAAACGGGATTATGGTGACTACTACCTATTGATTCAGAACCCAATCTGCATGAATCAAATACAGGCAAAGATCAAGAAGGAGGAATACAATAGCATCAATGATATGCGCAAGGACATTGCTTTGATGTGCAGCAATTGCAAGACGTACAATGAAGATGGCAGTCTTCTGTACTCGGACGCAATTGTTATGGAGGTACTTATACTTGATACCCCTTTTGCCTTCATGAGATTTGTACTAACAGACGCAGAAATTCTTCAACGACCGAGCTCAAGAAGAGATCAACGAACATCCAGAACTGGCGGATCTCGAGGATCCGTCTGGAAAAGACAGCTCAGTTCCTCCTACCAGTGCTGGGACACCACAGTCCGCTGCGAACACTACGAGGATAAAGCTGGTGACTAACGGTACCAGCCAAGCCGGTGTGGGTTCGGGTGGTATTCAGAGTGATGGTGAATAATGATTATGGTGCAATACCTAGTTGGCCCGCTATTTGTTTGATTGTTTGGGCTACTAGTTTAATATTTTGACAAAGTGGCTCTATCATAGAGCCGTTGACTCATTGAGATTTTTCTTATTCTCAAGTGACAGTTGTTGGCCCGGCAGGCTGCTCATGAAGGGGAAGTACAAGGCGTATAGGTCATGTTTACTGGCAAATGGAAAGGGGAAAGAAATGAAAGGCATGTGTATCACAAACAACCACCACAACAAGTATTTGGCGAGGCAAAGCAATACCCTGGGCTCTCTGCCTTGTTTAGTAAACCCCCCCTAAGCAAAACCGCTCTACTAATTTTCTACCACGCTTACCTACTACCTCCCCCCCTGTTTTTTTTTACCCTTCTCACTTCTTCGTGAGTATGGTAGGAGCGGTTAATTGTATGCAAATAAATTAAGAATATATTCAAGGAAGTTAAACCTACCTAATGTTGAAACTGGAATTGTGTGCATGTGTTTGGAGTGGAGGGTGGGCTGAGCTTTTGGCTTCATCGGTGCCCCTGAGCTGTATTAATTAAGTCTTCTTTTGAGTCAGTTCTCCAAGACATATATATATAGGTATGTATGCTGCTTCACAATGGGCTTAACAAGAAGCTGCCCTAGAGCATGAGGGTCATAGAAACTATCTACCTAGTAATTGGTTGTTATACTAAGTTCAGCACACCTGTAACTATTCAGATAGGTACGTAAGAGGTCTTCGGCATCACTTCAATCACATCAAAAAGTAAACGGGAGAGAGTGTGTTGTGCTGTACACCCGTTGTATAGAGTCCCGTGTAATGTGATCGGGCTATATCAGTCAACTAACGAGCATGACACTACCTAACCGGCCAAGCCATAAAGTAGTCGTCGTCGTCGTCGTCGTCGTCCACCCCGTAGAAAACGAAATTGTGGAGCAACGATTTTACATGTACCTATGTGTGTCTAATTCCCTTCCATCCTTTTTATAATCCACCCAAACCCATCCATCTTCCAATCGCCTAGGCAACGCCACCGAACCGATGAAGTCGTAATCGTAGTCGTCGCCGTGCACCCCGCAGAAAACGAAAAGTTTTCGAAACAACGTTTTTCATGTGTCTGATCCCATTCCATCCTCTCGTGATCCATTAGGCCATTCATCCACCATTCCATACGGTTTGTCATCCACCTGGTACCTGGTTCCTATGCCGTCTCGCCTCAGTTTGCACTCAGCTAGCTTGCTGGGGCGTCGTCTCTCCCCACCCCTCGCGAGGTCGCATACCAGTCCGAACCCCCCCCCTAGGGTTCCAAGAGTTCGAGCGGAATGCTGTTGTTGATTGCACCGGGCTTGGATAGTAGATCGTGTCGCACATCAAGATACTGCTAGCAAGCGCCCACCGGCGGCGGCAGGTACCTTGCTTAGGCTTTCACGCAACTCCCCGAGTAACGGAGAGGGTTGCAATGAGCCTGAAGGCACCACAGCGACCACCGAAGCATCAACCATTCTGCGACCGGGGGAGTTGAGCGTGGAAGGCACCGCCGAGGTAGGCTGGGGGGGTCAGTTTTGCTAAGCCCCCGCCCCCCCATCGCGCCGAAGATAGACCTGGCGTTTGATCTTCGCGTAGAATTGTTGTCGAGAAGACGTTGAGCCACATGTTGAAGTCGGGCAAGAAAGAAAGAAAAAAAGGACAAGCCCAAACCCGTGGATCGCGGGTTTGAGCTTGCCTTTGCTCGCCGCGAACAGCAGCAACAGAAAAACCAACACGTTGTGTCGTGTCGTTCGTGTCGTGTCAAGAGCATCCGTTTTCCTTCACGCAGTTGCCGTCATGATAGGATATGGCAAGGTAGGTATGTAGGAGAATCCAGTGGCATCCCCCATATATCCATCCGGCTTTGACATGCCACCCTCAGGAAGTGCTCGAAGCGGCGGCGGCGGTCAGGTCGGGGCTGCTGCCCATTGCCGCCCCGACCTGCGGCGTCCTAGGTAGGTGCAGGTTTCAAGGTAGAATATCAGCTGCAGCGCCGGGTTCGGGTGGATAATCCACCTTCTTTCGGCCTGAGTGGGCGGACGTTGTGAGCCCCCCAGGCCGAAAGAAGGTGGAGCGGGGTGTTGGGTGATATCTTGGCGGAGAATTTGTGTAGAACCTTCTTTAAGCCACGGGTAGAAGTAGCATGGAAAAGGGGAAAGCCCAAACCAACCAGCGGATCGCCGGCTGGTTGTTGGAAGTCAGAAGGTTATGTCGAAACACTTCAATCCTTTTCCCAAAGCAAGCACGATGATAGGCTTTATTTGTAGGAAGCAGTGGTTTGTTTTCGCGATAGCATTGTCAGTCGATACTTCCGCGGCCTAAAGCATCCGGCACGCCTCCTTCGCCTGGACGCGCTCAACTTTTCCGGCTCCCGTGCTACCAGGACAGTCAGGTTATTATACAGCCCCACCGTCGCATGAGCCTTGCCACAGGTAGAAGCAGGACAAGGAAAGGAAAAGGAGGGAAGCCCAACCCCATGGATCGCGGGTTGAGCTTATTTTCCCTCCCTACCATGTCCCTCTCCCGCCCTTCTTCTACCTGTGGCCACGAGAAGACAGACAGCTAAGAACGAGTTGATGTTGACTGTTTAGAACGTTGTTCCTTTACTGTCTGCCGCCCCCGGCCGGCCCGAATGTTGCTCTCACTCGGGCCAGCCCGTGATAGAAGAGAGAAGCATAGATACAGCCATGGGACCAAGAGAAGGAATGTCCAGTAGGGTGACGGTGAAGGTGAAAGTGAAAAGAGTAGTGGCAGCTCCTGTATGTCGACAACGGGCATCAAGGCCTCGGGATGTTTTGCCCAAACCGAACAGCAAGGTCGCATATCTTTGAACAGCGTTAAACCTCCTTGTCTTGTTGTGATTCCTCCATCGCTTGCTAGAAGGCTTTTGTCGCTCGAGGCGGACGTCTCTGGTGATCTGGACGTGCCCAATTGTCCAAGACCGCACACACGCGCACACGCCATGATGACGATATCATCCGGGTCTCTATTTGCACACAGAGCATAAAAGAGGGTAAAGTAGAACTGGAGTGGAAGACTTTTCCCAGAACGAACGTGATGGGACGGTGGTCCCCGTGGAAGAGACCACCCCGATCATCCAGCAGAGAATATACGTCCGAAGTAAGTTGAAGCAGTTTATATCTCCTTCCCTTTGAGTGTGTGTTATGGTGTGTTGTGTGTTGTGTGTGTGGTTGTCCGCCGATCTGCATGTCGTATCATTGTTCCTATGTAATCACAGACACCATGGCCAGTGTTGGCGTTGTCTTTTTCGTGATAGAAAAAGGCCATGGTGTGTGCGGCACAACTCCACGACTTTTGCGGATTTTCCGTGTTGTGTACACAAAGCTCTCGTTTTCCCCCAATACACCTGGTAGGTATGAGGTTCAGAAGGACAAGGCACCCTCGGACGTCCGCATTCCTCTATGTGCTGACTGTCGTCAACGGGTTGGGTGGGGCATTCTCCGGCCTTCGTTTCAGGGCCTCTATGTCTTTGCGACTGGGCGCTGAGTGGTGTCGTTGGAGACTTTTCCCAGGAGGGGTGCGGAAGGCGGCAGGGTGGACTTGACCGTGCTCCAAGCGACGTGATGCCGCGTCTTGGAATTCCATCTTTAGGTTGCCGCCCCAGCTGTGTTGCCAATGTTTTCCATGTGGCTTCTCTCCGTCGAAGAGGCACTGGAAGACATCAAATACAATCTCGATTCCGCTCTGTCGGTGGTTGTGTATCGTAATGGCTGTTTCGGTCCAGCAGCCGCTGCAGCCGGCGAGTATGTAAGGATTAATATTCATCTCCTGCATATCCCAGCCCTCGAGCCTGGCGCTCTCGAGGATGAAGGAAGCCTTCCGGAGAGCCATGGGGGAGAGATGGTCGGCCACCTCGTACCCATCTGTTTGTTCATTTAGCTGGTCGAGAAAGGACCAAACCAGTTGATTCAGAGGGGGGTAAAATAAGAGGTTTATGTCGATCTCGTGGCAGCACCCTTTGAAGAAAGGTCCCCGCTTCGTTAGTTTGCTAGCTTTGAAGAAGGGGACCACGGCGTCTTCATTCAGCAAGACTCGATGGGTCGTGTGCTGGATTAGTCGGCCTTCTGTTACCATCGCTTCGGTGTCTAGCTTGACGTACCCGCATATAGCGTCTGGGTTGGTACAATGAGTGCCCAGCTTCGAGAGTTTCCAGTTGGTTGATATCGCGAATCGCGGGAGGTGTGAGACGGCTTGACTGCGCTTTATCTTTGAAAGGGCTTGACGGGCATCCTCATAGGTAAAAGCATACTCTGGCCAGAAAGGACCAAAAGTCATAATGCCTTGTATGAGCGTCGCTCGATGTTTTGATGCCGTGCTTGGCTGGGTAAGGGCTAGCGATCGATTAAATATGAATACCGCTTGCCCTTTGCAAACTAGAGACTGGTAACTGTGAACTTTGGCACAGTTAGGACAAAAGAAAGCACTCTTTTTGTCCTGTATGAGTCCATGCAGAAACTTGACTCTCAATTGTCGCATCACTGTTGACTCGACACCGGCCTGTAGAGGTCTCTGCAATACAGAGGCGCCTATCAACCCGTACCTGGTGCTGCGAGCTATTTTGAGAGCCGCCTTGCAGGTGATAGAGAATGTTGTTATCTCTGCCGGATCCAAGAAGTGGATGATATGCCAAACCAGTTCTAGCGGCAAGTCGAGGATAGAGAGGCGAGGGGATGGAGCGGATTGATTGGTCATTTTAGGCATCAGATATTGATATAGCTGGACATATCTGTATGCCAGCTCAGTAGATAGGCCGGCCATGTTGTTAGATTTTGGTAGTGTAAGAAGGCCTTGGTAATACAAGGTGTTGGTAATGTTGATGAGGCGTTTTGTATGTTTGTTTCTTGGGGATGGATAAGGAGGTTGTGTCTATGTTGCTTGAACAAGGCGTGTTGGTGTCGTCGATGAGTGGTAGTGACGGGGTATTTTTAAAGAGAGTGTAGGTTAATGTCAGGGAATGTGAATGTGTCAATTGGTGTGTATGATACTTGACGATCAATAATATTGGATGAATGTATAGATGTGTAAAGGTATGAACGTAGTGAGTGATGTGGAAGAGATGTATTAATCGGTATTAATGAGTGGACGGCGATGAAGGGTAAAATAAGTAAATAAATAAAAAGGAAAGAAGTGTAAGAATCACCAGGAGGGCTGCGAGTTTATATAGTTTTCCAGAATGCCTTGCGTGCCTTATATATCAGGAACGCAATGGGAACAACGGCGATGGTAGATTTTCTATATGCGATCCTTAGGGTTACCTAGGTGAGCGGCCAATCACATCGCCGTTATATCATGATCTTGAGTACAACTGACACTGTGAATTAAATATTTACCTACCTAGGTAGCCAATGAACGGCGTTGCTAGGTTGAAAATTGCAAATGCGCAGGTTAACCTAAAATATAATAAAATACAATATGTACTAGTAGTACCCTATTACATGTGCAACCTGATATCCTAGGTATCTTAGGTAATTTCACTGAAAATGTCATAATTAATTCCAAAGTGAAGTCTAATTCTGTCCGAATTAGGAAATAAGCGCTTGGGCCATGTTGTTGTCAATGACATCCATTTTGGTTTAGTGCCGATTCAGATTACGAAAAAATAAGAATAGTTAACTTATGTAGTTACATTGTAACCTGCGCGTTTGATGTAATTAGAGTCATACATATGAGTGGACCTGAATACATGCACGTATAAAGCATGGATACATATGTAGATACAAAATGCCATGTGTACATGTGTCATGTACCTACATGTAGTAGTTACCTAAGTTACATACATACATTGTACTAATGTAATCAGCCGCTGATCTACAACTTTAGTTCGTTCTCATTTGAAGTTCCTTTCTGCATACATTTTGATGTACCTATCCATAACTACCCTACTATTAATTTACATACTACATAGTAACCATCTACCTAATACATATACTCCCATTCTCCTATGGATTGCTTGTTTGTTCGACACGAGACCTTACCGCATTTGCAATGTGGCTCTCTTCGAAGAAAAGGCCCAGTGTGATCCTTTCCCCTTTGCATTTGCTGCTTTTCGTTAGCTATGCATTGGGCCAAGGCCAGAGACAAGGTCAAGGTCAAGGTCAAGCCCAGGCCGACCCAAGTCCTTTAACAACAACGACCGACGATACTATAAAATCACCGTCCAGTATACCCTCCGTCGAACCCACCTGCGAATTTAGAACCATCAACTACATCACCCACACATTACCTCAACAGTGCCTCACCTCTGCTCCCACGACTTTCTCGACTCCAGAGTCTATTAGCGTTACCATCACCTCTTCCTCCACCGTTGCCGACTCTACCCCTAGTAGCCCTAGTAGTACCGACGGTATCAAAGATAGCGGCAGTAGTGATAGAAGCAGCAGCAGCAGCGGTAGCGGTAGCGGCAGCGATAGCAATAGCAATGGCAATGGCAATATCGAAAACAATGATCTCGACGCCGACGGAAATGACCTCAGCACAGGCGCTTTCATGTCCTTCGAGGAATGGAAGCGCATGATGCTTGCCAAGTCCGGCCAAGACGAGTTAGAGCCTAGAAACCGGAGGACCAAGGATGCGCGAGGCGATCCATACCCCGCCGACGACTTTGACAGCTTCGGCGACGAAGGCGAAGTGTCGCTCGACTTTGACGCATACTCCGATAGGATTTCCGAGATCGCATCGTCCACGAAACCATCGCAGAAAGAGAAGGGGAAAGAAGGACAGGTAGAAAAGGTAACCTATGACGAGGGATTAGCTCAGGGTTACCGTAGTAAGGATGCTGGAACCACGTGCAAAGAGAGATTTTCGTATGCCTCGTTTGACGCTGGCGCAACCGTCAAGAAAGCTAGCCCTGGTGCCAAGAACCCCAAGGCTATCCTCGTCGAGAACAAGGACTCGTATATGCTCCTTGAGTGCTCTATGCAAAACAAGTTCGTCGTCGTCGAACTGAGCGACGATATTCTTGTCGATACTGTCGTGCTAGCCAATTTCGAGTTCTTCTCCAGCATGATACGCCACTTCCGGGTAAGTGTAAGCGATCGCTATCCCGTCAAGTTAGAAAAATGGAAAATATTAGGCACCTTCCAGGCCCGCAATTCCAGAGATATCCAGCCCTTTCTTGTCCAGAACCCCCAAATATGGGCTAGGTATATACGGATTGAGATCCTGAGCCACTATGGAAATGAATATTATTGCCCCATGTCCTTGTTACGAGTACACGGCACCCGTATGCTCGACTCGTGGAAAGAAGCCGATCCTGCCGACCTGGAAAATGAAGACGAATCTAGCAAGACTGCCCCTGAATTTCCCGAAGAAACGGAAACAGTAGAAGTAGTCGAGGACCATCCGCCTGAGGAGGTGGTCGTTGCTGCTGAGTCTCCCCGGATTGAGAATCAAACGGCAGCTGTCTTGGAACAGAGCGAATGGGTACCTTTCTGGAAAGAATCATATTTCCGCCACAGTTACCCCTTTGACTTGACCTGCGGAACGATGGAAGCAGCTGAAGCTACATCACAGCCTAGCCAAGAACGCAGCCAAAATACAGCAGTACCCAACTCCCAGCCTATGGGGACCTTCGAGCAGACAAACTCGGCCAACTCGAGTACATCTTCATCGGGGGCTACAACGACGCCGTCGTCAACCAGTCAGATAACTACAGAGACAGCCAGGCCTGCTTCTTCTACTGCGTCTAGTGACACCTCACCCACCACGGCTATCGCCAATTCAACAGAGTCCGACTCCATTGTGACGCCCTCTCCAGATTCCGTATCTGTTGCTGGAGCCTCATCAACAACTACCACAACCGTATCCTCCCCCAGCGTGCAGACGTCTTCCAAGGGAAAGACCACTGCCTCCACATCTCTTAAACCACCCTCTTCAAGGTCTTCAGTCATCTCCAAGAACCAGCCCTCGGGCTCTCCCACGACGCCCCGCAACAACAAGACATCATCCACAACCTCCTCAGCCGCCTCGGGTCCCACGGTGCAAGAATCCTTCTTCAAGAGTATAACCAAACGCATCCAGGCGCTCGAGTCCAACACCACCCTGTCTCTGCAATACATCGAGTCGCAGTCCAAGTTCCTCCAGGAAGCTCTGGCCAGGCTCGAGAGGCGGCAGGTAGCCAAGGTGGACCTGTTCCTCGATACACTTAACAAGACGGTGCTCGGCGAGCTGCGCGAGGTACGCACGCAGTACGACCAGATCTGGCAGTCGACCATCATCGCCCTCGAGACGCAGCGCGAGCAGTCGGAGCGCGAGATCGTCGCCCTGAGCTCCCGCCTCGGCGTCCTCGCCGACGAGGTCATCTTCCAGAAACGCATGGCCATCTTCCAGTCCCTGCTCCTCCTCGGCTGCCTCATCCTCGTCATCTTCTCCCGCGGCAGCGGCCCAGGTGGCGTCGGCGGTGGCGTCGGCATGGGCATGGGCTTCACCGAGTCCGCCTACTACCCCTCCCAGTTCTTCAACGGCCTCGCGTCGCCCATCTTCCCCTCCACCCCAAGAGCCGCCTCCATGAAAGGCCCCCGCCACCGTGACGCCAGCAACCCCCTCCTCTCCGTCGAGGACGCCGACGCTAGCCCCATCCGCGGCGACACCCCGCCGCAACAGCAGCAGCATCAAGCCCACCTGCGCCGAAACCTTGACCTCGAGCAGACCCCCAATTCCCCCTCCTCCACCCCCTCCTCCCTCCGCCACCGACCTCGCCGCTCCTCCCGGGACCGGGACGACGACGAACCCGATGACGTAGACGGCCACCGTCGTCCATCGCCCAGCAGGGCCTCAACCGAGCCCCCCTCCGCCAACGCCGTAGACTACTACCACGCCCCGACACCGTCAAGCGTCGACATAGGCTATGATTCTGAACCCGCTTTGACGCCTATCTTGCGTAGGAACGGTGGCACCGACGGACACGGAAACGAAAACGGTAATGGCGAGAGAGAGGGGGGCTACTACGCCGATGACAGCGAAGGGTCACGTCAGAATGGCGCATCCAGTTACCTGGACTTGCTAGATAGGCGGTCGGAGAGACAACTGACGCCATCGTTAGAGACTGTCGATCCGGAACACATGTCTTTGTCGAGTAGGCCGGCTTTGCCGCATATGACATCCGCGCGGAAGCCCCTACCTGCTTTGCCAGAAGATCCAGATTAACGTATGTAATGTTCTTAGGCTCCAGCCTATTAGTTATGAATTATGAAGTCATGTTTCAAAGTCAAAGTGCCTACAAGTGATTCGATAATTTGTTAATACCTAACATTTAGAGTCTTCTAAGAATCACGGGGCAGGATGGGGGGATTTGATCGTTATAAAGACAATCGTAGTATTTTATCTATGTCTAAAGCCATGTTGTTCTAGCCCTGCCAATAATAGCCTGCCTACCCACCAGAAGAACCATTTGGCAGCCAACCCAACCCAAATTATGGCGAGAACCACAACTTAATTTACCGAGTGGTTTGGGCCGGCTTGAGAAGCCGATCTATCCTCGCCCAATGTTGACTGGGAGCGCAAAGCGGAAAATGTCGAGAACACCAAATGCCAGAACGCAAGGGTGTTGCCTGATCATTGCGATTTCATGAACGAGGATTGTTATACTTGGTGTGATTTCTTAGAAAGGAAATGTGAGGAAATGAAAAGAAACGAAAAGACGTAAAGAGAAAAAAGAAACGAAAAACGTGCAGGGAAGAAAAAACTCAGGCGTCCACCTCAGCCTAGCACCTAGATTTGTTCTAATTGCAGTGCCATATGTTATGGCTCTCATCGAAATCCACTGTAGAAATGATGAAACCCATAATTCGACTTTGCTCGCAGATAGGTAACTTAGAAGTTCAGACCTATATAGTAGGACAATCTGCGACAACTGTGACATCGATGGAGGGGTGATAAGGTGATTCCCCTATGTTTGTTGGTGAGATCCACCAGGAGCTAAGATTCGTAGCAGTATGGTTTAATATAGATAGTCCTCCTGATATTTGTTGATTTCCATGATAAGGGCTTTGACTTTTGACCTGGTCGTAGACGCAATCAATGTTGTAAATGCGATGAACCCCTTTGAAAGTTCATTCATACACTATCTTGGGTGCTGTTGAGAAATATCATGAATTTAGGGGTGAGTCGGTGGGAGGGGAAGTAGTGGGACGTCATCCATAAGACGGCCACAGAAGCATTCCATGCCTACGACGACTAGTAAAAGGGTAGTTGAGGAAGGGCTGCATCGTAATCGTATTCCTCGAGTCGCGGGTTTCCACGGTCGAATTGAGAGCGGCGTCGTCGCTGCTCGTCGCGGAAATGCTGGCCTGCGTTCGGAGTGAAAAGGCCTGTCCAGATATAGTCAGCAACTTCACTCTTGGAACAAGTCACGGTATAAGTTCAACATACCAACATGCTCGGCATTCTCACAGCTTCTCTTCATCTTCGACTGATTGTCAGGCTCGGGGAAGGGCTCTTCTTGGCCGGCTAAATCAGCGCGTGGGCCATTGAGGGTATAAAAGAGCTAGATGAATAAAATGTGTCAATTACTGTCAAATAACGTTATCCAACAAAATAACTTACTTTGGGTCGATAATGAGGGGCCTCAAGCATCACCGAGCTATTGCGGAACTTCTGGACAAGACAGTCTTTGCCTTGGATGGCTAGGCTTTGGTCAGAACCTGATAAACACGATGGGTCAATTGTACAATGGACTTACTTGCGTAGGAAATTTCTGCAACTTTGTCGCTCTTGAAGCAGTTCCAGCGTTGGTTTCCCCGAGCATTCACAAACTAAAATATGTCAATATAGCCCTTTGTTGTTTGCATGGAAGACAGCTTACATCGATGATGTCGAGTGGCTGAAAGAGTAGATTAGCAACACTGATAATATATATAAGGAAGTTGGGGGTGAGAGACTTACGTCGACAAAGTTGATGAAAGCGTAACCGACACTAAGAATCTAATCAATGACAAACTCATCCACCGTGTAGCGGACGTACTTACTTGCAGTCATTGGCGAAATCGATGCGTAGGTACATGAAGTCATATTTACCCCAGCTAGACTCGTCGACAATTCTCTTCAGCAGAGCTTGATCGACCTTGTTAGGAATGTTGCGTAACATGATCTATGAGGGTTAGTTCTTGCTCATGAGCACATTAATCATATGCAACTTACCGTCGTGCGCACGTCAGTGCCTTCTCGAATGCGGCCAACATCGACGTGGTTATGATGGTTGGCAGCATTGTAATAAGGTGATCGAGAGACTCTCATGGCATTCTGTCGACGATTGTCTGGGCGACCATAATGCTGAAACTGACGGGGAGTCGTGAGATCCGTAGACATGAACGAACCTCTTTGAGGCGTCATAGGGCTCACCAGAGAATAGTTGTTTGATGATAACATGCTACTGGCACTTCGAGAGGGGATTTGGTCGACTACATACGAAGGACTGATTGGTAAACTATGGTATATCATAGGTACCATTCCATAAGAAGGCTGCATTGGAAAGCTGCTCGCAGAGGCAGGCGATCGGGCTTGTGGGGTGAATATGGTATCAGCCGAGGACGAGACAACCGACTGTTGTCGTCCAAGAGACATGTGTCGGAAGCCGGTGTCCAAATCAGCTGGAATCGGTCCAGTTCGAGTCGGATTGAACAATCCACCAGACGCGCCTTGGATCAAGTCCGGCCGGTACAATGTAGCGCAAAATTGCAATCCCTATGATGAACATGTCAGTTACTTGAATATACCTTAAACTGTCAGCTTTGGATGCTCACATCAATGACGAGGTTTTGAAACCGAGTCACAGCGCGTAATGACATGTCGTTATCACAGTACTCAACAACGGCGCTCAAAATGCTTCCCTCTACACCATCTCGGAGTTTAAAGGCGAATAAGTCACCCTCGGTCTGGAGAACTCTCTTCACAAAGCTCTCGAGCTGGTGTGTTTCGTTCGAGGCTCGGGTAGGATGTAGAAACACACTGATATAGAGCTGGCCTTCATGCGCAGTAACAAGACCTGAGCCTGGCTCTACAACCATAGAGAACTCTCGAGGACTGATTGAACGAACAAGCCAATCGCGACCTCCCATCCGAAGATTTGAGAAAACGCTACAGGCGGCACGGATATTGGAGAAGCGAGCGAACACCTGGCCGGCGCAGTCATAGGCCTGCTTACTTCCCTGGATTGAAATACCAACCTGCTGTAGTTCCTAGATACGATACAATTAGTTGATGTACACAAACGTGCTAATAGTAATAGATCTTACTGATAGGTAGATCTCTAAAGCAGCTACGGTCACTCTACCACCATCCTTGGCGGATACAATGAGGCATCGTGAGAGCCCAGAGTCGGTGCTTAGTTGGTCATGAACAAACTCAGAGTGGGTGATACCAGCTCGAGGTGAAGACTGTTCTGAGTTCTGGCCATAGTTCTGACCTAAGCCCTCTGAGAAAACGTCGGGTCCTCGCTTAGGCTCGGATGCCGAGCCTGAACTACGAACAACCAAGGACGAAGGGAGAGGAGAGAAGACTGATGCCGTAGGGGACAGCTTCTGACCAGGTTTGAAACCGGGATCGGATGGAGAGATGAATGGGTCCTTGTCCATGTGGAGGTTGGTACGATAGAAGACATTGGACTTCTCGAGAGTCTGGGGTGCACTCGAAGGGTAAGTGATGGGACCAGCTTCGCGAGCACCAGCTGTGAGAGATCCCAACATCTTCATGGAACGAACAGATCCATCTTCTGGAGAGAAAGTGGTCAATCGAGTATCAGGAGTGCCTTTGTATGAATCGGCACCTCCGCTCGACGAATGAGGAGAGGCCGGGTTAAAATGACCCTCTGGGGCCTGCTGAATGTTCATCTTGTTTGCTGAGTCGTGTGACATTTATGGCAATTGATGAAGAGTAATGCCTTATAAATAAGACTTCATTACCTAGGTAGTCTTTAGATCCGATGTTAGTGATTATAGATGATGTGGTGAATGAGAGGGTGGTTGCATATGAATACATGAGCCCATTTACGAATAATTCTAAAGATAGGGATAGGGTATGGCTTACCTGTCTTGTCGTTTATCAGGTACTGAATACCTAGAGTTATATTCTATAGAACAACTAAATCGCACGGCCTTGCGTACAGTTAGCGGATCATGTTCCATAAGTCTCAATGAGGGTACTGTGTAGAATGGCTTTAGAATGGTCTGGGTCAATGAATGACCTGACTATGGGAATCATGAAACTGTAGAGAGAAGGGATGGGCATTATAAGTGTGATAGGGAACAGATTATGCGAGTGCTGTTCGATAACGACTAGAGCAGGAAAACATGGTAAAGAATATGAAGTTTCGCGTTGAGGTAGGAGTCTTCGGAATTGGGATTGGGATTTAGTAGTGCTGGAAGAAGACTAAGAAGAATACTCAATCAAGCATGAGTACCCCAGGGCTGGGAGGCGCGATACAAAGCTAGCAACTCAAGGGAAAAATAACATATGAAAAACAACATACCAAATGGATTCCTATCTCTTGTAATCTTTTTCTTGGATGGAGGGGAGTGTTTCCTCACGATGGTTCTGTGAATCTCGGGGCTGTCTCCTATTCTAATACTCAGTTAGGAAACAGTTGGCCTGTCTAAAGGTAAGACCAAACTTGGATTGGTAGTGGGATTCTTTACAACCTAAACGAGGTGCTGGGAAATGGAGTTGAAGATCATGGAGGGAAATGGAAGGAGAGACAACTTGAATGTGTAGTAGATGGAGGAAAGGTTAAGTGTGTGAGGAGTAGAGAGAAGTATGAAGGAAGGAAGGAGGGAGGGATTCAAATGAAAATACTGCCTTTAATACTGTGTGGGAGATGAATCGACCTCGAGTCGATTTCGAGTCGTTTTCAGAGGGTTGATAGGAAGGTGATACTCAGAGTAATACACAGGAAGTGGCAGGTGCCAGTTCAGGACGATGGTACTAGATATGCAGGTAGGCACTTACTGAAGTTTTTCGTAACTGTACAGAGTACAAAGGTATGTGATAGTTGAGTAGGTACCTAGGTAAGTAGATAGGTAGGTAGGTAGGTAGGTAGGTAAGAGATGATTTGCGTCCTGATATGTCTCTGTGGAGGATCTTGGAGGAATATAGGCTCCTAGATTAATCTATGGCTTGAATTCCGAATCATACACTGTAAACTTGTATGAGACGGAATGGAGGATTACTTAGACTGGGTAAGTGAACACAAAATAGCTAGATGAGGAGGTTAGTCCATTATTATAAAGACAATGCCACTTGAACTTACAGAGAAATTCTGTGATATCGTGTTCACGTAAGGACAAAAGAGGTTGGAAAATATGGGAACTTAGTGACCCTTGGAATATCAGTTTGGCTCAAGAAGGGTGCTTGAATGTGATTTCAAAGTTGCTCCAAGGCCACCTCACCCCAATGACAAGAAGTTAGGGAATGAAATGGTGCTAGAAAATGAAATCCAGACCAACCCCAAGACGTGACAATGGTCCAAGGCTGGAGACAGATAGAGTGAGAGTTGAGGATTGAGATATGTAAGTAAGGTTGGATGTTGTAGTTGAAGAAGATGGGCCAAAGATCAGCAGGATTAAATACTAAAAATTGAGAAGAGCCAGGACAAGAAAACCGGGCCAATTCTACATTACTGTGCATACAAGAAGCTTCATAAGGAAGGCAAGGATGACTACATTGACATAAATATGGAAAGAGCTCGTTTCAAGAGTGGCATATGGACATCATACTTTGGTAAGAATATGGCAGGACCTACCAAGTACACATATAGCACACTATACATGTGGCTAGTTGTACTGTTGGACAGAGCAATCGACTACTAATTATACACAGGCAATGACCATAACAATTGAATACAGCTGCAGTGCTGCACATGTACTTTCATTGTTTGCACTTTCCCCAGTAGCTTATTAGTTTTTTTTTTCCTTCCTGGCTGGCCTCGTCCCCCACTAAGGAAAGAGGTACTCAAATTCAACCGGTCTGGGTTTAGCTGGGGGTGAATGGATCATCTGAAATGGGATCAGGTGTATCACCCAACAAGGTCTAAATTGGCGATGATTGCTAGTATAACCCGGGAGCTACCCCAAGGAACATTTTCAACACCCATGACCCATGGAGATGCCACTTTTTTTTTTGAGCAGGTTAAGCCTGTAATCAGATTTGGGGCTGATAGCACTGTTGTCATAAGTATGATTTTCTTTCTTCTAAACGCATATATGACCCCTTTTGTCCAAGAGCCACCCTAAGTATTTACTGTATTAGATGATTGTTTTTATTAAAAAGGGGGTGAAATGTATAATAACCACTGGAGCTATCTATCTAATAGGTCGTCTGTTATTCTAGTTATTATTCTAGTTTGTGTGGATATTTATCTAAACATGAATCATCTAAAATAGGGGTTAGGCAAATACCCGTTCGGACACTCATGGAACATGGCCATGTATGGATAATTGGCCTAAACTAGGCACTGTCGATACAGTATGATATGACTGATGAAGATTTTTTCAAAGAGAATCTATACGTACGTTTCTCCATACAGGAGGCTCTAAACAAACCACGAGTAGGTTGAGTTGTTGGGCTAGAATTATTCTAGATAAACTTGGCTAAGAATAAGGACTGCAGTAAATTTCTTGGTGGTTTTAATTTGCCTTCTTGAGAATATTTTGTAGTGATCCATGGATGTATTAGGAGTTCAGAACACCTTGCCTCATATGTGGCTATATCTAAGATACCTATTAGTTATGACGGGCGAACCCTTAGTCGATGAGAGACTGCCAAAATATCATGGACTTATATAGAACTAGACCAGACCACTCGTCATTGCTGGAAGCAAGGATACCCAGTATTGTTATGTAGTACTTCCCGTGATTAGGTATCGAGATTACTATGCACTATGTACTACCTATAAATGTACAAAGCAGGACTCATCTGATCTCATCGATTGACTCCCAATCCCTAGGTTAGAAGCCAATCATGCCATCTGAAGCACGTGCAATACATGTTCTACTCATTCTAGGTATCTAGGCTCCTAAGCATGTCGGATACAAGTCAATTCAAGTGAATAATATAAATTATTATGGTTTTGACGAGAAACTACCGTTATGTTAATGCTTCAAACATTGATAAAAAGAGCTTACAGCAAGCAAGCACATCTGGATGCACTCTCTTGGAATCTTCTGGACGAGTGAAGTTGCACCGACATTGATGGTACCTACTAGTCCAGATAGATTTATAGACTGAAGGTGTTAGGCTAGTCCGCAGCACATATCGAGCAAGTAGTCTTAAGTGATATTCCCTTTCTATATGGCGAAAAAGAAAAGAAACTCCTTCGTTGAAATAATAATGAATACTTTTAGCTAAGTACGTATGTAGTTCTGCGCCACAGATATAAGCCACAGATTTACTAATACCATGCATATCCCTGCAGCGCTGGTGGTGGATCTTTCTGCCGTTGGAGATCTTCAATAAGGTTCTCTGTTTGGGGGGTATACCTAGTAGGTACCCAGGTATCTATCTACGTAGCACTCAAGTACGTTACCTAGTACATTACAGCGCTGAGAGTGCTGGGTCTAGGGATGTACCTAGTAGGTATGCACGTACGCAGCCGCGATCCTGATACGTGAGTCGTCGTCGCCTTGTTGGAAGCATCGATACTGCACAGTGGCATAAGCATTCTTTTATTCTCTACCTAGATATTACCTAATAACGTCGAACCTTCAACTAACGAAACTCCATATAGACCTAATTGATACTAAACTTCATCATTTGGCCTGTAATTATAAACATTGAAGCTGAATGATGAGGAATTGCTTTACTTCGAATAGGCTTTATCCATAAACATCTCCTGTCCAACGCTCCCTGTCGCATTGTGATGCACCTACTTCAACGTCCACCATCATGATGGCACGAAGGGTCCAGAACTACGACGATTATGGCACCGCAGTCCATCAGATAATCCTATCAACCTCAGATGCCGAATTCCTCGATCAGTTAATACCAGTCTTAAAAGATGCGACAGCAACTAATCGAGCTGCCGCTCTCACACAAAACTTATCGCAATATGCCGACGATCGAGAGTCAGAAATTGAGAGGATAGGCTTAACGAAGCACGAGGAATTCCTCGGTTCTGTCAATCACCTCCAAAATGTCCGCGAGCGGACGGTCGCTCTGACTGCGGATATCCTCGAGTTGAATCAGTCCATTCAAGCCAGTACCGAGAAGTTGGCAGAGCAGAAGCAAGCATTGGTCAATACGAAAGCTGTTCGAGAGAATATTTCCGAAGTATCCGATGCGTTGAAGGAGTCTTCGAAGATCCTGCACGCAGTCAACAACGCCCACGAATTGATCCGGAAAAAGAAGTACTACGCTGCCCTCAAGTCTCTCGAAGATCTTCAGAACGAGTTCCTGGTTCCGATAATACAGAATAATTATGCAACCCAGCACCAACTCGCCAACCTAATACAGAAGTCCATTCCTGCCTCCCAGAAGACTATATCCGAAGCGGTCATGACAGATCTCAACACATGGTTATTCCGTATTAGAGAGACGTCCCAATTTCTTGGCGAGGTGGCATTCTACCACACTGAGATGCGCCGTACACGGCAACGAGAGAGGTCAGAGAAGGATGAGTTTCTAAACCATTTCAAACTAAACTCTGCGATCGAGCTGGTATTCGACGAGAGTGAGGAATTTGACGTGCTAGACAACGAAGAGTTAAAGGTGCCACTTTGATACCCCCGCCCCCTAATGGGCTTGAAGATGCCATTTGTACTAATTTGAGACAGGTCGATTTTTCGCCTCTATTCGAAGCTTTACACATACATGATGCCCTCGGGAAAACTGATAGGTTTCGATCCGAATATGCTGCAACCAGAAGACGGCAAAAAGAACTTCTGATACCGATTTCCGTGAGCCTTACGACTGATGACGAATCTTCTTCATTGAGTAGCTTGTTGGAGGGCATTGCCGGGTTTGCGATTATCGAAAAGGCGACAATGCGGCAAGCTCCTCAACTACGTACAGCTATAGATGTGAGTAGTATCCGCCATTCCACTGAGTAAAGAGACTGAATGTTTCTAGGTTGAGGAGCTGTGGGATTCGATGTGCTCTGCTGCGATATCCCTGACGTCGAAAGCGCTAACTGACATAAACGATGCCCAAATTCTCTTAAATGTCAAGGGGCGAGTTGATCTCTTCATTCTGACAATGGAGGTAAGTAGCCTAGCACGGGAACCTGGTGAGCTAGTGACTTTCTAACATGTTTCTTTTAGGGATGGGGATATTCCGTGTCAAGACTAGATGAGTTTCTGGTCGATCTTTTCGATAGATACGCTGATCTACTGAAGAGGAGGTTCAGCGATGACTTCCAAGAGGTTCTGTCTGGCAATTATTGTGAGGAAAATACCATCGCTGACTCTTTTACTAGATCGTTTCGACTGATGATTATATGCCAATGGCTATCAACACAAGAGAAGAATATGAGAAGGTGGCTAACGTTAGCTGGTTTGCCCCTGAGAAACCTATTGAAGAGCTCACGTAAGCCTCGATGATACTTCTTATGACAATACCTATCTAACTGTCTTTAGTTTCCCCTGTGTTTTGCCCTTCTCGCAGATGTATCCACTGTGTTGCATCGATATCAGGAACTTCCTCAACCAGTTCTACTTTTTCTCAGATGACCATTTTCAACATCCTAATAAGATTGATGATACATTACGCAAAGTACGCCTCAAATATCCACACTCTCTCATCTTGTTGCTAACCTGTGCCACCAGTCTCTTGATGAACTCCTCACCACAAAAGTGTGCCAGTCCCTGGTCGAGAGATTAAGTTCGCAATATCTGGGCCAAATAGTCCAGATTTTGATCAATCTCGAGCATTTCGAGATTGCCTGTCAGGAATTGGAGCAGCTGCTTATTCGAGCGCGGTCATCGGCGTCTGCAGGCGGACCTTTAACTTTGGCTGCCACGGAACAGTTTAGGGATCATAAAAAGACGGCGGAAAAACGCATTTTTGAGCTTGTGAACTCCAAAATCGATGACCTTGTCGAGACGGCAGAGTACGATTGGATTGCATACAGCCGTCCCACGGAACCGAGCAACTACATGCAGACATTGACCAGGTATCTGTCGAACATTATGAACTCGACGCTACTAGGCCTACCAAGAGAAATTAAGGAACTTATTTACTTTGACGCGCTCAGCCACGCGGCAAACAAGATCCTCGTTAGTATCTCCTAGAGCAGCTCCAAGACGTGAGACTGATAGATGAATTGCAGGCCCTCCCGCTGTCACCGGACGTCAAGAAAATCAACCCGAACGGCGTTGCGGCGCTTTCGATGGATGTCCAGCATCTGACTCACTTCGTCGACGGCCTTGAGAATGGCTTTATGCTCCGGTCCAACTTGGACGAGCTGGAACAGACCATCCAGCTTCTGCAGTCGGATAACTCGGACGAATTCTTCGACATTTCTACCAGGAACAAGAAGTACGGGCGCGTAGATGCTTTGAATGGTCCTATCTTGTTAGAAAAGTGAGTACCGCCCCTTCGAGCTACATACGCCTTCAACCTTCAAGGGGGCCGACCCAACATATACTGACCCATCTATTCTAGGCTTACTTCACATATCTTGAGTCCAGGCCAGACTGCGCAGCGATTCGCCAACTTCTCCTCGAACCTCTCATCACGCTTTGGAACTAAATAAAGCAGATGCTTAAGCATGCAAGAGAAGACAAGGCAAGGTTATCTATCTACATGCCTACCTAATCAGGGCAGCGCTCAACTTGTATAAGCCATATTCATGCATGCCACGAGCAGGCACATAGAGAAGCCAAGGTCATCTAAAAAAGAAGAGAAAGAGGTTCAATTGCATTCATATCACCATTTGTATCCGCATGAAAATAATAGCGGTAGTAGTAAAAACCTGGAGCTCGACCTTAGAAACCCCTCCTACGCCAAACTAGCAAAAGAATAAGGACAATGTATCGCCTCGTAATATGCACGGAAGTACCAGCTCTCTCTGGAATGTACTGTTCTGTCTTCAAATGTTGTCTGTGAGTGTCTGCGTGTCTGCGTGTCTGCCTCTCCATTTCCACTTCCTGCCTCCCTGTGTGTTTGTGTGTATCTGTCGATGTAATAACCACCCGTGTTTGGACGTAGGTATTACTTGTGTAGTATCGGATTTCGTAAACTTCGTTTCAAGACCGTCGTTCTTCCTCCCTCCCTTCCTCCCTTCCTCCCTCCCACCTTGCAGCATACCGGATTTGAGTAATAAAAAGAAAGACTCCCGATAAAAAAAGAAAACAAAAAAACAAAAATAAACTCGCATAAAAAAAATCACCCGACTCTTATCCTGATGGGATTCATCAAGTTAAAAAGTCCGTAGTCCGTCCACCTCTTTCCTTCCTAGTACTCTATCTAGCAAAATCCGTCGCGGTCCTGGCGTGGGCGCATCAGGGGGGGCTGTACAACCAACCAACCAGCTTCTGGGTTAGGCAAGGTGCCTAGCTAGGCACCTTCTTCCTGTTCCACGGGAGCTGAGGTTGATGTTGTATTTTCCGGCTTGCCCCCCGCTTGGTGGGGGTCTTCGTTATTATCCACGTGCCTCAGGCCATCCTACTGCTGCTGAGGCATACCCGGATAACCATACATACCTTCCATGTCGCCGTACATGGCCTGCGGGGGTTGCTGGCTGTAGGGGCCGCCGGGCCCTGCCTGCACCTGGTTGTACATGGGCGGGCCACGGTATTCCTGGTCGCCACCCATGGCGTGGCCGCCCATGCCGTAGTCGCCTGGGCCCATGTGGTTGGCGCCGGGCATGCCGTGCGCTCCGGGCATTTGGTTACCGGCTGCGGCGGGAGGCACGCCGCCTTGGGCTGCCTGCGATTGGGCGGGGTTCGTGCGCTTGGCATGGCTCGCCTCTTCGCGCGGGACGATGTCGATGAGGAAATCGAACATGTCGCTCTTGGCGAGGGCCGAGGCGATGTCAGAACGCTGTAAGGTCCGGCGTTTGTTCTCCTCGGCGTGGATCCAGGCGCGCATGGTCAACTCGGTGATGAATATATCGCAGCCCTTGGCGAATAGAATTGGTGCTTCAGCCGAAATCATTTTTACCTCTGGATCCGCCTTCATGACCTTCTTAATTCGGGCGAGGGGCAGTTGATGTAGTTTGTAATCATGTTGGTCTGATTCAAGATGGTTGATGGTGTTTTGCCAGTAGGTCGTCAGGATATCTTTGTATTGGCCATGTAGACCTTGATGTACGTTGGCCCAAGGTCCTGTGTAGAGCTCGGCGGGTGCGAAGCCGGAATTTGCAAGCTAGATAGAGGATATTGTGTTAGTTTAGCTAGGTAGAGATAGCCGGATGGGATGGGAACTTGATGACATGAGAGAAAAACAGATTAGAGTAGAGTAGAGTAGAATAGAAAGGGAAAGAGAGGGGAAAGGGGAAAAGAGAAGAGGGATACGGGAGAGAGGGGGGGGGGGAAGAGAGCGAGAATGGTGGGACTCACAGCTGCACTGGCACCTAGAAGCAGAGATGATTAGCGACGTCGCACGAAAGAAGGCAACTCGCAACAAGATGAGAGAATGCAATCAAAAGGTAGCAAGGTAGCTGTACTTACCATAATGTCCCCCGTGTGCTATATCATACACTCCAGCCGCTGCACCTCCTCGCGAGGACTGCGGGTGATTCGACGAGGACTGATCCATGATTTTTTTCGATTGATTTGAAGGGAATTGCGCACGGAACAGTCCTACAAGCTTAAAGTGCGCAAGCGGAGAAGCACCGAGTATTTCAAAAGCTGCGCAAAACAAACACAACTCGTATTGTCCTTGACTAAAGCTGGTATGGCTGGTATAGCTGGTACAGCTGGTAGGCAAACGACAAGGCTTTCTTTGCGCGATGGTATTGCAATGCACTAGGTTACTGCACTGCACCTGTACCTGCACACGACACCAACTTGAAGCTGTTAACCTCTAGAGAATATTTTCAATCTTCTTCTTTTCTTTTCTTCGTTTCTTTTCTTCTCTTCTTTTTTCTTCCCTTTCTATCGTTTGCCGGGTATCCTCGTTTGTAGGTATGACTGAGTAAGGATACTGTGCTGTGCTGTGCTGTGCTGTGCTGTGCTGTGCTGTGCTGTTGTATGTAGACACTAGACAGACTTCCCGAGGGCGGAGAATTAAAAATCGAATAATTGAACTGTTTGTATTGTATTGTTTACACAGGCCGGGGTCGAAGCTTTCTTGGTGCGCGTGGTGATGTAACAAAAGAGCTTTTTTGAACCAGTTAGTATTTGAGTCGAGCTCGGATTGGCGAGATTGATTGGCCCGAGGACAAGTTCAAGGTGGCTGGGGGCGGGAAGTGACGAGCTCTCGGGAGAGTCGAGGTTGATTGGACGATTGTTCTTGAACTTATTTTTTTAGATGAAAATAACAAAAAAAGAAAAAAAAAAGAAAAAAAAAAAGGTTGTTTGGGCTATGCTTGTTTGTGATGTGTGATTTTAGGTTCGAGGATTTGATCAAGGTATTATGATTCGATCTACTAAGAAATGTACCATATGCTCATTAATATTATTCGTCCGTTTACTGTTGCCTTCTTCTTTCCTTTCTTTTTTTCTTTTTTTACCTAAGGGTAGTTTCTTAATCGAAAGGTTTGCTTACCTTCTTTCTTGTCTGGCGGCTCGCTCCGAGATGCCCACTTACTTAGGTAAGATGGTGCTATGTATTTATTCACCTAGTAAAATAGGTAAGGTACTGTAGGTAGGTACTAATCCTTGCTTGATATCCTTTTTCAAACTGACGAGATGGCTCATTAATGAAAAGGAATAGAAAGAAAAAAAAGAAGAAGGAAAAAGGAAAAAAAATAAAATTGGATGATTATCCTTATGACTGACTGCTTCCTGCTTGCTGCTGTAGTTGTTCAATTTATGCAGCATACGTTTTAATAGTATTGCATGAACATATATGTATGCTACCTAGTAGGTATGTATGTATAAGTACGTAGGTAGTTCAATGATCTGATCATTAACAACTCAGGATTATTTATTTAGCTCTATGTATGCGTTGGTCGGGATTGGGTAATAACGAGAACCGATTTTCTAGAAGTGCTCAGATCTTCGATGCATTTTTACGTTGTAGGATGTAGGGCTGGCCGTTGAGACTGGGCAGCCTCGATGGAAATCAATGCGCTGGCAATATGGTTGGGCATCAGCGACCCTCGACTTCAGCGACTTCAGCGACTTCAATAGTTACCTAGAAGTGGGCTATCAAGGATTTACATACAACTCGAAGCGACCGCATGTCTTATCGATAACTTTGAAATTTATCCTAGTAGAAAGCCACACAACTTCATTCAAGCCACGACCTAACTACTATCGACTAGGCTCAATAATGTTAAGGCTGTTCAAAAGAAATTTTGTAGGCTCAAGTTTTTTTTTTTCTTCGACAGCCCCAGATAATTCTAATCTCTTCAACTCTCAAGCCCCTCGAGACTGCCAACAAATCGTGTGGCTGCCTATCATGGCCGACACAATGGCCGCAGAAAATCTGTCAGACGACCAGATTGAACAACTCCTCAAGGAAGCTGAATTAAGATTGCAAGCCAAGCAACAAGAACAGGGAAATGATAGCAAGGTTGTCGCTGCTCCCTCCAAGTCTAGCATTGTAAAAGCTTCTAAGCAAAATGTCTCGGCCACTTTAGGCCCCTCCAAGAACAATAGCAAATCTGAAAAGGAAAAGCTGTCGGTGAGGGTGCCAGAAGTTCGAAAATCAAAACAGGAAATGGTACGTCAGTTCATGCTTTCCTTTTGCCCTGTACAAGTTTGTTCCCGGCACCCACCTTCATGATGAAATTTAATTCCAATTTTATTGAAGCGGCCAATGTTCCCGTTATGGGTAACATAGCTGCACCAGAATGATAGATCAATTATCATAGTTACTCTGACTTTTCCTCTATTGGTCTCTCTCGTTTGGCTTCTTCGTAGGCTATCCTGCTAACCAATTCCCAGGCTGTCAAGACAGATGCCGGTGCCTCGTGGTTCAATCTACCGCGTACAGATCTCACCCCCGAACTCAAGAAGGACCTGCAATTACTACGCATGCGCGACGTACTAGACTCGAAGCGATTCTACCGCAAAGACACTGCGAGGGCCCTGGTACCTGAGTTCTCCTCAGTGGGAACCATAGTAGAGGGCCCGACCGATTTCTTCAACGCTAGATTAACCAAGAAGGAACGGAAGCGTACTCTGCTTGAAGAGGTCCTGGAAACTGAGGATATCACTCGCAAGTTCAAGAACAAGTATGGTGAGATTCAAAGTGTCAAGGCAAGTGGCAAGAAGGGTCACTACAAGAAGATGATGGAGAAGCGATATGGCCACAAGGGTTGAGGCTCGGCAACGGAGAGCATGAACTCGCGCCCCATTTGTGCGCGGCGTAAGACATGCGCGAAGCATTCCTCTTCCTGGATGTTTGCGAAATTTCGCCTACCATGACACCAGGGAGTTGCAACAGTCGCACTGCTACAATACTAAGCCATGATAGTAGCACTAAACGCTACATCTGTCCGAAGGGGCATATGAGTAAGTTACTTCTCATTCCGGCATCAGTAGCGTGTGTCTCATCAGTATCGACTCTTTAGCTGCTACCAAGAGGAAGGAGATATGCCGTGAAGCCTGGTCCAGGTTGTACATCTGAGCTTCTATAAACGGAGTTAGATGACCTCATCACGCATCACGACTAAGCTGTTTGGTACATAATGATGGACAACTGGGTATATAGAACCCAGTAAGTATGCCTAGGCTTGAAGTCCTCGTGCAAGACAGGCCTGTAGCAGAGAGGGCGTAATGCAACTGCCATCAGGCCTTGGTCATGTAACATATAGGTGACGATCAATATATTGGTTTTGATATTTTCCATGTGCTGCTTCTTGATAACATTTATTTAGTGATTAGGATGTAATGTGTAAGAGTACTTCTAGTTACTAGGTCCCATATGTAGTATCATTCTTATAGACTTATTCTTGTTGTATCTGCCTATGTACTTGCTCCGGGGTTGTGGTTGAGAAGTGCTTGATGATCGATCTGGGTAATAGGGTGTTTTTGTATCCTATATTTGTTCTATTTTATGAGTACATGTAATACCTGGTATGAGTACCTGGGATACTTGTGCAGGTACGTGCTTAGTACTGCTTATACTGCTTATTGGGCCGGACTTTATCCGGTGTTCATCAACAACTCAGAACTGCCCACCCTGGACCTGAGCTACTGCACCTAACTCAGCTACCTAAAGGTACAAACAATACAGTGCTCTTTAATACATGAGATCGTGCCGTGCAGTGCTCCCAACTTGAAAGTCTTACCAACTCAGGTGATTATTGTGATTCCTATCAAACAAATTGATAGAAACATGGTATCAAGATGATAAAGTGAAAAACAAAGATGGAAGCAACGCATCCAACTACCGGTTGGGAGAAAGTGGGAGACAAGTTTTACCGTAAGACACAGTTGTATACCGCCATATTCGATCAAAATATCGACCTCGACAGTTATATTGTTGCTGGTGCTCCATATGGCGGTGCTATAGGTAAGCCGGTGTTCCACTCAAATATCATATATACGAAGTACCTACACATATATACATATCTAACACCACTCAGCAATATGTCGTGACGACACCAAAATCGTCTCATATCAGCCTTCCAAGTCGTCAAAGCCCAGCATTGATATATATAGCTGTGCCGGCAAATTGTTGAAGAGCATCTCCTGGGATAAGGGGTCTATCAAAGGCTTGGGTTGGTCTGAAGACGAGAAGCTCCTGGTAGTGAGCTACGATGGGACCGTAAGATGTTATTACAGCTTACAAGGCGACTTTACTCAATTCTCACTTGGACGTGAGGCGGAAGAATTCGGTGTTCACTCATGCCGGTTCTACGACCATGGCATGGTTGCCTTACTTACCAACAACGCGCTTATTTCGGTATCCTCCTACGATGAGCCACGGCCCAAGGCGCTTGTATCGCCACCGGAAGGAGAAGTCCATGCGTGGGCTATCATCTCCCCCAGCTTTACATTATCGAGGTCGGTAGAGGTGCTGCTGAGTATTGAAAAGACGGTTTACGTTATCGACGCAACCGAATCCGAAGACCGGTTCCTTGATATCGGTCCATTTTCACATATCAGTGTATCCCCGAACGGCAAATTCGCAGCGCTCTATGCCGCGGATGGAAAGGCTCACGTGATCACTTCAGACTTCCAGAGCCGGCTGAGCGAACACGATTCGCGATCACAACTCACGCCCAAGTATTTGGAGTGGTGCGGTAACGATGCCGTCGTCATCGCGTGGGAGGATGAAGTGAATGTTGTAGGGCCCAACAATGCTGTAGCGAGTTACGTCTACGAAGATCGTGTACATGTTATCGCAGGTAAGCTGCAAAAATGCCAACTACCAATTTACTGTCCCCTAACGAATTTATAGATCACGATGGTGTGCGGCTCATCACTAATGATGTTTGCGATTTTCTCCAAAAGGTACCGGACGTCACGGATGAAGTATTCCGCTATGGCACCGAGTCTCCGGCTTCTGTTTTGCTCGATGCGGTAGAGCAGCTCGAGAATGAGTCCCCAAAAGCGGACGATAACATCCAACTCATCAGGCCGAACCTCGTTGAAGCAGTGGATACTTGTGTCGCGGCTGCTGGGCATGAGTTCAACATCCACTGGCAAAAGCAACTGCTCAAAGCTGCTTCTTTCGGTAAATCAGTGTTAGATATATACAACAGCGATGACTTCGTCGACATGTGCGAGACAATGCGAGTAATAAATGCCGTACGGTACTACGAAATCGGCCTGCCCCTGTCTTATGAACAGTATCAGCGCCTCACTCCTGAAGGTCTGATACAGAGGCTTATCAATCGTCACGAATACTTGCTAGCGCTTCGCATCGCTGGCTACCTCCGGCTGCCCACAGATCGCATATACGTCCATTGGGCATCTGCCAAGGTGCGTGTTGGAACTGAAGAGGATGATTTGATTTGCCGATTAGTCGTGGAAAAGCTTTCTGGCAAGCCAGGTATTTCCTTTGAGGCTATCGCTCGTGCTGCTTACGATGAGGGTCGCGGCCGACTGGCTACCGAACTACTGAACCACGAGCCCCGCGCGGGACGACAGGTGCCGCTTCTCTTAAGCATGGAGGAAGACGAAATCGCACTAGACAAGGCGATCGAGAGCGGAGACTCTGATCTGATTCTCTTCGTGCTCCTTCAGCTAAAGAAGAAGCTCCCGCTCGCGTCCTTCTTCCGCGTAATAAACGCGCGGCCGACAGCCACTGCCCTCGTGGAGTCTTCGGCGGCGCTAGAAAACGATAACTCCTTACTCAAAGACCTCTACTACCAGGATGATCGCCGGATCGACGGGGCGGGAGTGTTCCTCCGCGAATCCATGGAACAGCCCGATGCCCGCACCGCTGGCGACAAGCTGGCACTTGCCGCCAAGCTCCTGTCCGACTCGCGGGAGAACCACTTCGAGCTGACGGCGTTGAAGGAGGCGGCGACGCTGCTGCGGATGCAAGAGAGCTTTGATCGCGACCTGACGGACACGTTCACCGGCCTTAGCGTCAACGGGACGCTATTCAAGCTGATTCGCCTGGGCTATCATAACAAGGCGAAGAAGATCCAGAGCGAGTTCAAGGTCCCAGAGAAGGTGGCCTGGTGGATCCGGTGAGTTTATCTTCTACATCTCTCCCCCTTCCCCTTTCCCCCCAGCTCTCCCATACCTTACTTAATACGTGCGTATCAATGCAATAGCTAACAACTATCTCTACCCGGCCATAGACTACGAGCACTCGTCGCGAAGCGAGACTGGAACGAGATTGAGGACATTGCTAAGAGCAGAAAGAGCCCTATCGGCTGGGAGGTAAGAGAGCTTTCTCTACTTCCATATTTTTCCATCCATCCAGCCTCATATGCATTCCTCCAATACTAACACCTCCTCCCCCCCTCTTTTTCCAGCCCTTCTTCAACCAGATCCTCCAAGCCGGCAACGCCCGCCTCGCCGCCCTCTTCATCCCCAAGTGCACCAACCTCGAGCCGGGCGCCGTCATCACCATGTACGAGAAGTGCAACATGCCCGTCAAGGCCGCCGAGGAGGCTGTCAAGGTCCGCGACGTCGACGCCTGGCACCGCCTGCTCGAGAACGCCGGCAGGAATACCCCCGAGGGCAGGGAGATCGAGCAGCTGGGCGCGCTGGTGTTTAAGAAGTAGGGAAGTACGTAGCCTAGGGAGTTACAGTATAGTATGTATGTATGTAATAGGACCGAAGAAGAAGAAGAAGAAGAAGAAGTTATGGATCTTCCATTCTGCTTAGGCTAGGAGGGTTTGGTCATGTCTATGTCTACGTAACCGACCTACCTACCTACCTACCTACCTCGGTAGTTAGTTAGTAAGTAGCAATAATATCGAAAGAACTAACCTAAGACTAGAACAGCATAGCACAGCACAGCACACAGAACAGAACAGAATAGCAACGCATCAAGGAGACAAAATGTAACATGGCAAAACATCATTTTCGCATTTCTTCTTATACCGATGTGTCTATGTGAATGAACATCAATCAATGGTCTGACCGACTACCTAGGTAACTTCATTCAGAAGGGAAGAAAGAAGAGTGGACAGACAGAAAAAAAAATGTCCCGTGATTCATTCTCTCTCTCTCTCTCTCTCTCCCCTCCCCCCCGCCCCACAAACTCCGATACAACATTATCGAGAAACTATCACACCATAGGTAGTCGTAGCTAGTAGGGCCGTGTCGTGACTATGACCGACCACCTAACTAACTAACCCCTGAGTAGGTAGGTACCTAGTAGATTGATTGATTGATTACTGGGTAGGTAGCATCGGAGACAAGAAACATCCATTGCCTTCCTTTTCCATACCTCACTCGGCAGACGATTGAAAGGAGAGGAGGAGAGGAGAAGAAGAATTAAAAGAAAACGAAGAAGAAAAAAAAAGTGAGGGAAATAGTTTCCTTGTGCCCCATCCGCAAACTCCAAACAAGACTTTTTTCTCTTCTGTCATTCCGAGGGGGAAACCAACAAAATTACCTAAGCGAAGTTGTATGTTTTCTTCGTTCGTGGTAGTTCTGTGTGGCCCAGCCTGTCATTGCTCAATGATATCATTTCCCTCCCTGCCGCCCTCCAAATTCAAAACCTCCCCTTTTCCCCCAGTGACAACCTTGATGCACATTAAGAATATGCCAGAAGTGCTTTTTTTTTCGTATTCGTAAGGGTGACGATCCCCTCTCCAGTTAGACCGAACTTAGCAAAGTGCCTGTCAACGCAAAATAGAAGGGAATAATAGGTAGTAGCAAAGCCAACCACCAGAGAAAATGATCAGACCTTTTGAATCAACTCTAGGAAGATGCACACATCAGTGTTATAAAGTGCGTCCTATGGTACTAATGACAATTCCTTCATGACTGACTAGGGGTATATACGGTAGGGCAAGGACGTTATCGGTAGGATGAGCCTTATGCCGTAACAAAGGAGTCGTCACAACGAAAGGGGGCATTGGGGAAAGATCAAAAAGACTTATTCGTATTGTAAGTCCACATCATTATGGTGTCAGAGCTCTCAAATACAGGCCTGGGCGTGTAAAATCTGGGGGTTTGTACAATTTGTCGTCTTGCCTAGACGCGTGCACGACGGCCGCCTTTGGTGTTTCCCTTAGATACCATCGTCCATCCATCAGGATCCTGTGTTGGAGCAGCCTCAGTCTCAGGCGTAGGAGACTGAACCTGCGCAGGCTGCTGCTGTGGAGTAGAGGCGGGAGCGTTCCCATTTGCTCGGGGAGGTCTTCCTTCATTGTTGCCTCGAGGTGCTCCACGAGCACCACCACGTCCTCGACCCTCGCCACGGCCTCGCGCGGCATTCACATACCCTCCACCGCGACCACCCTGTTGCGTTTTTTCTGATGACGTTCGCCAGTTGCCGCTCTCGTTTGCCCTAGATTTGGGGGTCGGAGCGTTCTCCTTAGCTTTGATCGGCGCCTTCTGCTCTGAAGCACCACCATTCTGAGAGGCCTCTTCCTTGGGCTCTTCCTTGGGCTCTTCCTTAGGCTCTTCCTTGAGTTCTTCCTTGGCCTCGACCGCAGCCTTCTCTGCTTTTTGCTCCTTCAACGCCTTCAGGTCTGCCGTGGCCTTCTCTGCATCAGCGGCAGCTTTCTCCGCCTTTTCTGTAGCCTCCTTTGCCGCAGCTTCCTTAGCAAGGCGTCGCTCTTCTTTGGCCTTTTCCTCTGCTTCTTTCTTTTCCTTTAAGGCTCGCTCACGCTTCTCTGCGACCGCACGTTCTTTTGCTGCCGTATCAATAGGACGAGCAGCGCCGAATGGGCTCGCTTTCGAATCGCCGCTTGCAGAGGGTAATCCAGGGGATACGACATCTGGAGCCTCGGACACAGTACGTTTCTGAAGGTTGAGCCGGGGGCGGCCTGTAGGAGCGGCTGGGGCAGCGGCGGGGGAAGGGGGCGCCTCGCTTCCATCACGAGATTGCTCGGGTGACTTGACAGTTCGATCAGGTCTCATGTTGCTGCGCCACTGGTTGTCACGTTCTGCCGCAGTAGGAACGCGTTCCGCGCGTTCGGGCTTATCTTTGAATTCTCTAGGGGGCCGGGAGCCCTCTTGACGGCCTTCGCCCCAGGTAGCAGGTGATGCTCTGCGATCCTTTCGAAAGCCATCGCCTCGGTTGGTATCATTGGATCGCGGACGGCTGTTGTCTCGTGACCCTGAAGAGCCTCCTCCAGTTCGTTCAGCCTGAGGTAGTGGTGACAATGGGCCCTTGCGCTCCCAGTTGCCAAAATCACGGACTTTGCCGTCGTCAACAGGTGCATCACGCTCACGGTCACGGAAGTTAGGTCCTCGTCGTTCGCCAAACTCGGCAGGACGTCGATCGTTACTACGACCTGGGAGATCTGCCAAGGGGCCCTTTCGTTCCCAGCTGCTGAGATCACGCGCCGACTCGCCGCCGGCACCGCCACGGTTGTCTCTATCCTTGGCTATAATATAATCAGCATGATTGCTTAACAAGAAATTACCAGAGAAAATACTCACGGGGATCAGCGATCTTAATCTTGATCATCCGGCCCTGGAAGCTAGTTCCGTCGAGGGTTAGGGCCTTCTTCAGACCTTCAACATTTGCAAACTCTGCATACGCGAAGCCTTTCGGACGTTGCTCGATACGATCCTCAATAATTCGGACGCTAGTAATCTCACAGTCCTCGAAAAAATCGGTAACGGATTCAGTGGTCGCTTCATAGGACAAGTTGCCCAGATGAGCGGTGTAGGGAGGCTTGGTTGGGAGCTGAGCGGGACCCTGAGAGTAGGAATCACGATCACGAATAGAGAAGCCTTATTTATTTTTATAAATGTTAGCAATCGATTAACAATACTAAACAGTTATATATACTTGAACATACCTCGATCATTAGTTTGACCTCCGTAGCTAGAATATCCTCCAGTTCGTCGATCAGCGGTTGAGGAAGGCAAAGGCTGAGAACCTAGAGAATGATGGATTAGCAAACGCAAATTTGTGCAGATAATTAAATGGGAATGAACATACCGTATGAGTCCTCAACTTCATCAGCCCAGGAGCCGCCATATTCTGTTATATTCAGTTAGCTAGGTTGCTCGTTCCTGTTTCGCTTTCTCGCTATTAAGAGGAGTTTTCTGGTTTGAAGTTTTTTTTTCTTGTTTTTGCTTTGTGTGCCGTCAACTGACAGCGGTAAAGCCGATGATAACAGGGGAAAGGGGAGGTGGGTGGTGGACGAAAGGGTGGACTAACTCGGTTCCTGCAAGAAGACCCCGATGGGCATCTTCAGCTGCTGCTGGTCCTTCTTCTTAGGAGCTATAATGTATCAATTGTTAGCATGTGATGTTAAAGAAGGATATGAAAAGGCGGGGATAACAGCATACCCATGATTGCGGTGTTTAAGGCCACGCGCAACGCTTCTGGTAGTCGTCGCGCGTAGTGGTTTAGAAAGGATCGCCGAAGAAACTAGGGAATAGTCCTTCAGTAGGCGATGGAGTAAAGATCAGACAAGTCGGGAGAAGCAACAACAGCGAAATACTGATACAGATGCTAGTCCGACAAGGTTGGGATTGAGATGATAAGTGGTGACCGAAAGTTTGCGGGATTGGGGGGATTGGCGAGGTGACGAAGGAAAAGTTTCCTCGATCAGAATTAAAATAAAAATGGATGCTGTGAAAAAAATGGCCGGGAGGGCTAGCTCAGGTTTGGTTTTTTTTTTTTTTTTTTTTTTTTTACTACTTGGTAGTTATGTACCCTCTTCGGAACGTATGAGGAGATGAAATGCGTTAGGGGTGGAAGAAAGAATTGACTGGAGAAGACACAGAGTACAAGTTACTCGAGTACCCTTATCTTAATAGGTTGAAGAAGATTGTGATGGCGGGGTTATTTTCTTATGTATGGATGAATGTATGGATGTATTTTGTTTATGAGTGAACATTTAACTTTAAACCCACCAGCCCACCAGCCCACTTCAAGTTCAGTCAAATGCTTAACTACCTGAATAGGTATAGCTGCTGCCTAGGTAACCAAGAGCCTAGACCAGATTGGGTTATAGGCGATACTCATGCGTATGCAGATAGACGCCACTATGCTCATAAATGCATAAACCCCATAATTTTGACGTAGTTGCAAAGCTATTTGTACCTCTATTGAAACTAAAACGTAGGCTTTTAAGAGAACAAGATCTAGGTATATTCCCAACAACACCTTTATAACCTAACCTAGAATATTAAAGAAATACTCCAATATTAAATATCTCGATGAAGATTTTGGAGGCTTAACCCCGGCTCAACCCCTCCATCTCATCGTCTTCCAATTTAAGTAGCGGTTACTGGATCATTCTCTCATTCTTCATTGGCCAGATTTCTCTGCCTAAGTCATTTAGTCAGGTACCTAACTCCCAAGTACCTAGCCAATGCCAGCCATATGTAGTGCCTAGTACGTGCCTAGGTAGTATAGGCATAGAGGGGTTCTTGCCGCCGATAGGCAGGAAATCTAGAAAATCTCGAAAATCTCGAAAATCTCACTTCGATCTCATTCTCCAATCAATATAATTATTTAAATGCCATTAAATCTCATAGGTGAAATCTGTAAATAACCTCCCAACACATCACTCAACATAGTACCATTCTCGTATTTGTGATTGCTTAGGTATCTACTTACCTATACTTACTTGAACACTAATGCATGCAAATCGACGGTACTTCTGGGGTGATCTGGCAGAGTCTGGCAAAGTCTGGCAGAGTCTAGTCAGTATCAGTGCCTAAACAAACTTGCAACCAACAAACAGTCTTTGCTCCTTTCAATATTCATTCAACGGGCTGCTATTGGTTTTTCTTCCTCTACTCCGGCAAACATTTCAACAGAATGGCCCCTTCACGTCCGCCGTCCTCGGCCTCAACCCCTATCTCAAACGCAGACAATGATGACGCGCCTTCAACCAATGACTTTATGAAAATTGCGGCCAAATCGTTACAGACGGGAGCAATGACTGGTAGGGGCCATACCTCACCTACTATTATATTATAATGTACCCTTCTAACTTTGTTTAGGTGGTATTGGATTACTAGTAGGAGCTGGTACTGGCATTGTTCGATCAGCTCCACCTGTGATATTCGCAATTGCTGCTAGCCTTCAATGGTTTGCTCTCGGATCTACCTATATGGGTGAGACACCTAATCTCTAGGTCCTGATTCTGTGTTACTGATCTGGAGATAGCCTCAAGGAGTCTCGTTGAGCACGCATGGGGTGGTGAGAAAACCCTTGGCCCATCTGATGCAGTCAAAGCAAGCGGACTAGCTGGCGGCATGGCTGGTATGGTCGGTGGCATGATTCGTAAGTAGTCATCATCCCCTACGATTATGCAGGCTCCTCTATGAGCCATTACTAAATGCGGCGCAGGAGGTCCAAGAAATATCATCCCAGGAACCCTTTTCTTCGGCACAGCCGGAACCGCGGGCATGTATATATCCCAGCGATTCAAGGCAAGCCCTAAGGAAAGTGACTCTGCTATAAAGCCGAAGTCGTCCTGGCTCGACTCAAAATGGATCCCCATGAAGCGACTGTCCGACAAGGAATATGAAGAAATGCTTGAGGAAAAGATTTTGCATATCAATGCTGAAATATCCATCATAGACGACAATATCGCATCTCTCCAAGAATCGAGAAAAGCATCGACAGAATCAGCCGAATCAGCCGAATCAGCCGAATCAAACGAAAGAAAATGAAAAAAAAAAAAAAAAAAAAAACAATAACAACCCATAACCCATTAATGTCATGGCACTCAAACCACGAACCATGGAGACTGATACTCTTTAATATATACAGTTGCATATTAATTATGTAGTATAGAGTACTGTCAGTCTGTCACTAGGTACTACTATGTAGGTACTCACATACGTACATAGATACACAAATTACTATGTACTGTACATGCGCCAACTTACCTAGGTAGGTACTAGGTATAGTAGGTACTATGTATGACCTCAGCATACGTCATGGCGTACATACCTACATATCACAGAATGTACACCATAAATACATCTTCTTCATTGATTTATTAGTACTCAACCTTGAACTCCTTCTACTGCTGTACCGAATCTCACAAACAGATCAAAACAACTCCCTACATCTAATATGACTGATCAAACACCACCAAACTTGAGTCAAAATGGCCAAGTACAGTAAGTTGTCTAACCCCTTTCTTGACAAAAGACGTAGCACCTAGGATTACAATTGTAGCTAAGCTTCATTCACTAATCATCTTCAACAGAAAAGCTATGGACGAGATATCCTTAGCACAAGATAACACTACTACTCAGTCGGAACTCGGGGCTAATCTGGACCAAAACGACGAGGCGCTTAAGGACAAAGTTGACGGCGCAATAACAAAAGGGCCCAAGAAGGCCGACGAAACTACTGGTGGCCGAGTCCAGGTTGCTGAAACGGGCGATTTACATGATCTGGCTGCGAAGAGACAGTCTTGAAGAATGGGGGGCGGGATAAAAAAAGGGGGGGAACAAGGAATGAAACCGACAAGCTTTTTCGGGGTCTCGAGTAATAGATTTATGGCACAAGTTCAGCGAGTCAATTCTCTTAAATAACAGGTACATATTAGTGTAGTAAAATAAGCCCAACTATTGATATAACATAGTGTATAACAGAGACTTATATAGAGAGAGAGAATAGTTGTAATAATAACCCTAAACTACGGTATATATATATACTCCTAATTTACCTGAGGTATCGAGGACAAAATCGGATAAAAAATCACGTACCTACGATGACAAAGAGGGAGGAACAAGATATAAAGATATAAAATCCCCCGGACCGTATTGCTCCGCATTTCTCCTTCGCCTATCATCACGATCCATCACGATCCATCACCACCATTCATTACCCGCATATGCCTAACTACTACATACCCAGCAGCTAAGCCTTCTCAATGACAGCATCAAAGATCTCCTTCATCTTGCGCGCGCTGTACTTCTCCTTGCGCTGCTGGCCATCCGCATAGTTGACATACGTGACCCCGAACCGCGTCTCGTAGCCCTCGGCCCACTCGAAGTTATCCATGAGCGACCAGGCCATGTACCCCTTCACATTGCACCCGTCCTCGCTGACCGCCTGCGCCATGGCCTGCACGTAGTCGCGGAAGTACTCGTAGCGGAACGTGTCCTCCAGGATCTCGGGCTCCTTCAGGTCGTTCTCCCCCTTGATGCTCGTCCCGTTCTCCGTCACGTAGATCGCCGGGTACCCGTAGCGCTTGCTGAGCCAATTAATCAGCCCCCTGAACCCTGCCGGGTTTGGCCGCAGCCAGAACGACTGCGTCTCCGGGCCGATGCACTCGCCGCTCTTGCTGTGCGCGTGCGTCGTCAGGTCGCCCAGGAAGTCCTCCGGCGCCGGGTTGCCGTCGCCGTGCCTCACGTAGTCCGCCGTGTAGTGGTTCATGCCGTAGAAGTCGTTGGAGCCCTGGACGAGCGCAAGCTCCTCGGGCGTGAACTCGGGCAGCCGGTCGCCGAGCTGCCTGCGCATCGAGTCCGGGTACTTGCCGAGGTAGATGGGGTCGGCGAACCAGGAGATGGCGAACTCGATCTTGCGGTTCGCGGCCTCGACGTCGCGGGGGTCCTCCGGGTCCCACGGGTACGTGTAGTCGCCGTTGAGCGTGATGCCGATCTGGCCCTTGTCGGCCGGCTTGAACTCGTCGCGGTACACTTTCACGGCGCGGCCGTGGGCGAGGAGCAGGTTGTGCCCGACGATCCAGGGCTCGCGGCTGGAGTCGCCGACGGCGGACTTGGCGCGGTTGGAGGTGTGGCCGGGCGCGAAGAAGCCGGTGCTGTAGCCGAGGATGGAGCTGCACCAGGGCTCGTTGAACGTGATCCAGTTCTTGCACTTGGGGATCGCCTTGAACACCACGCGCGCGTAGTGCTCGAAGTCGAGCGGGAACTCGGTCCGGTTCAGGAGGCCGCCGTATCGCTTGTCCAGCGCGTCCGGCACGTCCCAGTGCAGCAGTGTGATGAAGGGCACGATATCTGCTTCGAGAAGATCATCCACGAACTTGACGTAGTGGTCGATGCCCGCTTGGTTGATGGGATCGTTTCGACCACCGAGGGGGATGATCCGTGACCATGATAAGGAGAAGCGGTAGCAGGTGGACCCTAGTCTCTTCAAGAGCGCAATGTCGTCTGCTGTCCGGTTATAGGAGTCACAGGCGACGGACCCATCGGTCCCATCTGCGATCTTCCCTGGAATGCTGCAAAAGGTGTCCCAAATAGTCGGGCCACGGCCATCTTGTTGGGTAGCGCCCTCGACCTGGTAGCTACATGGAAGAAGGGGTGAAGTCAGCGAACCAGATTTTCATCAGGGGGTGCATATAGCTACGGCGGTAAATATTTCAAAGAGAACACGATGGTTTACTCACGCAGCTGTAGCAAAGCCCCAGAGGAAGTCTGAGGGCAAAGACATATTGGATTAGTAGGTACCTGGGTATATAGGCAGGTAGGCTAGGTATCTAGTAGTCTAAGTACACAGAGGCAGAGGGCAACAGAAAGATATATCTAATATCTAGGCTGCTGTTCGAACTTCTAAGCCGCCCACTAGTGTTTCGAAGTCGTCCGGGAAAACGGGTATTATGTCTGATGCTCCAGCCAAGACTGCAACAGACGATCTCATAAAGGACCGAGAACAACGTAGAAGAGTAGCCGAAGGCGATTGGAGATGGACGCTGAGTGTCGTGTTATTAGAGACAACACACACCGTCTTACTCGACGATATACCGGAGGCTGGCATCTTCTTTTATACCCTTGTACAGGTTTGATCGATTTTCCAGGTTGTCGTTTCGACATATACTATGTAGCATAGTGTAGCATAGTGCAGTGTATAGTGCAGTATCTAGTATATGGTGCAGCGCAGTGTAGGACCGGTACTTTCCCCATTCTCCCGCGTCGGACCGTGACGACCGAGAACAACAGGCTTGTACGATCATGGCTGTATCTCCAAGCCATTCATAACCAGTCATGCTCATTCATGGCCATTCCAGCTAATTCATTACCCACATAGGTCCTATGCGGTCCTATGCCATAGTAACCATCTCCGCCGCGGGGTAATTGGAGCTTGTAAGCAACGGGCACAGGAAGAGGAGAGAAGAAAAATAATAGACAGGGTCTAGTTATCGTGGGAATTGAACGAGCCCCCCACAAACAAGCTCGTCATGTGCCGGAAACATATTAGATACCAGCGACGGCCCGTCTATCCGGTCACCACCTAGGAGACTAGCAAGACCACATACCCTAGGTACATACTGTACTTTGGTAGTTATTACATAGTATCGAAAGAGACAGACCCTAAATGCAACCCAGGGTTGAACTAGGAAAGCCAGGGGAAGTAACATAGTAGGGAAAGCAGGGGAAGATGGGAACAGGGGCACAGGGGAAACAGGAAACAGGAAACAGGAAACAGGGGCAAGGGGGTTCATTGAAAATGTCGGCGATACAGCCGAGTGGGTAGATCATATCATATCATTCCCTAGTAGTCGCATTTTCCAACAGCGCCGTACCTTGGATTCGGGATGGTCATGAATTGACGAGTAGCAGCGCTAAGGATTCAAAGAAGATCGATCTCGGCCCACCTCCATTGCTGGCATGCGGCGCAACGTCCCTCAAACATCACATCCTTGGAGATATGCTGGAACAATTCTAACCGATCCAAGGGGTTTTTATGTAAGATGCATGGGAGAAGGATGCCGGAAAGGGTATATATATTGAATCTTCGGTATTGCAACTTCGGGAGCGGAGAAAAACCTGGATACAAATGAGGACTAACTTCATATCGCATTCCGAATAATGATTGTATCTTCTCTACCGAATTTGCCTGCCGTGTCTACCTACTCACTACTCACTACTCACTACTCACTACTCACCACTCACCACTCACCACTCACCATTTTCACCATTTCTTCATTTTTTCAGTCGCCGAATACCATCTTGGCATGCCGAAACGCAAAAACACCTCGCCGAAAATACCTCTATCTAGGTAGATGGGTATACAAAGAGAGGAAATAAAAGGCAGAAATTACCTAACGGAACCTCGGAGTCTCAACGTTTTGACGAATTTTTTGTATTCTCGATATGGAAAACACTCCGGTGCAAGATTCATGATTTCATGTAGCTACCTACATGATCAGAGTAGAAGCAATGACCTACCATCGATACAGAGGAGCGTGTGGGGATAGGCGGGCATGTTACCGACAGATGCTGCAGCACTTGACCTCTTTCTCCAGTTTTTTTTTTCGTTGCTCATTCCCACCGATGCCCCCCTTAGGCGTAATCGTCATAAAATAAGTAGGTAGAGGTAGGTAGACTGATAATCGACCGCATGGATGGTGGCCGAAAGGACTGTCCTAACCTAACCTTAGGTAACAGTACTCGCAGCATTGCTGGCTACTCCGTTGTCGACTTGTCCACGTTTTCTCTTACCCGTTGCAGAAGATCCAGGCGTTTCTTCCTCGTTCTCCGATGCGTCGTCTTCTGTCCATTCCGTGACTTCGTATTCAACCCGAACTTTACCATCTCGACTCTGTTGCACAGTTCGTGTGGTGTGCATATTGCCTAATCTACTACCTAGGATCATAGTTTCGAACCACGGAATGCCGGTTATGTCACGTCCGATCAATTGGGATCCTTGGTTAGAGGTGCGAGTAGGGACAATGTCCATAGGATCTTGTTCCGCCTCGTCAGAAATCAGACCGAGCTCCTCCAGGTCATGGAGATCTTCAGTCAACAGGCTTCCAAGGGTCAAATGGATATAGTCGGCTTCGCTTCTGGGGTCTTCTGACCAATAAGTCAGAGGAGTGCCACAGAATCCGCAGAATTGTCGCATGGCGCTTTGCTCGGAAGGATGTGAATAGACACGTCGAATATTGGCCCTCGACTCGTCGGGAAAGAACGGAAAAGTCTGGCTATGATACCAGGAGAGCGGAACTCTTAGGAAGGCTGAAAGTGGCGTAGCGGAAGAGATTCCTACGAGTAATAGGTACATTTAGTCGTCTGCATTTATATAGGTACTAGGTACAGTAGGTATCTGCTTATTTACTAGGTACTGAGACTTCAAAGTATAGAGATTTGAACTTACTATGAGTTGCAGTTGAATCAAAAAGAACCTGGGCAGCTTCAGTTGTGCCAGTAGGAACAGTAGGAATCTGAACTGTGTATTGGTTCCTACCGCAGTGGCAGCTCCCTCGCAGAAGCCTGTTGGAGCTCATCTTGGATTCTAGTGTTTTACTATTATTTTGAAGTTGAGGATTTGAAATGGGGATGAAACTTGTAGAGGGAGTGGAATGAAGATTGAAGATTGAAGATTAAATATTTAATTATTTTTAAGTGTAAAAGATTGTAAAGTCAATGTTTGTATTGTACAAGTTATAAATTAGAAGGTTAATTATTAGATATCGATATGGTGGAAGAGAATAGAAGTTGCATGTGAGTCTAGAATTTTCTGTCAAGATTGGTGAATTACAGTGAATGGTGGCACTGAGGAAAGTACCTGGCAGCTTACCTGGCAGCTTACCTGGCAGCTACCTGGCAGCTACCTGGACAGGGTAAGGATCATTAACTCATAGGTGCATCTAACTCACCTGAATAGCGTCATACCTTCCTGCAAAAGTGGGCTGATTGGGCGTACGACATATTAGTTACTTATAAAACGATAGATATGCTTCTATGTACATACAGTACGTATGCAACTACACGTTCTTCTCAATCGACATGTTTGCGTTCCTCAAATCTGTTGAAACTTGGCCGCCTTTATCTTCATCTCTATCCCCCTTTCTATCCTGATTCCCCTGCACAATTCCATCTTCCTGCCCATCTACCGCTAGTCTTTGCTCTCTACTTGTAGTCGATTCCGTATCTGGTTCTCCTTTCTTGTCTCGCGAAATCCACCACTCAAAAAATATAGTAAAGAATTGTGCCACAAACACCTGCTCTACTGTATATAAGAGAACCGGTACTTGAATGGATGCTATGGTGAAGTTGTCGAGCTGAGACCACATGGCCCCAGTCAAGGGAATTCCTACGCTCGTCGTCTTCGCTGCTCCACAGAAACACACAGCAATAACAAGCTCCTTGGGCATCCTCTTCACCGTCAACGCCCTCCTTATGATGTTAGGCAGGTATGAAACCAGCCGGGAATCAGCCATGTAGCTATTGACCAGCCTGGCCAACCGTTCTGGAGGTGAGGCTATCCAATAACAAATACCAGTAAACAGAACATATTCAGCCACATTCATAAAGACATTGAAGATGACAGACGACTTGGGTAACGCGGTCAGTGCCCCGGTTTGGAATGCTCCCGAGAAAGTAGACCTGTCACGCGAGTCAGCTTTACCTAACTCAATAACCCTACATGTTTGTCAGGGCAGGCTTTGCTGTTTATGTTTGCTTACCAGGCCACTAGCATCATCAATACGGAGCAGAATGGTGCCAGGTAAAATGTTTTCAGAGTCCAAGCCACCTGTTTCGGAAACGTCCAACGCAGGCCCTGTCCGATGGCAAGCGGAAGAAGTGCGCTGAGGCCTAACTGCTGCATGACATTTGCATACATTGGCCCTATCGTACCAGCCTTTGCTGGTTTAAGTGAGTCGAAAACCTCCTCGCTAGGAAGGAATCCGTAAATTAGCCATGGCGAAAGAAAAGAGCCAACCACGTTACCAATTACCACTTCGATAATAGCAGCGGCTTCATCGCCACCTGCATTCCTCGTCATCACCACATTGGATGCGATGGTAGTGGGGATACAGCCGACCACGATCATCCCGACGATGATGCTAGGGTCAATCGTTCCTGAGCTCACTCCACCGGCTGCTATCACTATGCGAACTATGGCTAAGGTAGTATTAGCATACCCAGCCTATTTAGGATGTCTAGAGCTGCGACTGAAATCTCATACTTAGTTGAATGACTGGTATGAGAACTAGGTTGATCCCCTGAACAACGATGTGCAGGCGCCAGTTTGTCGAGTGCTCTTTGAGCTTTGCTGGGCTAAGCTGCATCCCATTGATGAAAAATATTAATCCAATTCCCCCATAGAGAATCGAGTATTCGGATCGAATAACACCGCCGCGTGCCGCAACATCTACAGGATGATCAGTTAACATCATTCAAGGTGTTTGCAGGTCTCCGTCAACATACGAGGGAAGTAGTACCCCAGAACACAAGCGATGCCGAACCCAAATACCAGCCAGTTCTTCCAGATGAAAGCTAGGAGTTTCCTAGCTGCTTGAAAAGCGATGGGATGCTCATCGGCTTGGGCGCGCACGTGAGCCTCGGGGGTGGCGCTCATCATCACCATATTGCTGTCGTGTAGCAATCATAGTGATGGGTTGCATACCTAGGTAGGTATGTAGTTGTAAGGATTCGCTTTTATTAGAACTAAACAACAATCGCCGGTACTCGGATCCCTAGATTTGACAAATTTGACAGATTTAACACCTAAACGTCTGGATAGAGCCACGAAAGGAGCTTCCAACGATGCGATCTTCGGACGTCGCAAACGCTTATTCCCGGCGGTCCACCATGTCTATTTCCATTGGATTGGCTCACCTTCATCCCCGATTTCATCATCGGGGAAGCTCCGCCGCCAAGCCCTCAACATTGACTATGAGGTTCAATTCGAAAGACATTCATATGTGTCATCCGTCGGGGTATCACGTGAACTCGATGACCAAATGATCATACAATATGGGATCACATGACTCCCTTCTGGCAATTCAGTACCTTGTTTTCGACCTATGAATCCGCCAAAGGTAAGAGTCCCAAACTGTTATGTGGAATATGATATTGCAATCACAGTTGAAAATGCAATTGATCCATCCAAAATCAATGTATGACTGGGTAATGTTACTTGAAAATAACTCGAGCTACGGATTTTCCCCTCCCCACCCCCCTATTTATAAGCTTTGAAATGGTGAATATCTGCCAACTTTGGTATTTTATTTGCCCCAAACTTATATGCACCCAGCCAGCTAGGTCTCTTACGCTACAGGTGCAAAGAAGCTGAAACGGCCCTTAGGATCGTACTTTTTCTTCAACGCCTTGAGCCGATGCTGGCGCCACTGCTCGTTGCCGTACCAGTTCTGCGGAGACTCGTTGCCAAAAGCATAATTAACATACACGTGCAACTCTTCGTTACCGGTACCCTGGTGAACAATATCACGAAGCTTATTGCCAAGCTGGGCTGCTTGCTGATCAAGTTCGTCACCAGCTGGCGTGTAAGTGATCAGTGGAGCAGTAAGAATGCTGTCGCCTCGGAAGGCGTACGCAGCAGAATTGCTGTCAACTGCCTGGACGCCCTGGACAGGGTAGGCCTCAAACATAAAAATCGAGCTAGAGAAGGGGGAGTCCCCCGAGACTTCAGCTGCAAAGGCAGCGTATGCTAGTTTCTGGGCTGGGACGTTGTACCTTTTGACATAGACGGGGAAGCGTGGGTTGGCGAGCCCGGACTTTTGACAAGGGGCAGACTCAAGGGCGATTTGAGTCCATCTGGCAAGGTCCCGATAGTCGCCCGATTCGGCATCAATCGAAATTGGGTTGAGGTCGTGGAAAGGCTTTGTTATGGCCGGGTCGACCGATTTGGCGCCTTCTTGGATGATGTAAAATAGGATAACAGGCTATGAAGTCAGTACGAAGAGAACAAAACAACGAACCGCTTCTTTGCTTACCTTGTCCGGGTCAATACCGGGGATGTTGAGCCAGTACGACCAGTTTATGATGTTGACAGGCACGGTAGAAAGGTGATCATTGGCGGCCTGGTAAATAGCTTCCACCTGATCGCCGCTAAATATCAGAGTCTCAATCGCCCAGTCGTACTGCTCAATGTCGTAAATCTTAGACGTAACAGAGGTGACGATGCCGAAGTTCTGGCCAGCGCCCTTCATAGCCCACCAGAGGTCCGAACTTGCATCGATCTTATGCAAGGTTCCGTCTGCGAGAACGACATTCATGGAGACAAATTGGTCTGCTGCAAGCCCGTAATGCCCCTGAAGCCACCCATGGCCACCCCCAAGCGCAGGCCCCAAGACACTCACACATTCACAGGTACCCGTTACTATCTCTAATATCAGCATCGAGGCCATGAGCTAGCACTAAGCATCACTTACCTGTCTGCTTTCCTGCGTTCCAAAGGGCATCAGTGACGGCCTTGGTCAATGTCCCTCCACCAACCGTTACCGTCTTCTGGTCCTCAGCAATGGTCACACTCGACAGCTGGCCCATGTAAATCTCGATCCCCCCTTGCATTCGGGCCAGCGTGGTGATGGCGGCGTGGGCGCCATTAAATGCCAGCACGGGCAGTTTGGCTTTGTTTGCATACCGGATCTAAATAAACAATGCAAGCGCCAGAGCGATTCCGTTACAGTCAGATTTTCGGGACTCGAGTAGCATAGGTGGCTGCGCCAAGACGGATGGCGGCAGAGAGAACGGCGAGAGATCCAGGGGAGTGGGAAATGAGAAGAAGCGAAAGAAAAAAAAAGCCACCTACCGTCTTTACGACGTCGTCTTCCACGGCAGGGACGACGGCAACGTTTACCTTGGGCTCGGCCAGGGCGGACCACCTCGTCGTGAGGGTGGTGAATTCGGTCGAGTTGGGATAGTACACCTTAGCTCCTGGTGATAGTACGTCTTCCAGGGCTTTCGCGTGCTGCTCGGGCGCCGCCGAGACACCGACGCCGGTGGCGGACATCGCAAGCGACGACGCTATGAGAGCGCGGATACTTAGCCAGCGCATTTTGACGACGAATAAAGGAGGTTTCTTGGGATATCTAACTTGAGAAGTCACGCGTCCATGCGCTACTACATATACGTGTATAGGTACCTACCTACCTATATACCTAGGCAGGTAGGCAAGACGTTGAAGTTCCAAGGCAATTCGGTATACATACAATCAATACAGGTTTACCCCCCTTACCCATTATACTAGTGCGATGCAGCTCTCATTCATCGCCGCGTCCAGACCTCGAGAGCTGAGGGAGAGTCTGCACTAGTATCGGTGCCTTTCCCCAGGTAGGTAAGTTGGGAGGTATTCGTGCAAATTGAGGTCCCCACCTACAGAGGTATCCTATGTAGGCACCAGCCTATAGCTGACGAATTATACCTTACATACCTATCTAATATACTCCAAGGAAAGCGCACACTTCGTAGATTTAGGTATACAGAAATGGCAATATGTTGTGAATTAATAGCTACATATATGTAGGCATCGACGGTATTTAAGCTAGGCTAATCACCCTCTGATATTTCAGTCATGGCTGTCAATGCCCATGCCAACCCTCCCCCTATCGAGATTCCCGTAGTCCGCCACGCAAGGATTACCACCAGACCTTCAAATTGTCACCCCCGTGATATTCGCCTTCACAGGACAGTCGGAGGGGGAAGAGTAGGTGATTGAAGTATTCGACCTCTCAACTACCTGGAGTGTGACATTCGTCTGGGCAAACATATTCGCCACCGTTGGCGTCGGGAAGTTTCTAGACAAACGGTGAGCCTTTGTCCCCCCCCCCCCAAACCAGAAAGGGACCAGGATCGAAGACAGGCTTACTCGGTATCCTTGTACATGTGCGTGAGCTCGAGGCCGAAGTTCGACAGCTCGGAGAGGTCTATGAACTTGAACTGGAAGGCTGCGCCGCGCTCGACCTTGCACGCGGAGTACTCCGTGCTGTAGTTGTTTAGCGGGCCCTGGGTCCGCGTGGCGCCGTCCCATTGCCAGCGGGAGTGGCAGGTGCAGGATTGGTTTGCGTTAGGGTCGTCCCAGTTGACTAGATGGCGGGTAAGTTGGATAGGTCAGGTCAGGATAAAGGTTGTGGTCTCGAGGGCAGTCAGGTAGATAGGCAAATGAGGATGTAGGGATGTAGTGAAGACTGTGATGTAACTCACATTGAATCTCACAACCGAGCAAGGAATCCCATATGTTCTTCTTGCATTCGATACACATATGCGTGAGCTGGAAAGGGTCGAGATGGAATTGAGCCAACTCCCAAGGCTTGTAGGCTACGCTTCTGATGGGGTGGTATGCATGCCTACCAGGGGATGGAGGTCGAGCAACTGCGGAGTGGAGGAGTAGAGTGACGGCGAGCAGTAGTTGCAATATAGGGGCCTTCACCCTGATCATAATTGAAAGATATTTATAATAGGGAGATGAGGTAACTGGGCTTAAGTTGGCTTCTAACTTCCGAGTTGAAATGTCTAGAAATCATCTCATTGACTAAATTTCTTGTATCATATGATACCCAGGTATTTATACCCGAACAAGCTTCCTCGCCGCCCATGAATAACCTCAGCAGAGACTTCAACAACTGTGCAACATTCCAGCTACTGCTTCACACACGTGTGATGAACCACCCTTGCACAAAGCTTTTTCAGTCCGAGGGAAGCACGACAACGATATGCGGCCAACCGAAACATCGTTATTTAGGAGATTTGCTACACGAGAGGTCTTGTACTCAGATCGAACCATAATATGAATGTTAGGTAGGTATGACTATTCTGAGCAATGAGCAGTATGACACAGTCTACTTCAGAAGTTCGTATGCATGATACTTACTACTTTCACATTATGAAACGTCTATCTGGACTTCAAGACGAACAAAATAGAAAGTATTTTCATCAGTGTAGGGATACAATTCTGATTCTAGGGGGGTCACATTGAGTCGTTTGCTGGTGCCTAGTGAACCACTGTTTGGAAAGGGGGGAGGATGTTCACTCGGCCTGCCTATGATGACCCTAGGGCAGAATGCATTATTACAATACAATTTATTTAAAATGAGATATCATACGGTGATAGTCTTTGTATTCACAATAAGGGGCCAGTTAGGAGTATTCCGATATCTTCACTTACTATAAGCTGAAAAGGGTTACCGGTATGTTGTAGATTTGTGGCTGGACTCAAATCTTATATGGACCGATTTGGTGTCTAATATTAGTTGATATGGCCGAAGACGGTATGTGGAAGTTGGGCCTTCTTCGGCTTATGGCTTTAGTTTTTTTCGGCGGTAATGTAGCAATTGAGTTGAATTTGAAACTGTAGATGTTGGTCTCCTATAAGCTACATAGGCATTTTGCTGGGACAATCTTGCTGGACCCCTATTACACTATACGATGTGATCTGCAGCAAGTAACGTTAAATTGTTTAAGCACCCTTTAGGGATCCTAGGTACCTGCACCTCAGTGTACATAGCTACCTCAGTGCTGTGGTGGGTCGAAACAGTATACCTAGTATACTACGCCTTACTAGTAAAGAGCCCAATGACGTATTTATGTACTGTACCCTCCAACCACAGGCTGGTTTTGGTTTTAGACTATAAATCTATATATAGCAGACACTAGTTAGGCTGAGGTTACCTCGAAGGATCCCCTCACTCCGCTTGCAGCTAGGCTTGAATTGTGAAAGATCTTAGGTTCAATGGTACTACAGTAGGTACATGTACATACTACATAATATGTGATATTACTACATATGTACCCTCATTGGGGGCTATCAGTTCGACATGAGGTTCAATGTCTGTCTGTCAACATTGAATGTCATATAATATATTGTTTACTTACCCTTGGTAGATATCTATCTTACACCATCTTTGCATGCAGTCTGATGTGAGAGGGAAATTACATACATACCTATCTAGGCTACTCCTCTTATCTCACACCTGTTTCTATCGAAGAAACTTACATGCCTAGTAGAGGCGCCATTGGGGCTGATGCCAATTTTCCCCCTTATGCATGAGGCTTTTTCCTGCATTGGACAAATTGATACTATGCAGGCGCACAGAAGGTAATCAGGGTCTCTTAACTGACCAGGTTGACCCGCTTGATCTGCCTACAAGAAAAGAACCAAGAATAGCACAGTTAGCTGGTTCAAGCTGCCATAGGTAGTACCTAATAGTTATTGTATTGGACATTACAACGTGTACATATGTTCAATCCATTGGGCTTGACTTCCATTGAAACGACATATCACTTTAGAGTACTAAAGGTTAGCATAGATCATTATTGGAGAAGGGAGAAAAAGAAAATAAAAGAAAAGAAACTCTGTCGTACATACACACCTACATTGAATCTGCCTAACCTACCTAGTAGTACCTACCTAGGTAGTATAGTACTTATGTATGTTGTACATCATGCGCAGGTAAGTACTGCCGACGTAGCAAAGAAAGAGCATTCATGTTGAGTATTAACTGAAACATTTACACAGTAGTGCTTTCTCGCGCAGCGATTTCTGAACAATGCGATCTTGATTTTTTGCTCACCTCTCATTTTTTTATTTTTTTATTTTTATTTTTTCAAATTTCTCTTCCTTATTAGGCTTCTCCCCATTTCCTGTCTCTTGACAACTTTGAACCCTTTTGTTTGTGCACTCTTTACATTGTACAATACTAGCACATGCACACTATAATATATATGACTTAACTAGACATCTTTTAGGTTAATTAACGCATGTTGCATGTCGTCGCATGGTCCTATGTATGTCTCCATTCTTTGTTATGTACATACCTGCATACATTGAAGTTCCTGGCCGTCAAGATCGCTTTGGGTTATCTTCCTATTATCACGCTCTTTTTTTCCCCTTCCTTTTTTAACTTGACGTCGATCCCTACTAGATACAACTATTGGTTCAGCCTATTTAGAACCACTGTTGCTTTGTCACCTGCGCCGTCCCTAACTGCCTAGGTTAGTAACGTCAGAAGTGGGAAGAGAGGAGTCTGAGGAGACAATTAGAATTGACAAACTCGGGATTTTTTTGAAACCTAACCCGTTTTATTATATACAATTGTCAATCAAATCAAACCACGCCGAGTTAGCGAGTTCTATTCATTCATTCATTTATACGACTGGGGAAGATAGATAACCTCTGGCCGGCCATCTGAACCCACCTGGGCCACCAGTACATACTCAGTACCCAGTACCCAGTATTCAGTACCCAGCACCGGGTACCCAGTACTAGGTACCCAGGATTCCCTTCCGACCTACCTACATTAGGTACCGATTCGAATAAGCCAACACCGTGACTGAACATTGAAAGCAAGCACCTGGAGACTGGAGTACATGTACTGGAGCTACTGGATCAACTGGATCAACTGGATCAACTGGGGAAGAGGAAACATCGTCAGCACAGCCCCCCCTTTCAGCACTTGCAATCCTTGTACAAGTACAATACAACTGTAGAGGGGTTGCATGTGCGAATCCAATATCCCCCGCGACGTAGCTCAAATCAGAGCCGGTACCTTTTGCGCAGAACAATTCCATATCACTACTTCTGTGCTTTGCCTCATTTTCTCAATTATTTAGGTTAGCTTGTTTACTTTTACACTTCTAAGTAGATTTGCGACTGTAGAAAAGAGAGAGAGTGTGTGTGTGTGTGTGAAAGAAAGAAAGAAAAAAAGAGAAGAAAAAAGAAAGGAAAAAGAAGAAGAAGAGGTAGTACGTGCAAAGAGAGAAAAAGCTCAAATCTACGTCAGTGAGTGCGAACTGACACGATAATACCATTATGCCCTCGTTCGGTCGCATTGGCAAGCATAGCAATCGTTCTCAGCATAATTTGGTTGAGCAACAGCAACAGCAACAGCTCCATCTTCATCATCAGCAACAACAGTTCCAGATTCAGCAGCAACAGCTTCAGCACCAGCAACAGCAGCATCAGCAACAGCTTTTGTCCCATCAACAACAGGTAGCGGGCAGTGGAGCTACTGCACCGCCCCATCACCCTCATCAACAGCAAGCCAGTACCACCGCTACTACCACTACGCCTATTACAACTGCTACGCCTGCTAATACTTTTTCTTCTGCTCCTCCTCCCGTGCCTATTTCGGGACCTGCACCTTCAATCAGCGGAGGAGGACGTCGACCATCTGCCGCTGGTATACCTATTTCTCTAGTTGGCAACATCTCTGTCCCTGTATCCGGCCCCAATTCTGCTGGCGAGTCCAATATTACGCCGTCTTCAGCCTCGTCAATCGGCCTAAGCTCTAGTGAGTCTTTTCAGCAACAGCTGCCACCACCGCAGCCCTCACTACCACCACAGCAAGCCGATAACAGGTCCATCCAACCACAACCACAGCAGCAAACTCCACATATCTCCTCCTCACATCAGCAGCACCAGCACCAGCACCAGCAACACCAGCACCAGCAGCACCAGCACCAGCAACACCAGCACCAGCAGCACCAGCAGCAGCAGTACCAGCAGTATCAGCACCAGCATCAGCATCCACACCCGCACCACCCTCAATTAGGTATCCAGCAACAAAGCCAGACGGGCCATCCCCTAGAAATATTCGGATCCAACCCAAATAATTTACCCACTAATTCAATACCCCTCAATCAAGCCGGTGCTGCTTACACCGCGCGGCAGCAGCCCCACGATAATTTCGCTGAATTAGTGTCTCGCTCCCAGTCTGCAAGATATTCCCAATTAAACCCACTTCAGACCCAGCAACCATTTGGTATCGCTTCGAGCTCGGTTGACAGTTTACCCCATACCGTTTCTTCTCCTGCTATCCCTCCCAATCAGCCATCCATACCACATACACAAACCGCCCCCACTGAAACAAAGCGATCAACTCGGAAATTGCTTAAGAATATCCTATCTGGTAACTCTTCCTCCACCAGCAGGCCCACTTCGGACCACTACCCGGACGTTTCTTACGATAATTCTGGCTTGACTCGTCGACCTTCCAAACGTGCAAGTAACACACCTAGAGGGAATTCATTATTGTCACGACCTGTCGACCACCCCGATTGGGTCTCGCCACAATCCACTAGTTCCCGTAGTCACCACTCACCAATCCAGCCAGTATGCGATCTCCAAGATATCTCCTTTGTAGTTAATTCTAACCAAGAGTTATTTTTATAGAACCGTTCAGATCCACCTCAGAATACAATTAAGCAAGTTCCTGTCGAGTCCGACACAGAGACTGACTCTTCACCCTACGGCCGCGACGACCTTGTTTTCCACCAACAGCAAGCTATCGCTCAACACCAAGCTCAACTACAAGCCCAGGCTCAGGCACAGGCACAAGCCCAGGCTCAGGCGCAAGCGCAAGCACAGGCACAGGCACAGGCACAGGCACAGGCACAAGCTCAAGCTCAAGCTCAAGCAGCCCAGGTACAGGCGCAAGCAGAGCAATCGCCATACGCTGGCCAAATTATTGTTGACCATACCCCAAATCAGTACCCATACCCTCCTAATTACGAGCAATACCAATTAGGAGATCGTCGGCCATCTGCTTTTACCGGGCATCTCAGTACTGGAAGCTCGCAGCCGCCCAACCCAGAAACCATTTCTCAGGTGTCATATGAGTCGCTTGAATCTGATCCAGAGCAACAGCAACTACCAGTCAGCTCACAACCTACTCAGGACCCATCCTCCGTAAAACTTACACAACAGGGCCAACAGCATCCACCAAACTCGCAGCAATCGTCGACGCTAACGGACCAGACGCAGAACATGGCACCCCCGGCTGGAGGATCTGGTCAGACCCGTAGAACTGGAGACCAAGACAAGCCAATGCGCTCCGTCGAACCCCCTCCGGGCCCTCCACCCGGTTATAGACATAGCCAAGGGCCAATGAATACAATGGGTTCCCTTCCACCACCTACGCCAAGTGTATCAGGTACACCACAGAGCTATCGTACTAGCGGTGTACCGGACCGGGCGCAGTTTGATGGGCCTGGCGCCGAGGGTCGTAATAGTCCCCAGCCCGCAGCAGGTGGGGACGCCGACCCGGAGAAACAATTCAAGGACCTATGTATGAAGCCGGGTCTTTTTTTTTTTTTTTTTCCTCCATAGCCTTGCTAGGCAAAGTACTTACTTTATATTGCAGTGACCAAGTACAAGAATGTGAAGAGGCTCTATTTCGATGGTAAGGCGCAGATCGAACAGTTGACTTCTCAAGTCGAACAATTACAAAATGCCGTTGCGAATCAGAGAATGTCTCAGTCTCGCACAGCACTCGATGACAACGAGTATTCAACCCGTTTTAATCGTCTTAACGGCGCGGTTAACAACCTGGCATTTAATATTCGTAAAGATTGGCGAACGCTGCCAGGTTGGATCGAGAGGTATGTTAGCCCAGAAGCGATCAAGACCGGCAAACAGGAGATGACTGCAGTTGGGCGGGCTATTATCGTTCGATGGATAGTGGAAGAGGTTTTCAATAAGTGTTTCCATCCTGGTTTGGACTTCCACGTCAGCGCCAGCTTGAAACAAATAGAGCAGAATATCCGAAGGTTCTCGTACACACTAAACAGCCAGGAAGAATTCGATGCGTTAACAGCTAAGGTCGTGAATTGGCGAATGGCCACTTTGGAAGGACTCCAACAGGTGCTCAATTCGCCTGAAAGCGCTGAGTATCGCGCCGATTTCACCAAGATGGCCACCAACAATCTCACGGCCACTCTATTTCAGTATCTCACGGATCCGCCCCCGGCAGGCGTAGACGGTAGCGCTTCGATGATTGTTGAGTTAGCAGTGGGCATTGCTGCCAACCTACCCTTAGAAAGCCGAGATGTAGCCATTACTTATCCCCTCCCTGGAGACATCGTGCAACCCGACTTCATGGAACCGGAGAAGACGGGCTTGCCTCCTTTACCGGACGCCCCAGAAGACGTGGAAGAGAACAACGATAAGGACAGCGAGAAAACTGCTGCCGCTAAACGAGAAAAGACAAAAAGTGGTATGTTGACAATGCTCAGCGGGACACCGTATCCCGGGAGCAGAAAAGGTAGCACGGCTTCGGTTAATACTGACACGGCATCCTCGACAGCAGCAGGGGTACCACCACCACCCAAAGACGCTTCCAAGGTTCGGTTCGCTGGTTTCTTAGCAGTGGAGGTAAGAGGGCGACAGGTCTTGGTAAAGGCCCCGGTATGGACACTAGGTTGAACCCGTTAAAACTGAGTGCATTTGCATTGAACACTCTGGATAAATAGGGAAGGGGGGGAGGGGACAAAGAAGGGAGATGAAGGACGGGGCTATCTCGAGCAACGAGAGATCTCAAGTTACTGGTTTTTCCTGTTGTTGTTTCTATCTTGCAGTGGAGGGTCTCAAGTCGAAAAGGAATATATATCCCCGAGAAAGGCTAGATGTGTGGTATGATATCTGTGTGCGTGGGATGTATGCATGTGTGGATAGGCGGATGTAGTGTAGTGTAGGGTAGTAAGTGTGGCATAGGTGAGAGCTACTAGGTAGTCGATACCTACCTAATATATCTTCTATACCCAGGGATAGAAGTCATGTTGATTCAGCTACCTGGGTGCCTACTCAAATACTGAAGGAAAAGACAAGATGAATCATAAGGTTTCAATGCTAGGTAATTAATGCGAGACATGCGAAAACGAAGCTGTCTTGGCCTCTGCCCAGGCACCTAGCAAATAGGTGTAAGTAGTATAGTATATGAAACTTTTGGTACCACTTATTACTTATCACCAAGTGCTTGCTTATGGAATTTCTTGATACAACATACTTATGTAGCATGTCTGCAGGTGTCATCACAATTCCTATAGTAGTACAACCACATAGATTAGGCACATACACACGTAGTAACAGAAACACGCATAAAAGACTTCAATGGTTCAGTAGTAGTGGATTTTATTATAATCAAGTCAAGCAAGTCAAGCAAGCACGCACGCACCAGCCAGCACGCAATGCCTTAAAACACAGCCTTACAGACACAGACGGATAGACAGACAAGACAAGAAAAGACTTGATCTTTCGCCATCCATTGGTGTAAAAAAAGAACTCCCCTAACACTTTAGATATATGTAAGCCCTCAAAAACCACACATCCCACCACCAAATACACGCCATCACTCCTTAGCTTACTAGACTTCAGAGCTCCAGGCTTGCTGTTGTTCTTCTTTCGGGGGGAGAGGGGGGGCCGGGGCCGTTGTTTCCATTCTCCATTCTTTTCACTCTCCTTATTTTTTTTTCCTTCTCCTCCTCCTCCTCCTCCTCCTTTGAATCTTTTGCAACTTGCATCAAAGGGGGCCAGCCATGCGTGCTGAAAGTTTTTTTGAAAAAAGGGGGAAAGAAAAAAGGGGGGGAGACAGTGATTAATTAGAAATGTACAATGAAAGAGCTTTTCTGAGGCAAAGCCAACACCTCCATAAACAGGGGAAAGAGGGGTGTGTTGCGTGTAATGGCTGACCAGCAAACGGTGGTGCAGCAATAGTCCATTCAAGACAGCCAATGCAGGCTTCTGAATGAACAAACCTTGTGAAGAATTGGATGGCAGGGTGGAAAAGCGAAAGTGTAGCCGTGCCGTAATGCTGATCATCAAGTCATACGCAGATCAACATGTGCATTATCATATCGGGCATGATTTTCGTTTTCTCATTTTCTGTGGCCAGATAACAATGGTGAACACTTGCCGCGGCCAGGTCAGACGTTTAGACAATCATGCTCTTAGTCCTTGAATGAACTCGTCTACTGTCAGCACGCTTGCGAAGCATCTCTTCCCTCTTGAGGACAAGTTCACACCACTTGCGACGACCAGTAGGGGCATTTCCACTGTCCTCTTCCTCGCCAACTCGGCCGATGACATCACCCAAGACATCCATCCAACCGTGCTTGTCTTCGCGGGTATCGGCATAAAAGTCAATAATCTCGCCATTGTTGAAGCGGATACGGAAGCCTTCTTCGACAAACATGTAGCCCTCTTCCTCTTCTGCGAATGCAGAACGACGTCTCTTGCCACCGCGACCGGTAGTCTCAGGGTCAACTAGTTGTCGACGGTCATCAATGAGACGCTTGGCATTAGAGAGGTTGATTGTCGCACGAGGTTGACGTGTGGTCTCGTGATAGGCAGTAAGCTTGGTGCCAACAAGCTTGAAGTAACGACGACGCCAGTACTATTTGCAAGGTTAGTAATCTTCAACCACTTCGAGGGACTTATATTAGCATTAGAACTTACAGGGCAGTCACCGCCTTGTTGACTCAAGTGGCCTTCCCAGTTTCTGCTCAGTCTCTCCTCAGCAGCCTTGAGTTCTCGGATACAGTTGTTCATGCTCTTAGGCATTTCGTCATCCAAGGAGCCCTTGGGTCGTGGCACGAAGAGTAGCTGTACTTCGAGTTTGCCGATCTTGTAAGGTGCTCGACGAACGACTGAGTTGCTGGGAACTCCAGCACGCTTGCTCTTGACGCTACTGGCAAAGGCAGCTTCTTCGGTAGCCCACTCATTGAAGGCAGCAATCTCAACCATGTAAGGACGACCATAGCAACGCGACTCATGCTCCTTAAGGCAGACATAGGAGCGCGCGAAGGTACCATCATCAGCTGCGAGTGGGGAGAGTAGATCCCAAGCAGTAGGCACAACACTTCTCTGTTTAGCAGCAGCATCTCGCTGAGCTTGAGCATACGCTTGCTCCTCCGCACGCTGGCGAGCCTCCATTTCCTTTCGCTTCTTGGGACTTGCAAAGACGCGAGAAAAGGCCGAAGACTTAGGCTTTGATACTTTGGTGGGTGAGAGTGGGACATCCTGAGGGGCGGGTCGTTCCAGCTTTACGTTGAGGGTAAGTTGAAATTCAAGTTCATTAGGGACAACAAGCTCAAACTCCTGGCCAATCGGTGCATTGCGAGCCAACTCGAGCCAAGATGTGGTGACACAGTGTACACCATTGTCCAGGGTAAGGCTGAACCATGTTCGTTCATCTGATACAAGGTTAGTACTTCATCAAGACTTACTGGACAAGACAAGCTTTTTGCTTTCTGGGCATGGAACTTACTCTTGGGTAGGGGAAGGTCAAGATCTTTCACACCCATCACCTTCACAAACAGTCTTCCTCTCTCACCACATTCTTCAGTGGCCAGCTCAGGAGCCTCTTCTTCGGGCAGCGAGTTCATTCCGGTTGCGTTGCTCTCTCGGCCAGGCAAAGGTGGCACCTGACCACCAATGCTCGGGCCGTGTCGCTTCTTGATACTCTTTCTGTGCTTACCGTTCCAAGGCTCAACAGTCCACGACTGTGGCCTCTGCTGCTTAATTGGTGAGTTACCTGCTGATCGGGTTCCGGGTCGTGTTTCGTCAGTTTCTTTGTCACTGGCAGTCACAAGCTTTGTATTTTGGCGCATCAGGTAACCGCGCTGTTTGTGAACACCATGGTTAGTATTCTGAGATGCTTGGAATGGTGTGATGGAGAGTTCGTTTTTTGTGGGAGAATGAATTGGGGTTTGTTTTGTTGAGAAATTGGAGGTGGGTTTGTCCTCATGTATGGAGGGGAGGTTACTAGTTCCTACCTTTTGTGCCTCGATAACCCTCTCGAAATCCTGATCGAGGCTAAGTCCCAAATCGAGGTCCAGAGTTAGGCTCCGCTCTTTGAAGCTGGGATGACGTTCGAGGAAATCGTCACCAGTAGGGACCTCAAGATGGCCAGGTGCTAGGTCATGAGAGAGCCGGCTACGATGTCGCTCTGGAATGGGGGGGACTATTGGCGCTATCTCGCGGCTTACTTGTCTACGGGCTTCGCGCATGGCCATAATATCAGAAGGAGTTGCGGAAGGGCGAGTCTTGAGCTTAGATCCGGAGGTGGACTTAATGGTTGCTTCTCGCTCTGGAATTGCCGGGGATTCAATGAGAAAATCCTCAAGATCATCCTCAGATAAGGATATTCCCTCCTCTAGCTCTTCTTCTTCTTCATCTTCTTCTTCCTCTGATACATCGTCCTCTGTTTCGTCCTCTTCGTCATCGGGGACAGGATGATGAATAACGGATTCAGGAGTGCCGGGTTCTTCTTCCTCCTCATCTTCGTCTTCGGGCTCGCCCCAACCGGAGCCATCATACTCAGGCTTTGAAAACAACTTTGGTGGGGTGGCGGGCCGTTGCAGATGGACTTGTGGGTCAGACGTCTTACGAATCTCTGAATAAGTAAGGGCACCCGCGTCCTTGGGCCTTGGTAGCATGTGCGACTGCAAGCTGCGCGTAAATTCCGCATCCTTATACGGATTATTTATCTGCGGTAGCGTCGCACTGAAATTCGTGATGCCGCCTTCAGACACGGGGCTAACTGCTCGAGGAGTTGTCACTTGATCTTCCACAGATTGGCCGGCTGCAGGCTGCGGCTTGTGCATCTCATCTGAGTAATGGCTTTGGCTGTCCGTATCATCGTCGTGCTCATCATGCTCATCATGCTCATCATGCTCATCCTTCTGTGATACATCATCTCCATCCGAGCCATCATCGCCGTCTTCACCGTCCTCAGATCGTTGGTATAGATCGTATACATCGTCTTTGTCATCCTCAGTCTCATGAATTACTACGCTATCCTCCATTTGCTCTGTGATATCATCAAGAACAGAGTCTTCGATGCTAGCAATAGGGACATCGGGGTCGTAAGGAGCTGCGTGAGCAAGACTCGAGTCTGGACCCGGCGAGTTGAAAGTAAAATCAGACTCCCGCTCCATCGTCTTATTGCCATTAACACGTCGAAGGATGGATTGGCGAGAGATGCTTGGAAGTTGGTAATCCATGTCAAGTCCGGATAGATCACCCAGTGTGTCATCTTCCTCACTAGTTACACCATCAAGCTCTTCGTGCCTTTCATGGTCAGGGGTAGGACTCGTAACTCTTTCACGAGCTCCGGCTCGTCGCATTCGACGCTCTCGTTGTTGTTCCGCGAAGGTCTTCGAGCTGGCATCAGATTTGGGGCTAGTCTCATCGAGCATCATGAGCTTTAGCCGCTCCTCCAAAGACATGCTGCCATTGCCGATGTTGTGTAGCTCGGACTTGCTTACCGAAGCTGGTGGCGGCGAGGGGAGACTTCGGGGAGAGCCAAGCATACGCTCTGCTGTGGCAGAGAGTCCGTTAGAAGAAGACGCTGATTGAGATCGCGCGTGGCCCATTCCTGGAAGAGGGGGGAGCGGTCGATGGTCGCTGCTAGAAGCAGACGAGTCCGTTCGACAATGCTGTGACTGTGGTGAGGATGCTTGTGCTAAAGTGCCTTCAGGCATAGGGCTGCTGTCGTAGCGCGCATCTCTGTCCTGACGCCAATCATCAGGACCAACGACAGGGGTCTTATCCGTGTCTTCCAGAGTGGCGTCGAAACTATCGTCTTGCACTTCACCATCTTCTCCAGGATAATGGCCATAGATATAGTCTTCATCCTCGTCGTCTTCAAAGCTGCCTTCTCGAGAGTTGGTTCCAATCGAGGACAGGTCGGGAGTTGCCATCTCATATTCATTGATTTGAGGTGGTGCAGCATCAAAGGTGACAGATTTAGCATGCCGGTGGAGTGATTTACCGCTTGGAAGCTCGTGGGTTTCGGACGCCGGGTCAGAGAAGACATCGTCAGTCTGGGAATCTTGACTGCTCTTGAACCGAGCTGAGGATAAGGATGACTTCATGGGAGAGAATTGTTCTTTGCTTGGGGATCCTGGGCTAGTAACGCCCGGCATTGGCCGAGAGCTACCCTTGGTAGGGCTGTAGGAACCACTATTCTGGACACTGTTTTGACTTTCGGAACGAATATGGCTTGGTCGAAGGCCAGGGACACCGCTGCCAGTGAACGCATTGCCCTGGACTTTAGCGAGAGGGCGCTCAATTGTTGGTATACGTGTCGGGTCATACTCTAGCTTTTGCTCCCGGGCAAACATGGTGCTGTTCTTTACGCGAGATGCCTTTTGCAGGCGCTCAATAGAAGAGCGCCTATTTGGCGAAGGAGATCCATTGCGACCAGCATAGAGATCGTTTTCCGGCCTGCCATTAGCATTGCGATTCTGCCAGAAAAGACGAGGGGAACTGGTGCTGTCCAAGGGGGATGATTGGAATGGCGATGAGTCGGTGTTGAGACCCATTTTCTATGAAATGCGTGTTAGCAATGGATGGTTTGAGACAAGCTGATGCAGGCTAGAAACTTACCTTTGGAGATCCGGTCCAGCTTGGGGAATTGCGTCGCTGTTCTGTGGCTGATATTTCAGATAGCGGACGAGGAATGCTACTCTTAATTGGCGATGTGATGGGTGTGTTGTTCTTAGAAATGCGCAAAGGTTGCGTTACCTAAAGATGGAGTTGTCAATTGGCTATTCCTCTATTTTTCTGCTGGATGCATAATATGTAGGTAGGTTACTTACTGGTTGCTCATCAGAAGCCATGTTGGCAGATAAGGACTTGCAGATTGGGGTTCAATTATGGCCAATTCATGTCACCCAGAGGGGGGATTGAAGAATACAGAGAAAATGAGTACGCTCGCGGCGTTGGCGTGATGCGAAGCGCAATGCCGTTGTGTTGTTTGTAGTATGCGACGTAGAACGATGTCAAAGGGAAGAGTGGCTTTCAAGGAATGCTATTGTGTGTTGATAAGAGATCAATCAATGTTTACACGCGATTCAATCGAGATCTACGTGAGACGGGCGTATGGATTGTTGTGAGATGAGAAAAAAATAAAATAAAAAGAGTATGTAAAATTAGAAGGTCAAGTAGGTAGAGAAAAGTAACCAAACTATGACCAAAGACTGTTTATTTGTTTCCTTTCCTATCTTTTTTTCCCTCTCAGCCAGAAAAGAAAAAACGAGGAAATGTGTGTGGTGAGGATGAAGATGTTGATGGCAGGTGGTCGACGGTTGAGATCGCAGGTGTAGGAGGTTATTTGGACGGCGGTGGATGTAAACAGACTTGAGGAAAGTGGGGAGTGGGGGATAGCGGGCCAAGTCTAGTTGTCCCACCAAAATCACAAGCGCCCGCCGCTAAAATCTATGCAAATCCAAGTACAAGACAACATGTACTACATAATAGGCACTGTTTTCCAAGGGGCTCCCCCAGTTGCTGTTGCCCAGTCAACAATCCTGATGCACGGGCCACAAAGTCGTCTAAGGCCTTTGATTGGTCAGAAAGTTGAATTAGGCTTGTAGATACCTGTGCAACATTATGCAACATCTGAAATCCTGATTCGAGGCAAATGCAAGAAGCTGCAAGAGCTGCCACCTGCATCTCGGCAACCTGCGCATGTATCCAGTCGGTACCTTATCCGGTGTGCACATAGCGATGATATTGGTATAGCTTTTACGTTTAACATGTTTCACCTACTGACCTACATGGTAGTACACACAGAATCCTATGTACCAGACAGGTAATGTTTATACGTACTTTTTCTTTTTCTTTTTTCAAAAAAGTCTCCATTTACCCTGATGCATTACATACACTATACATATGTATTAACTATGCAGATGAACTTGCATACATACCTATGCATACATACATACATACATACATACATACATACATACATACATACATACTACATATGTCCGGTCCTACATACCTACATGTACATACGACATACGAATATATACATACCATGGTACGCCTCAAGATACAATACAACATTGAAAATATCTAACCTAGATAGACTCGACCGTGTTGATAGGGAACCTATCATAGTATGGTTCATGGAATGATCGACACCGACACCGACACCGACACACACGACTCTCCACTTAACCTCTGCACTTGACTAACACTAGCATCGCACCTAGGGACCTCCCAGGTCCTCCCTACGTTGATAGTATTGATACCTAACCTACCATGTAGCTAACTATTACATACAGTACCTGATTAAGTGCCTACATGAAGCACCAAGGAAAATAGGGTAATAGGTAATAGGGTCATCCAGTCACAGCAGATACGAGGTAGAATGTGCAAGACATAAAAAAGGGCATAACAGTCTGAACATGTGAACAAAAGAAGCCGATCTTTTTATTGTCGAGGGCGAGTTACATAAAGTACATAATCATGATAGCTGCACGTACCCGCAAAGAGAACGACGAGTTTGTTGAAAAAAGCAAAAGCAAAGTAAAAAAAAAATAAAAAAAAATAAGACAAATCCTTATCATTGAATATGCACCACCCAATATGAGAAAACCCGAACCCCATGCTCCTTTGGATATCATTCTAGTCTAAACCTGGCCAATTACTCCTCTTCTTCGACTACTTGCTTATGAGCGATGTAGAAGCGGTCACCACCCTTGTCGTCACGCTCATGCTCTAGCGCAACCTTGCTCAGATGTGTGAGGATGTTCTCCATCATAGTATCTTGCGCAGACCTCTTCTTACGGCCGAGGTCGTTGAGGCTCTTCATACGTGTCATCATCTGGTAGATGATAGCAATGACAATGACGCAGGCAATCGAGTACACCCAAACCACCACAATGGTCACGATATCCGTTGCGCCGTTTCCAGACAACTTAGAGGACAGCGAGGCAGGGCTAGAAGGCTCACCCTCACCGCCAGCAAACCACCCGAAAGCAGCGAATAGCGATGCGAGAATATCAACACCGAAGATGGCACTGACCAATTGCCACGAAGGCCTTGTCTCGAACCCACGAGTGACAAAGATGAGCCAGTTTTCTGTAAGCGATACCTGCAGGAAGATGATTTCTTGCACCGAGCCATAGTGCTGAATGACGCCACCTCCCGGGAGCCAAAGCGTGCCGCGAAGGATCCACGTCCCGAGAGCAAGTAGAGCACCAAGTACAACACTAATAATCCAGATCTTGGGGAGTTGCCATTCTACGGGTCGTTTCTCGTAATGCGCAGTGTCGTAAGCAACAGCAATAGTAGCCAAGTCAGCGAATAGTGCCAAAAATACAATAAGGTCGGCGCGGATGGTTTCGTTGATGATGATCATGGTAGTGACTAGGTAGATCTCCAAATGCAAGCAAAGAGCAATTCGATACTGTATATAAGCCTTCATGCGCTGGAAGATTTGACGAGAGATCTTGATAGCCGAGACGATAGTGCTGAGGCCTGGAGCGAGGAAGACGATATCTGCGGCCGCCTGAGCAGCCTCGGTAGCGCCCTCGACGGCGATACCACAGTCAGACTTCTTCAGCGAAGGTGCATCGTTGACACCGTCACCAGTCATCGCCGTCAAGTGGCCCCGTTGTTGAAGCATCTCCACTACCTGGTACTTGTGTTCAGGGAACACCTCAGCAAAGCCATCGGCTCTCTCGCACAGGTCATGGATGGCCGTGCCAGCCATGTCACTGTGGAGAAGCTTATCGGAATTGTAGACCTTGGTTCCTAGGGCCAGCATGCGACACGTTTCCTTAGCAATAGCAATAGCATCACCGGTCAACATCTTGACGGAGAGACCGAGGGCCTGTGCTTCGGCAATGGTTTGAGCGGTGTCGGATCGGGGAGGGTCAAAGAGAGAAATCATGCCAAGCATCTCCCACGGGCCATCTTCCTCTTGGACGGCAACGGCAAGCGAGCGGAAACCGCGGCGGGCAAATTCAGTAGCCTTCTCTCTGAAAAGAGCGGATTGCTCTTCACTGCAGTTAGTCAAGGCCAAAACAGCCTTAGGAGCACCCTTGGCGCAGGTATAACGAACACCCTCATGGGTGCAGATAGCCGTAATTCTCTTAGAGACGGGATCGAAAGGGGTAAACTTCTCAGTCTTCCAGCCTTCGCTGATCATCTCCTTGGCCTTGGGGTATCTCTTGAGAGTGAGAATTGTGATTTTATCAATGGGGTCAAGTGCCTTAATGTTGTGCGATGAGGCCAGAGCTGCGACTGCCATCATCCAGTTAATATCAACGCCTTCCATGACAAAAGGTTCACGGACGGAGAGCTGGTTGGCAGTCAAAGTGCCCGTCTTGTCTGAACAAAGGATATCAACACCAGCGAGCGACTCAATAGCCGTCAGCTTTTGTACGATAGCTTTCTCCTTGGCGAGGTAGGCGGCACCAACTGCCAGGGTGGTTGTAGTGACGACGGGCAAACCAACAGGTACACCGATGATCAGTAGAATGAGAGCATAGGTTAAAAGGTTATTCGAGCTTTCCTCTGGGAACACAATGTTGAGGTTGCGATAGAAACCTCCGATCCAGGCTGCGAGGATCCAGAAAACGACGAGGACGAGAAGAGTAGTTCCGATTGAGTCCATGATAGCCTTGAAGTGACCGGAATCCTTAGCACCTTGGACGAGGCTAGCCGTCTTTCCAACAAAAGAGGCTTGTGCACCAGCAGTGACTACACCGTATGCCTTGCCTCGCTTGCAGCCAGTAGTATAATAGACAGTATCAGTCATATATTTATCAACAGCGAGGGATTCGCCAGTGATAGCACTCTGGTCGATAGCGACTATGGCGTGGCCAATATGGGGGGTGCCTTCATCATCCCCTTCTTCAAATTTCTCCCGACGAGGCGACGTGACGTCCTGGGCTGTGAGTTCCGCTTGATACTGAGCTTGTCCGTTGGGGTTTTCATATTCGCAGATGAGACGGGCATCGCCGGCGACGACGTGGCCTTCTTCAATGATGATCTATTATTGTTAGCGAGTAATCCCACAGGAAACGTTAAGGATAGGGACTCACGATGTCGCCCGGCACAAGTTCCCTGGCCTTGATTTCTATCTCATGGCCATCCCGAACGACGCGGGCTTTCATAGCAATATCACCCTTCAAGCTGGCAACTACATCGGCGGCCTGCTTTTCTTGGTACCAACCAACGACGGCATTAAGCAATAGGATACCGATGATGATAGCAGCATCCAGCCAATCCTGCATGCCCAGAGCAATGATGACAGCAACCTCCATAACTGTTGATTATATTAGAATCAGATCATTCGGTTTAAGCAGCAGACGTAGGTAGTACGAACCATAGAGAACAGGACCGCGGAAGAAGCCGATGAACTTGAGAAGCATGTTCTCCTTCTCAGTTGACAGCTCATTCCATCCAGTGTATTTCCGTCTTCGCTCGACTTCCATCGACGAAAGACCATCTCTGATGTCCGTGTTCAACCAATCAGTAGGAGTCTCAAAGTCGGTCAGAGAAGCTTCAGTATAGCCAGTCTTTCCGCCTCGCCAAAACGCCCACCATGGCCTCTTCTCGTTCTGCTGCGAGAAGTCCTCCTCCCCCACTTCCGCATTTGCATCTCTATATGTGTCGACATAGCGGACCAAGCTAAACACGCTGATTAATACCGGGACTTCTGTGACATGAGAGGGGAAACATACGCTCTATACTCATCCAAGTATGGGTTGTCGCCATGGTTGCTAGTGCTGACATTGTTGTTCCTCTCGGTCTCCGTCAAAAAACTACCAGCCTCTAAGTCCTGATCAGATGCATTGGCCGCCGCCTCAGTCTCAGCGATCGTAGTATCAATATTCTGAGGTGGGGCACTGCCTCTCTGACGACTGTTGAAGGCCTTCATTATTTTGAAATTGGGTGCCATTGTGACCCGAAATACAGCCCAGCTGTATGAAGAAGTGAAAAAAATAAAGGAGACGGAGGGAGAAGAGATGTACGGAGGGTGAGGGAGGAGAGGAGGCGAAGGTGGAAGAGATGAGACAACACAAACCTCATTTCTGAAGGCCGGAGGATGCAGTGCCTACTTATACGAAATACCTACAGGTGAGATGAGCGAATATGTGAAGCCGTCATCGCAAAACTCTTGGCGGCCTGAAGGGTTGCTCTGAAGCACCCCGGGGAAGCCATCTACAAGGTAACATGCTCCACAACGAGAGTAGAAATGCCGGCTTTAGTCAAAGGCGGCAACTTGGTCTTACTCTAGTTGTAGGTATCTAAACCCTCATTCATGATGAAGCCTTGATATCGGATGAGTTGACCTATCAGAGATCTAGGAAGCGTAGTAATGGTGGTAGGGGTCTTTCCGACAAAAAGGCCCGTGGTAAAGTGTCGATCCGTTTCGAGTCGACCAGTGCGGCTACTTCGACATAGTTCAAATGGTAGTATTTAGCCAAGACGCGCGCAAATATCGCGGCTATGAAAATACCTCACCGGGTGCGGTTCATTCGTTGATCGATCTCACACACCAGGTCTGGGGTATCGTGGAAAGTCTACGTAGTCCCCCGGCTGTAGTTTCAGCACTGATGGTATGAAACCACCGCTTACTGAACATGGGAGAGCAGCACGTGACGCGATTTACTATTTATGGTCCTTGTCCATGAAGAAACGTAAAGCGGGTTGGTTAAAACAGAGTCTGGGGATCTTGTGAGAGTAGTAATTGATTGTAGGTTACTCGTTTCGACTCTTGAGAAGGCGTGAGTGCCAAGAGATATACTATCGAGTGATCAACGTCTCTAGAAATAGCTAAGACAAGACAGAAACAACAAACAAACACACTATTAATAGTTTGCGTTTGGCACTTACATAGGACGGCGAATGTTTGGTGTTCTCATGAAGCTCGATGCGTAGCAAGCTCTCTGTTTCTCGGCTTCAAGACTGTGAAGCCAAGTTGGTAGAAGCCGAGCACCTTGCAGTCCATATTAAGCGATTGATGGACAAGGTAGGAAGGCTAGGTAGGCATCGGGATCTTCTGAGCTCGTCCGTCCCTTGTCAACCACGGCACCCACCCACAACTTGGGCCACAAGGCCAACCTAGGACACTGGGGTTAGCCGTGGCAGCCATACTGTATCTACAATAATACCTACATGTACCTACCTACTAGGTAGGTAGGTAGCCAACAGCATTTGCGGTAATTATATAATTATATAACTGTCGAATTCCTTGAAACTTCACAGGGAAGACTTTAAAACAGTCCGCATCGTCTAGCTTCGTTCGTCCGCCCCAAGTTATGATAGAGCAGCCTGAGCAGCCTGAGCAGGTGAACCTACATACGTACTGAGGTCTACGCAGATTATCTCACCTAGGTAATTAGATGATTACCTAGTACGTAGCAGTGTGATGAAACTAGACGAGGTGAAATGGTTAGCTGCTCTGTAACCTCGCACAGAGCTATCCAGACGGGCATTTAGCTAGGTATCACAGCTATTATTTTTAAAGATAAAAGAGATGACTGAACGAATCATGTTGAAGGATGTTGAAGGAGAAGAAAGTAGACGGTTGCTAAGGGGTTTTCTTGGCCAAAACTCTAGTGCGGCCACCCACGACGGAGCGATGTTGCCGTTGCCAAAGCCAAGAACTGAAAAGGCACCAAAAGAATGCCGACATGCCTAAGCGACAGAAGCTTGTTTGACTTGAAAGTTGGAAACGATTCCATGTGCCTGTTTCGGTTTAAAGAGAGATCGTTGTAATTGGTATGTAGCATTGTACGGATGTTCGTAAGGGTCCATAGCTTATTTTTGAAACTTGTACGTAATGAATTGCCAAGTAAATGCTTGATTGCTCATCGACTGCATTTATTGTAAGGAGCAGTACATACTATGCCGTACCTACTACGTTACCTAGTAGCCTCAATCTTAGATTAGCGATTAGCGAATGCAGGGAGCCTGCAGCTAGCAAAATGGTGAAATGGTGAAATGGTTCTTCCACGGTCCGTGCGATAAGATAAGGAATTTTTTTTTTTTTTTGCGACCAGCCCAAGCCAAGTAAAAAAAAAAAAAAAAAAGTTAGAGTCCAGTCCGTTAACAGAAGTAAATCAAGCCAAACCAGTGGCTGTCCAAGTGATCAGTCAATACCAATACAATCGTCTTCGAACTTCTCTGCAAAATCTCTCCAAAGCATCACCCAATATCCCTAATATACTTATTGCCTTTGTGGCTACGTCAACATGAAACGCAAGTTAGACGAGAATAATGAACCTGCTTCAGCGGCAGACGTAAAAGCGTCCAGCGAGAGCGCCGAAGCCACTCCTCCCACCTTCGCACATCTCGGTCTCGACAGCAGACTCCTTCAAGCCACAGCCCGTCAAAACTGGCAAACACCCACACTGGTTCAGATCAAAGCTATACCATTGGCCATTGATGGCTGCGATGTGTTAGCAAAGGCCAAAACAGGCTCAGGGAAGACTGCCGCTTACATCTTACCCATCCTCCAAGCCATCCTCAAGCGCAAACAGGTACGAGCCAACCCTGCAATCTAGATTGCAATTGGCACCCCTCCTTTGTGACCAGACAGTCACTTACCATCATCTAGACTTCATCCGATGCGTTTACTGCCGCTCTTATCCTAGTTCCTACCAACGAATTGGTAACCCAAGTTTCCAAGGTGCTCGACACCCTCACTTCTTTCTGCTCTAGAGAAATCAAAGTGTCCAAGCTATCCGACAAGCTTTCCGATGCCGCCCAGCGCGCCGTTCTCTCTGATTCTCCCGACATAGTAGTGGCAACGCCTGCAAGAGCATGGCACAACATCAAGAACTCTACGATGTCCGTGGAGAAACTCACGCACCTGGTATTAGACGAGGCCGATCTTGTGTTGTCATATGGCTATGACGAAGACTTACAGAATGTGGCGTCCTCGGTACCTAAGGGACTACAGACAACCCTCATGAGTGCAACTCTAACCTCAGAAGTTGACACTCTTAAAGGGCTCTTTTGTCGGAATCCAACGGTACTAAACTTGGAAGAGCCCGAGGAGAACAAAACTGTTTCTCAATACGTAGTAAAGTATGATCTTGCATCCCTCTACTGGTTTATACCCCCAGAACTAACGAAAATTTCAGGTGCGGTGAAGACGAAAAGTTCCTCCTCATATATTGCATGATCAAACTCGAATTGGTGAAGGGCAAGGCAATCATATTTGTCAGCGATGTCGACCGATGCTATCGGCTCAAGCTATTTTTTGAACAATTCGGAATACGGAGTTGCCTCTTGAACTCAGAATTACCTGTCAATTGTCGAATTCACGCCGTCGAAGAGTTCAACAGAGGAGTCTACAATATCATCATTGCCTCCGATGAAAACGAAGTGATAGGCGATGAGAAAGACGAGACAGACCCAGACAAGGAAACCGAGAATGCTGGCCTTGAAAAGGCCGATGAGATCCCAGACAACAATGGCGATAAAAAGGTTACCTCTACACGAGCAAAGAAACGCAAATCTGCACGACGCGATAAGAACTACGGAGTATCTCGAGGCATCGACTTTATGAATGTGGCAGTGGTAATCAACTTCGACCTCCCCCTAACGTCTCGATCATATCTCCATAGGATCGGGCGAACCGCACGTGCCGGTCAAACTGGCATGGCATTATCTTTCGTCGTTCCGCAGGACAAATTCCGAAAGCACATGCCCACCAGCATCGAAACAGCAGAGAATGACGAGAAGGTACTGGGTAAAATCATCAAGCAGCAAGCTAAAAGGGGTCAGGAAGTCAAGCCATACAGCTTTGACATGAACGCCGTGGAGGCATTCCGCTACCGTATGAACGATGCTCTTAGAGCTGTCACCAAAGTTTCCATCCGAGAGGCTCGATTACGCGAACTCAAGCAAGAACTACTCAAGAGTGAAAGCTTAAAAAGGCATTTCGAAGAGAACCCCTTGGAAGTCCGCCATCTTCGGCATGACGTAGAGCTTCGAACAGCGCGAAGCCAACCTCATCTCAGACATGTTCCCGATTATCTATTGCCCAAAGACGGGAAGAAGGCAATAACGCCCACTGATGTCGGATTCGTACCTTTCAAGAAGGTACTTGATGGAAAGGGCAGAAAGGGTAGGATATTCAAGAGCAAAGGCAAGAGGTTTGGCAGTCGTAAGAGTGATCCCTTGAAGTCTTTCAAGGCGAGGTCCAAGAAGAAGTAGGCCAACAATCTGTTACAATGAGTAGGCTAGATTTGTTTTGGTAGTCAGTCCCCTATATAAAATTAATCGCACGCAATGCGATAATAGATACCCATGAACATAAATGAATGCCTACTTACCTACCTACCATTGTCGAGCCCGTAGTACAACGTAGCTAGGTACTTTGTAATTATTTAGTATCCTAACCTTAGAAATCATTTACCCGCCTTGATCTCATCGGCGATCTTCTCAGCGAGAGCGTACGCCAATGCCTAGGGATGGCCCGAAGGGAGCATGGCAAAGGAGCTTATTTGCATCCACAGCCCGCAGCCCGCAGACGCTAATCACCCTGCAATTAATATCCACCCCAGCACCCGGATCGTCGACCCCCCCATTCTACACGTCGCGGGGGCGTGGAAGAGCGTAGGCAATGTCCCCCGGATCGCGTCGTGGATCTGCGCGTCGGTCTGTACAGCTGGGCCTGGGGAGTGAGTGCTCTCTCTGCAAGGTCTTCCAACACCGCCTTGACGGCCTGCGTACAGAAGAGCTAGCGCGCCCGCGTGAACCCGGCGACGGCAACTTCTTGGTCAATAGATAGGGTCGGTTAGCCAGTTAAAAAGTCAACGATCGGAAGGTCAGCTGGCTGGTTGGTTGGTATATTTAACGCCGTGGCAAAGGGGAAAGACCCGCCCTTGCAACCTCCCTAGGGGTATGCGGCGTGTAGAGCTACTCTAGTGTTATGTACATGGAATCCTATTCCCGTGGTATGAAAAGGGTCCAGCGTATCCTACATATCAAACCTTGAAAAGCATACATGATGATGCTCTATCAAGGGAGGTCGCGTCCAGCGTACATTATTCCGGGGTGGTTACTCGGCCACTGTTGGATCTTCCTGTCGGTCCTAATAGGTCTGAGGTGTTCGAGCTCTGGTGAATACATTATGCGGTGTATGTTTTAAGCTTTGTGTCGGGGCGCTTTCGGCGCTGTCGCTGTCAAGCGTGGAAAGTCAGCTGTGTCCGTGGACTGTATAGTCATGCTCTCGCGCGAGCGCACAGTCATCGGCGCGACTAGGAGCGTTATGTAGTTGTACCCGTCATATTTGGGCGCCCTAGTAGACATGGATGGGGCTGGCGTAGTCGCCGTAGTACGCGTCCATCGACATGTAATTAACATCGGGGGAAGGGAGTCGGGTAGGTACCTCGCTGGGGCAGAGCTGTGGTGGCTTTCTTGGAGAGTACGTTCTGCGGGATCTTCTCCCAGGCTGCGTAGTCCATTCCTGTATATGCAAATGGGACTCGGGCCTTGGTGAAGTATTCGACGAGGTTGAGCATAATGGTTGTGGGATCATATGTCTCTGTGTGGATGGTATCGAGCTGGACCCGGTGAGAGGGTCGGTACATGACGTGGTCTTCGAGGTTGTGGCCGGAGTCAATGGTCACTGCCGTCGCTCGTTTGTGTTCGTCAGATAAGATTTTCTTGGTCAAGGCGTTCTGGAATATCTTGATATTGGGTCGGGCCTGATACATGCCCAGGAAAGCTCTCTGCGCAGAGCTCCGCGTTGCAGTGGTTGGGTCCACTGTGTTCGTGTAATACTGAGACCCCAACAGATTGTCACGGTTGAAGTCGCCAGTGGTGAGGATGCCGATATCATAGAAAGCCGTCTCTAAGCGGATTGGAAAGGATTAGACGTTGTTATAGAAGGATACTTGAAGTGGCCCTCCGTCTGGGCTAACGGTTTTTGTATTATACTGCGGTGCTGGACGAGGATTCCAGCTGGTAACGTCTGGAGGGGTGGAATGGCAACTCTTTTGAAAATATGAGAACGTGCTATCGAATATGTATGACTTGTTGTCTACCATATCCGCCCATTGCTGGAGTGATCCAGCGTCTGGATGGATGTACATCATGAAATTCCTCCATGAGCTCTATGAAGAGGTTAGTAGGAAAGATTATGTTTGTTCATGTAAAGCACAAAAGTATTCTTTTTACCTTCCCCCCAAACATTTCCCACATGCATAGTGCAATTCCCAATTATAGGTATGCACCCTTCTGTGGTGTCGCTGCAATACCCCAATCCACCGCCGGGTTTGTGTCCTGAAGAGAGCTTCCAATGAAGACACCCGCGCCAAGTGAAGTCGACGAGAGTATGGGATTTTAAATCTGGTAATAGGTCCCTGCCTGGACAACTACAACCGATACTGTTGGATCCTCGGGCTACCGGGCTGCCAAGGTAAGGATAGCTGTTCCATCGCCATCGACGACGAAATCGTATACAGCTTCCATTTTACCAAATTACCTAGGGCTAGCTGCTATGAGGGTGAAGATGAGTACAACAATACTCAAGTTTTAAGTGAAGATATAATATATACAGTGTAATTAAAAGGGGCCAGAAGTTTTAATACGAAAATGCTAACCTACGATCTAACGGCTCGTTTGGTTTGCCGCTCTGTTGGCACCTAGGGTATATTTAAGTTGGTGATGGTAGGGGAAAGCCATCAATGATGTTGAAGATGTTTGTTAGGCATGGAAGGATAATAGATATTCCATGGAAGTTGTGCTTCGTTCTTTCTTTCCTTCCTCCCCTCCTCCCTTCCTGAAGTTCCTTCCCATGTGCCTGCCCAATAGTTATTTATTCTAATCACAAGTGAAATCACAACCCTAAAAATGTTCGCATTTGATTTTGAACTCCCTTTTAGGAATAATATGAACTACGCTAATCTAATTTGGGTGACTTTTGGCGACTTTCATTATTTTTATTTTTATTTTATTCAAGCTGTTGTAATCCAAATAGGGGTTAGGCCTCCCCTGAGTGGTACTTGACCAGGTCTACCCAGTAAGTACAGCGGGAATATATAAAGTATAAAAGAGCCTCCTGATGGGCCCCTGGGAATATATGCTGGGTAATATAGTAACATATTTTTACTGATCATTTTTTTACAGCAATATAAAGTAGTTCTTGTCGTATCCTAGGCCAAGAAATATGATGGTAGGTGGTATCTCAGGCGTCAAGCACTGAAAAGTATCTCCCCTATATACATAGCCTCCATCTCTTGAAATATCCTGGCCAGGTTGAAGACATGGCAAGATAATTAGTATAGATGAGGCTCATCATGGCCTTGTAGTATATAGTGGACAATAGGGGATAATATATATAAGTGAAAGGAGAGGGTAGCCCTGAAAGACACCTGTGATCTCAAGGATGTACCATCCACCCATTGTCAGCTGAGAGCATGCAGTTCATATCCTGCCATTGGGAAGTCACCAAGGCAAGCGGAGACATGGCCGCAGCTTCTTTGCGACACCACCAAGACCTAGGTACCCTACCCTCGTCGAGCCCCACGTCCCAGAAAAAGTATTTAAGCCAAGTTTTCTCTGGACTTGAATTCAAGTTTCCTTTTCTTCTCTCTTTTTAATCCCACACACACAAGACAGGACCCAAAACTGTCAATTAGTACCGCACTCCCAATTATCTCACAATTAATTATCAACATCATTACAACATGCCTCGTATTAAGCACGTAGGCTACACCACCACCAAACCTCCTGTGCGTGCCAATAAAGGCACACAGTCAGAGGTCACCAGCGAGTCCGACGCTGTCGCGTCCCAAACCATGGCAGAGCCCAAGAAACGTGGCCGCCCCTCCCTGGCTGAGTCCCGCAAGAAGGGTAAGTAATCTATCATCTATATCTACTCACGAAATATTTTCTCTCTCTCTCTTTCATCTTCTACTTGATCATGAGCTTACTCCAGTGGAAACTTAGCGCGACTCGTAATCGAGGATTCGGAGGCTGAGGAGAGTCATGACTCCCAAGCCCCCGCCGCCGTGGCCGGCCAGCAAGCTACTAGTGCCGCTGCTGAAGCTTCTGCTAGTGCTACTGAGGAAGCTGGCGCGGTCGGTGCTGGAGCAGTTGCTGCGAAGGCAACTACTGTTCCCAAGGCCAAAGGCTTCGTAAGTAATCAAACTCTCATGCCATCCTATCATAACGCATTCAAGAGAAAGGAAGAAAATTCATCTTATGGATTATTATCTTTTCCCTGCTTTTTCTTCTTCTAACGGTTTGATTATACAGAGCGAGAAGCCGGGCAGTCAGAAAGACCGCCTCAGAACCATGGCGGTCAAGGCAAGAGAAGAGGCCTTTGTGGAGTCAGTCAGGTCTTCCCTTGCGGATGACTTGGAGAAGAAGAAGGAAATCGAGGATTTAGCTGAAGCACTCTTTAAAGTGAAGATGCTAACCCACATCGGTGGGGATCCTCAGAAGTCGGCACTTTTGCGCCTTTTTAATGAAGGCACCGCGAAACAGGATTTCAAAATCCTCACCGAGACAAAGGCTAGTGGAAAGACTGCTGCGAAGCCGATTCCCAGACGTCGTACTCGGAAGAGCCTTCTTGCTGAGAAGCAGGTTCCCGCATCTGAGCAAGAAGATGATGCCGAGCCAGAAGATGAGAGTTCTGACTTCGAGCTTTGTAAGTCTTCAACCCACACCACCCAACCTGACCATCACCATACTAATTACGCTTAGAATTTAATTCATCCTACGCCAGAACTGTCCAATACAGTCGGAAAACAATCGATGGAATTGAATCAATTTGAGAGCTTAGTGGTTGGTAAAGACACCTCAGTGGGATTAGTGGAACGGATTACTTTCAAGGAAAAAGAGGCCTCAGTAAATTAGTATTCACCTGCTGTAACTTGACAGACCAATACAATAACTGATCGTCCTATAAAACCAAACGTGTCTAGAACTACCTACCTAACTAACCTAATTCTTTCGTAAGCCCTTCGGGAAGTGAAGCTATTCAGACGTGCTTAGATGCTCTTCTCTAGACAAACCACGCAGCTTCTACAAGGTAGGCATTCACTTAACCAGCAGGAAGGGCTACTAAAGCGCTTGAGGCACGCTGGATACTAGGGAAATATTATCGTCGACTACATGATCGTCGCTGTCTACGCCACGCCGTGAACGATGTGTTCGGATTGCTCACCCTCTACCATTTACACCCACGATATCAAGACGCGTGGGCGCGTCAGCCAACACCTACTAGAACGCGTCCCCGTGGTTGTGGGCGTGCGGGGTTACCCTAGGGTTTAAGCGAAGAAAAAAAAATAATAAAAATAATGTCAGCGCACAAAAAGAACCCTCACGGCGTGGGAGGAAAGAGCGAAGCGAAAATGAGGGGTTATGTATTCAAGTATTCCGAATACCTAAATAATTGCTCAGGGGTGCTGTATTACAGGTGGACCGGGATCTGACGTTGGTTGAAGACGGAAGCCGCGGCCGGGTCCGGGTGGGGCCAATCGGGTCTGTGCTCCGAAAACTGTGCCTAATTAGGAAAGGTTTCGGACTTGGACATGGGCCCCCCTTGCCCCACCCCTGCCGACATGAATGAAATGTGGGTAGTTATGTACTTTGGTACATGGACCTCTGCTAATTAATTGATGTACAATTGTACCTAACATCAAGGGCATCCATCCATGGATGCAATGCTCAAAAAAATTAATTGGTGAATTTGCAAGACTGTAGGTACCTACCTACAGGGCACCTTAGTACCTAATGACCTGAAAAGCAGCAGCCATAGTACATACCTACAGTACATATTAAAGCTAACTGGTACATACCAAGATGTAATCCAAGTCTGATGTGCTATCAGCCACACACATACATTTACTTTCATGCGCAATCTAGAACAAAGGGAAAAAGAAACTCCTCTTCCCCTGCCTAAGCTGGCTGGCTGGCTAACTGGTAGTCTGCCTCTTTGTATGAATACTGTCTTTTTCTCCCCCGCTTTCAAGCTTCCCTTGCCCCTCAGAGGTGTTAAGATTAGAAATGATGCATGAGTGGGATGGTTCCGTGATGCCAATTTAGTTACGAAGACCTAGGGAGGGGATTATTTGCCAGAGAACAGAATGTTGATCTTTAGTAAATAGATCAATGTATTGAAGCCAAGTCCCCTTACGGGACAATGGATGCCTTGCTTCGCCATTATTACTCCGTTATAGTACAAGTATACACAATGCAATACCATACATCTTGCTCATGGAATATCCCATGAGTTAGGATTAATTACCTTCGAAGCCTCTCTTCATCATAACTCGTCGGTCTCTGACCCCGGACATTACTGCATCGTTTTGAGGAAGCCGTCTAAATCAAAGCTTTCCTCATACTGGCGATTATCCCAGAGCTCTCCTAAGTCATCTGCCCATGCCTTCTTGCCTGGAGCTATAACGTCACCCGTCTCGACATCCACCATATCTTCCTCTCGTCCTTCCATACTGCCCTGAGGCTTGTCGGATATTAGGCTCGGCCCTGAATCGCCCAGATTGAAAAGGTCCAATATTTGGTCCGTGTCCATAGTTCCCTTCAGTAGTTCATTAGTAACTGTTCTTAGCGAAGCAAGATCTAACACTTACCAATCCAGCGTTTTGTTGATTCACCACGGTGGATGCAACATCTATCTTGAATGCTTGGAGACTGAAGTGAAATGAGATTAGTAATGATCCTATCATTGTGAGAAGCTGTACTAACCTGAGGATCTTCTCTTCTAGGGTCCCTCTTGTAATGAGCCGATATACGTTGACCACCTTCTTTTGCCCAATTCGATGAGCACGATCCATGGCCTGGAGATCTCGTTGAGGGTTCCAATCGTGTTCAACAAAGATAACGGTATCTGCCCCCGTGAGGTTGAGACCTAAACCACCAACACTTGTTGTGAGGAGTAGACAGTCGTAGGACGGGTCCTTGTTGAACTTATTGACGATGCCTTGTCTCTTGTTTGCCTCCACCGAGCCATCAAGTCGTAGATACGAGACAGAAGGAAGCATGCGTTTCAGCACCGTATTCTGGACCATGTCAAGCATCTCTTTCATTTGACAAAAGATTAAGGCGCGATGCGGTTTGATGGGCTGGTATAGGGGGTCGTTCGCATCGGTACCTTCAACGCCAATACCACAATCAACCAATAGATCCTTGAGAGCGGTTAACTTAGGAGCATGAGTAGGATCCTCGATACTGGTTCCTTGTTTCTGGAGGAATCGTTGCGTCTCTTCGTAGAGTTTATTGTTTGGTGTCATCACAAGCGCAGGGGAGTTACACAGCTTTCGCATGTATTGCAAGGCTTGGAATATATGTTGTTTGGCGTCCTTGTCGTCTCGGCCAGCTTCCTCTGTCAGCTTTTTACCTTGCCTCTTGGTGAAGTCTTCGAATAACTTCCTCTGTAGATCGCTGAGGTCACAGTAGTAATTCTGAAGGATCTTTGGGGGGAGGTCGTCAAGCACCTCCTCTTTCAGACGACGTAGTAAGAAAGGTAGAACCTGCTTATGTAGAGCTTCGATTGCTAAGGCGCCAGCCTCTTGCTCCTTCGATGAAGCCTTACTGAATCGACTGGCAGCAATTGGCTTGGCAAATCGGTCCAAGAACACCTTCTCAGCTCCGAGGAATCCTGGCATCAAAAAGTCGAAGAGTGACCAAAGCTCTAGGACATTATTCTGGATTGGCGTACCGGTTAGAATCAATCGATGGTTGCTGGCAAGTCTCTTGACAGCGAGAGAAATCTTTGCCTTCGGATTTTTGATCAAGTGGCCTTCGTCGAGCACCACATAGTTCCAATTCTGCTTTTCGAGGTAATCGGTGTCATTACGACAAACTTCATATGAAGTTATGACAATGTCAGTCGATGAGAATTGAGTGGCTTTAGCTCTTCTCTCTGCGGGTGGGCCAACGAAAGCAGTAACAGTCAAGAATGGCGCAAACGTTTTCAGCTCTTGTTGCCAGTGCCCTGAAAGTGTTGGAGGGCATACAATAAGAGATGGTAGTTTCCGCACATCTAGCGCGCCAGTTCTCTTGAATTCCTCTTCCCTGTTATAATGGTCACTGGCGACGATACAAAGTGTTTGAAGGGTCTTCCCAAGCCCCATGTCGTCACAAAGAATGCCATGAAGGTGGTATTTGTTGAGGAAATGAAGCCAGTTGACACCCTCCTGCTGGTAAGACCGTAGTTCGGCATTGATCGCGACGGGGATCTTGAACGGCTCCACCTTCTTCGGATCAAGGAGCTGTGCGATAAATGTCCGTTCGCGGTCTCTACCCTTCAGCAGCTCCTCCGAGAGACCGGGAGGGTCTGGAATGCCAGCCTCGAGAGGCACAAGTTTGACTAGCGTAGCAAATGATGTTGTAGCAATAAGGCGAATATCGTTATCCGAGTCGCTCATGCGACCTAGGACGGGTACAATGAGGAAGATAACGTAAGGTAGGATGCCGTCGCCCATAACGGCAATTAAATGGTAGATAACCTCTATTGCTCCTTGACGGAAGTGCAAGTCAATAGGGTTATTTATTGAGGGCAAAACATTTTCCACGAGAGCTGTCATGCCTTCAACGGTGATGACACTGCAAATCGTGGCCAGGCATTTCGCAGCCATGTATCGGTAAACGGATAGTTCCGAATGTAACGACTTAATGATGAGCGGAACCTGTTGTATGACGAATAGATGAAGTGCCTTGTCCAGAGTGGGAGTCAAAGTCCGGATAACTGACATGGCATCCACGATTTCTTGGCCAAAGGGATCTTCAGGGTCTTTGGCCTCGGGGGGTAGGTCCCCGGAGAAAGCCTTTACTAAGGGGCCTTCCATGAAAGTCCTCAAGCTTGGAACCGTACCAAATAGATTTGCACCAAATGTGCGAGCGAGGATCTCCAGGGCCTCTTTTGCTCCGCGTCTCGTGATACGAGCGCCTTTAGCCTCGCGCGCGAACTTTGCAGCATCAGACCCGTGATCTACTCGATCCTCTTCTTTCTGCATTGAAAGAATTACATTGGTCTTTGTAGCGTGGACCGGGAATTCAGGCGTCTCGGCGACTTCGACGCAGGAGAACTTAACTAAGTTAGAGACAACCTTGTCTGCAGGACCTCGCCGGCCTTTCTCGGTAAAAAGTTGGACTAATCGTCCAATTGTGTCAGCAGAGCGAGTTTGCAGTTGTTGGTTCTCCTCAAGCTTGATGCTATCCATGATAGCTTTGATTAGGGGACTCGGTTTCTTAGGAAGCACTTTCATGGCGATGAGGGCACATGCTGCCGCGGCCTTGATTCGTACATCGCGCGTCTCCTTAATAGACTGAGCCTCCTCGATGGCTGAGACCGTGGCTACTCGGGCTTCGTTAAGTTGCTGGCTAGCAATCAAGCGTTGGGCTGGAGCCATGATTTTCTTCAATCGCTCGTAATCCTCATTTACATACTTGTCGGCCGCAGAGAGAGAGAATGCGCCCGGACCTGCTTCTGCTTCGCCTTGCACAACGACAGCGAGGATTGGAAGCTTATGCTGGGCAACTTTCCCGTGGTCTCTGAAGAGATTCATGAGTTGCTGGCACTGTGATCGTACGCGTTGAACGTAACTGACTAGATCACGATATTGTGAGGGACGGTCGGAATCAATCATTCTCTGGAGCTCATCTACATATCTTGATGACTGAACTTGAGAATGAGTGCAACTTCGGGCATACTCGTCGATCACCACACACGCAGCGAGTTGGGTGGATGAGTATGATGATGTAAACCCCGGCACGAGCGTGGCATCATAAGAGTCCAGATATTGCGTAGGCACAAGTGACATAATTAAGCCCATTGCTGTGGCAGCTGAAACGCGAGAACGAATAAGTGTGTCCATACCAACAAGGTCCACGTCTCCTTGCATCATATGGCCATCAAGATCGTGCGAGTGAATTAGAGGGGTTGGGTCATCGGTTTTGGTTGACTTTTTTCGTCTTTTCGTAGCCCGTTCTCCATCGGCTTCAGAACCCTTTCGCGTGGATGAAGGCGCAAAGCCAGGCACGGAATACGTACCCCCAGAGGGCTTCTGAAAGAGGGCGCCATTCATAGGTATAGGATTCCTCGGTACTCCTACTGGATGTAGGGTAAGCTGCATCAGAGCATCAATGTGCGGGGCGAATTCTCGCCCAAGAGTATCTGGACTTTTTGCCAAACACCTCACTAGAGCAGACCACAACTCCATGGACATTTTTAACGTTTCCGAATCGCGTTCGACGAGTATGTTTTGGAACGTCAATCGGAGGATCCTACCATCCAGCCAGCCTTGAGACTCTACCCCTAGATTGACAAAAGTCATTAGAGCCTTCAAGACAGCAAGACGGACCGAAGTTATTGTGTGTCGTAGAAATGGGTAGAGTCGAGGTACTAGCAGTGTGAAAGACCTCTCCTCGTCCTGTTCGGCTGAGCTTTTCATTGCTTCCAAGACCTCCGGGAAGCTGCAGAGAGTGGCTAACAGGTCCATGATCTTTCCAGTGCTGGCACTCAAGTCGTCGCCCAAGCTAGATAGACTACCCCATACAATGTTGATAAGTTCATTGAGTGCTCCGGGTCGGAGATTCACAAACTCCTGTGCCATCGGAATTAAAGTTGCCGCACTGACTGATCGAACATCGTCATCGTTGTCGCCGAGGCCTTTCATGACTGCTTGGACTATGCCATCAATCATGTCATTGCGTTGCAATAGTAAGTCTTTCCTAACAGCGACAACATATCGCAAACCAACCATACCACCGTGACAAACGGCCCAGACCGGCCTCTCCAAATCGAGGTGCTGTTGCATTACCATCCTCAGTAGTATCTGGTAGATGTTGTAAACAGACTGCGGTGGTAGATGTTTTAGGAACGAGCCCAGAGTCTGGCCCACGGTCTCTCGAATTGGCGCAACAGATGTATCGGAGGCATAGTCAGTGAACCTGTCGAGCATGAGCACGCAGCAAAGCCGGCAAGCCATGTCATCGAGCCATTTCCTGTTGAGGACATTATTCTCAGCTCTCGACTTGCCTCTCAAACGGCCAGCACCGGCACCGTGCACTCGAAGTATTTCTCGCAGACCTAATGCAGCACCGTGACGTGTCTCCCACTGCGGATCAAAGATATCAATCTTGAGAAACTCGCATAGACGTTCGTAGGGCCATTCCGATCCTTGCAATTCGTCTTCTGCTTCGATTTCCGATTTGCTGGCGGCAATGGGTCCTTTGAATTCCGAGACAATCTTAGTATCTTCATCAACGTCGGCTGGCCGATCGAGACTGAAATAATCAGTTTTCCCGTTTTTCTTTGTATCGCCATCCGGCAAAGGGGTGTCATCGATTCCCTCAGACCCGGCAGTGTAAGAACGACGAACGGACAAGTCACCGAAGCCGCCCTTTCCTTGCGCAGCCTTTTGCGCGTCTCTCTTCCGCTTTCGCTTTAAAACGTTCAGTTGTCGGGCACTCAGGCCAGACTCCTCCGTTGGTAGGCTAGGTGTAGAACCAGACATGCTGTCCTGACGTGCCACCCCATTAGTAGTCGTAGTAGGGTCTTGCATTGTGAAGGGGCTTGCGGACTTTTCAGCAGTGATCGGGACCTCCTCATCTTCGAATTTTCTACCGAGCAATCCCAGGCGGCCAGTGAGAGTCTTTCGTTGGTGAGCCAGTCGTGCCTGAGGCTCAAGACTCGCGAGTCCATAATCAACATTACCAGTCCTAAGTAATTCACGGCCATATTTGAGTATAGTCGAGACGTTTAACGTCTCCGGTTTAAATTCCTCGTCTGACGACGAAGGCGATTCGTCATCCTCCTTCTTGATGTGGGTAATTTCGCCGCTGTATTCTTCATTCTTTACTAGGGCTGGATCTTCGTCCTCATCCTCATTAGGATCGTAGAAAGGGGCATTCTCAATAATCCGACCCAGAGCCTTGGCCGAAGTTGCTCGGGTATCCCAATCTTTATGACGAAGATAGGGTACAACTCTAGAGAGTAGGTTGAAAAGCTCCTCGGGATGCTGTTTCTGCCAATCTGCCAGTTGGTTCACAGCAGTGTCTTTTATCAGTTTAGTACTGCCCGTCTCGAGGATCCTGTAAGATAATAGGTTAAATTAGTCACTAAAAACAAAGCAATCATTAACATATACTTACGTGACGAGACGATCGAGCCTATAAGATTATCCATGTATTAGTTCGCATTCCTTGACTCAGTCTATAAGTGAATAGAGAAAACTCACCTGGACGTCATGTTCACAAGTCACACCGAGGCTACAGGGCCGATTCCCAATAGGAACTCAACTCATAATAGCGATCTATAAATGAAATATTAGTATTACAGATCTTAAACATTACGTAGCAGACTACTGATATGTGCAGGAGTTTGCGGGCTGTGGTTGAAATGAGAGGGTTTTGGTTTTGGTTTTGGGTGTAGAGGTTTCTTGTTTTCAGAGTTCGCGCAGTTGCAACTAAGTACAGATAGTGAGGCTATCGTGATTGAAGTTGCTATTTGCATAACTCTTAGCCAACGTGATCCCAATTGTCTCTATGTGTAGCCAAGCCTTTCCAAGAGATCCATGCATTCCTTTGAAGACATTAAACTCCAATAAGCACTTGTTCTTGGCGAATCTAGGTGTTGCGCCGTCGACGGAGATAAGGCACTGGAACTAAGTTGTGTTGCCTTTTGTACGCAGCTGACTAACAATCATGGGGAGGGAAAACGTGGATAACGACGTAGTAAACGGGATATTAGTTGGGAAGAGAGATGCACGGTGACGATATACCGTGTTTTGCAGGGTTGTGTATGTAATAACGATAAATGCGGCATCAAAGCCATGAAAGAATGAATTAAATGGGCCAAGAAAGAAAAAGAAAAAGAAACATACCCTGCAGGCAATATCGCGATGCTGGTGATCGGCGTTGCAGCAACTAGGTCCGTCGCAGCGAAATACTTTATCTAGTTACTCATCAACAACAATAACAATGACTTGATAAATCGATGAAACGATTTGATGAGATGGTTTCATCAGACTTTGATGAGTTTAGGAGGATATCAAACAGGGGATGTATGCGCAACAACTCTTGTATGAATGCGAATATGAATGTGTGAACGTGAACGTGAACGTGAACGGGATATGTAGATGTGGATGTAGATGTAGATGTATAATATAATCGAGTAGGAAGTGAATAGTGAATAGTGAATAGTGAATAGAAGAATGGCGAATCAGATTGTCCAAGTTCGGTTCGTGGTCAACGTCGCCGTTGAATCAAGTTACCTAAACATTGAAGTTCAAAAAGGTTGCTGCTCAATGGCATTGGGTGGAAAAGGTGGATGCGACAATTCAAGTATTGATGGATATGGATATGGATATGGATATGGATATGGATATGTAAATACCTTTTTTACTTTTTAATACTTCAACATCAATTCGTAACTTAAATAAAATAATAACCTTGAAGTAACATGAATAGCTGTTGCTTCCTTTAAGGTGGTTCGTGCGTTCGCGCTTGATTGATCTTGATTGATCTAGGTTGGCTGGCTGGTTGGCTGGTTGGTTGGCTGGGCAGTTTTGGGGGGCCGGGGTGTTGTCGTGCCTTGTCAGTCAGCAAAAAAGAAAATATGGCGGGATGTGCAGCAGTAAGTCGTCGCAGTCGCAGATGAGGGCACCGGCTTCCTTAATATTCCTGTACGTATGGATACTTTTATACACGTTTGGATCCGCCTTGGGGCCTTCCTGTTGGCCTGAGCGCCAACCGTAAGATAGCAACCTTTCCTTATTGGGTAGCCCCCACCACCTGTCATGCAGTTGCCATGGCTTGAGTCAGCCCCGTCCACCTTGAATAAGCTCAAGAACACGCGTAGAAACCTTTTGTCCTGGGGAAACATCGATGTAGGTAACTATGTATAGTACCCAGGTACATAATTAACTCTTTGCCAGCATCAATAATTGAATGTTTAATCTCAAGTGCTACCTTCGTGCATTACAGAATCATGATCGCTACTAATGCATCTTCTAATAGAGAAGTTCCAAGGCCTCCAAGAGTATTCAAAGCAGCATTTGCAATTGCATATACGTATACCAATCTATACATACCTACCGTGAATCCAACCTTCAATGTTCCTAGGGAGGTGTTCATTCAATGTTCTACAAATGGCCCTTCCATACATACATATGTAATGCATCCTTCAAGTTGTACTAAGTTGTACTATGTACCTAGATACGTACTTTCGTGCTTTTCCCGTCTAGGTGCGAGCTTTTTCGCTTAATCTCTTAGTTTACACGCTAGAGGCTAAAGCCGGCAGGGCCCACTTCTCGAGAGAAAATATGGTGGCTTGTTGGAATGACGAGCTTCTTGGCTTCTACAAACTTTTTACATACATACTAGGCATGTAGTACCGTGGACCAGGGCCACTGGACCTACCTACATGATATATGTATGTCAAAGGTTCAATGTTTCAATGCTACATGTAATTACATACATACCTACAAGTAAATAGAGTATGCGATATTAGGGGTTGGATTGGAAAGGAAATATCTTCTTGGGTATGTATGTATGTATGTATGTATGCATTCATGTGTTTGTGGTCATCATCGTCAACAAACATACCGAGGTAGCCATCATTGGTTTCTCTCATACATATCGAAAAGCACCATTCTACACTACTGGCAATCTACCCACACATGTGCAGTTTCTGTGCTGGAAACCTTGGCGCAATCGACTAAACTATGTAAATCGCTTGACAAGATACTCTAATCTGGAAGTCAACCTTGCTTACCTAGGAGCTTGATGGGTATTTTGGGGTCACTAAATTCGCACATCACGATACTCATCTGAATAGTGAATAGTCTACCAACACATTTCTATATATCATGTCGAAATTAATAAATTAATAATTAAATGTTTAACATGTATTTGAAACTCGAGCAGGAGTGGTGGGTCCAATATTATTATGTTCCTTCATCGGAGTTTTTCTTTAGCTTGTATGAATGCATGCTCCCGTGCGTGAGGCTTATGGCGATCTCAGGGGCAGACGGTGTTACCTGTGTACCTAACTCTTATACTGGCTACCTAATATGGAACACATACATAGGTATGTAGGCATCGACGTCTATTCGACGATACACAGGTATTAGGAGGTGGTCATTCTTGCGAATTTGAATATCTCACAATATTGTAATAACGAAAGGCAGAGATATGAGGTGCTCCTAGTCAGCCACAATGTGTTTGCCAAACTTATTCGAGGCATAAGATAGGTAAGATGGAACCCCGTATGTATATCCGTTTAAGATCAGATACCATCTAGTATACTTCCTACATCAAGTCTTGTCGTAATTGAGGCTCGAAGGCAACGAGAAGCGATCAAGGTAAATGATGAAACTGGAACTCGTAATGTTGTATTGTCGAAACTGATCCTACATACATAGTAAAACATTTACGGATTCATCATGGTCCTAGGTGTCTGCACAGCCACAAAGCCACAAAGCCACAGCTTATTAACTTGAACCGTTCCAAGTTCAAAGTTGACTTGATCAGGTACCTAGCCTCACCTTAGGCTTATGTGCGTAGCACAGTACTAGCACTAGAGTCCCCTAACTCCAAGTTTGGAGCCAGGTATGTAGCTTCAATGTTGCGCCAAACAGAGCTAAGAAAAAAAAGGACCAAAAAAACCAGAAGCGTTAAGTACCCAAGGTCAATATTTTATTACTAAGTTACTTAATTCGGCTCCCCACCTCCAAAATCATCGCGCTTCAAAACGCGTCGGCAATTCATTTACGTGACATCTTCAAGGTTCGACGACTTCTTTGTACCTCACCTTGTCGCAACTCTCCAAAAATTTATTTTCCATTTTACTGAATTTGCGCGACGAATATTTTGACACTGACTTCGAGCTGCCCGACCGGCAGCACCCACTGTGACCATGTATATTAAACAAATTATTATCCAAGGCTTTAAGAGGTACGCGATGACCAGCTGTGGACGGCTTCCTTCGAGTATATCGCCGCTCTGTGATGCTGATATTTACGTAGCTACAAAGACCAAACGGTCATGGAGCCCTTTTCGCCTGGTACGAATGTTATTGTTGGTCGTAACGGTTCTGGAAAGAGCAATTTCTTTGCCGCCATACGATTTGTCTTAAGCGATGCCTACACCCTGATGAATCGCGAGGAACGTCAAGCACTACTACACGAAGGCTCAGGCTCAGCAGTAATGTCCGCTTACGTTGAAGTCATATTCGATAATAGCGACGACCGATTTCCCACCGGAAACAAGGAGGTTGTTTTACGGCGCACCATCGGTCTAAAGAAGGATGAGTACTCGGTCGATCGAAAAGTCTCTACCAAAGCAGATGTCTCAAATCTTCTCGAGGCTGCCGGTTTCTCAAGGTCGAATCCCTACTATATCGTCCCTCAAGGGCGAGTCACCGCTCTCACCAACATGAAAGAGTCGGAACGGCTAAACTTGCTGAAGGAGGTCGCAGGGACTCAAGTCTACGAGTCCCGTCGCACAGAATCCCTCAAGATAATGACAGAAACCAACAACAAAAGAGACAAAATTGACGAACTTCTCGATTACATCAAAGAACGCTTGAGTGAGCTCGAGGAGGAAAAGGAGGAGCTACGCGGCTATCAAGACAAAGATCGTGAACGTAGGTGCCTAGAATATGCGTATTACCACAAGGATCAAGTCGCTACGCAGGAGGCTCTAGAGGAACTAGAAGAGTCGCGACAGGGTGGCATCGAGGACACGGACGAAAACCGCGAGGCTTACAACGCGGCAGTAAAAGTCATCGCTGCCCTAGATGCCGAGATACACAAACTTCAACAACAAATGGAACTCCTTCGTATAGACCGTCGACAACTTGACGAAGACCGTCGAGAAAGTGCCAAGGCCATGGCAAATGCCGAACTAGCAGTCAAGAACCTATCGGATAGCAAATCTTCTCAAGAGCAGGCCCAACAGCAACATGACGCCGAGCTTGACGAAGTGAAAACCGCAATAGCGCAGAGGGAGGCTGAGCTGAAAAAGTTAATTCCCAATGTTGAAAAGGCGAGGCTGAAAGAGGCAGAGATCAAACAAGCTCTCGACTCAGCAGAAGCTGGACGACAGCGTCTCTTCACGAAGCAAGCACGGGGAAGCCAATTCAAGAGCAAGGGGGAACGAGACGCATGGCTCCGAAAAGAGATAGACGACCTGAATGTGACCTTAAGCCAACAAAGAGCAAACCGGGTTGACGCTGACGAAGAAGTAAAAGCCGTTCAAGCTAGCATCCAACAACTTGAGGACGAGATTTCAGCTCTACGACAGAAAAATGAAGGGTTTGGTGGGGATCGACTTGCCCTCGCTGAAGAGGTTACCAACGCGAAGGACGGAGTTGATAAGCTCAACGAGGAGCGAAAACTACTTCGTCGAGAGGATGACAAGCTAGAAACCATCATCGCAAACGCCAGGGGCGAATTAGAGGGTGCCGAACGAGAACTATCTCACACCATGGACCGGGTTACTTCTCGAGGTTTGGCTACCATCCAGCGACTAAAACGCGAAAATAACATCCCTGGTGCATACGGTACACTAGCAGAGCTCCTGGAGGTCAGTGAAGCATACCGTCTACCCGTTGAGCAAGTAGCTGGTGCCAGTCTGTTCCATTACGTGGTCGACAACGACGATACCGCAACGTATCTAGCCAACGCTCTTCAGAGATCGTACGGAGGCAGGATCACTTTCATGCCCCTATCTAGATTGAAGCCACGGAGTGCAAACCTTCCCAGGGCCAACGATGCAGTCCCGTTGGTTAGCAAAATCCAATACAACGCCGAGTACGACAAAGCATTCCAGCAAGTTTTCGGCAACACAATCATCTGCCCCAATCTCACAATCGCTAGCCAGTACGCGCGCAGTCATGGTGTGAACGGTGTTACTCCAGATGGAGACACTTCCAACAAGCGTGGTGCAATGACGGGTGGCTATATCGACACACGAAAATCACGTCTTGAAGCTGTTCGTGCTGTAAACAGGTGGAGAGAGGAATACGAACAGTTGAGATCCAGGGCAGTCGGTATACAGACTCAAATAGAACAGAAGGATCAAGAGATTACGAACGCACTAGGAGAAGAGCGCAAATTAGCGCAACGACTTAAGCAGATGGAGGATGGCTATGGTCCGCTTCGAGCAGAGTTAAATGCCAAGAACAACCAGGTGGATCGTGAAAGAGATCGACTTGATGCCGCGATGAAGCGACGAGACATCGTCGAACGAAACATGAAGCAATTTCAAGACAATCTAAGCGCCCACCAGGCTGAGCTGGCTTCAGACTTTAAGAAAGTTCTGTCAGCTGCCGAGGAGAAACAACTCGAGTCCCTGGGTGCCACTGTGCAGGAGCTTCAGAAAGAGTGGAACGAAGTGAGCAGCAAGCGAAGAGAGCTTGAAAGTCGAAAGCGGAAACTAGAATTAGATCTACGAACGAACCTCCAGCTCAAGCTCGACCAACTCACTAGCCAAGCATCTGAGACTGCTTCGAGTGGCAGCAGTACCTTGAAAGAAGCCAAGCGAGAGCTGAAGAAAACCCAAGCAATGGTCGCTTCAGTTCACAGCAAGATTCAGGCTAATGATCAACAGATCGAGGCTGCCGAGTCTAAGATTGCAAGTCTGGAAAAAGAGAAGGCAGAGAAAGAGGCACAGCAGCAAGACATTGCAAGACAAATCAAGAAGCAGGAGAAGCGAATGGACAAGAACAGGCAGATGAAGGCTCTGTTAACCACAAGAGCAACGGAGTTGGCCAAAAACATCCGCGACCTTGGTGTCCTGCCGGAAGAAGCGTTCGAAAAATATGAGAGATATGATCATAAAGTTGTGAGTCCGACACTAAGTAATTATAATCATATATTTAATTTCTAACTAACTCGGTGTCACAGGTCGTCTCGCGTCTAAAGAAAGTCAACGATGCTTTGAAGAAGTACAAGCATGTGAACAAGAAGGCCTTCGAACAGTACAACAGCTTCACCAACCAGCAAGACCAACTTCTTAAACGCCGTAAGGAACTTGACCAGTCGCAAGCATCTATTGAGGAACTAGTAGCCCATCTGGACCAACGCAAAGACGAGGCTATCGAACGCACATTCAAGCAAGTGTCCAAAGAGTTTGCCACCATTTTCCAACGTCTAGTACCTGCTGGCCATGGCCGTTTGGTCATCCAACGTAGAGCCGATCGACGAGTGGACCCGGATGATTCGGATGAAGAACAGCGCAGCAGCGTGGAGAACTATACAGGTGTTGGTATTAGCGTATCTTTCAACTCAAAGACCGCAGATGAGCAACAACGTATCCAGCAACTGTCTGGTGGTCAGAAGAGTAAGTGTCGACTTCAATACACCTGCCCCCCTTTTCTCCCCCTTTTCTCCTCCTTTTTCTCCCCTTCTTCCCCCCCTCTCTCCATATTGTGAAACTAACAGATTTTATTAGGTTTGTGTGCATTGTGTCTGATCTTTGCGCTTCAACAAACGGAATCCAGCCCCATGGTTATCTTCGACGAGGTCGATGCCAATCTTGACGCACAGTACCGAACGGCCGTGGCTGGGCTCCTCCAGTCCATCTCATCCGAGGCCGGCACCCAGTTCATCTGCACCACGTTCCGACCGGAGATCGTGCACGTTGCCGACAGGTGCTACGGAGTGCTATTCCGCAACAAGAACAGTACCATCAACTGCGTGAGCACAGAGCAGGCGCTAGATTTCGTCGAGGGCCAAGCCCCGAAATAAGATTGGATCTGGAGAAGGAGGAAGAGGGAGGGGCTTCTTGACGTGTGTGTGGAACGTGTATATGGTACTTTTGGCGACGGAGTTCAATAATTATTAAGTGTCATGTTTATACCATAAGGGGGGGCCTTAGGAGAAACAGAGAGAAAAGAGAGGGACTGTTATCGCCATGTCCTTCTTGTCTGCTATGCTATATGGATGATCTTGCTTACCTGCCTAATGCTAGGAAAGAATGCTAATGAGTATATCACTTGGAAACCTTGCGATCGAGAGCGAGAGCCTTTGACTGAACTAACTGCGTAGATGCCTAAGCATGACGAGGGCGTATCAAGTGATCTTGCATGACATTAAACTGGCCCGGGATAGTAGTAACAGCAGTAGCAGCCTCCTTTCCTTAGCCTACATACTTACATAACCTTAGGTTACTTGTAGAAGACGATGCGAATAAAATGCATCGCTAGGCTTTGTTTATTTACGCTAATAACCCAGATCTGATATGAGAGGCTCGGTCAGCAATGCTTTCAAGCTAGGTCGTTCGTCTACCAGCCCCTTATATCCTCCTATGTTGCTCTTCCGTTTACTTGGCTCTAGGTAGATTGAATTGCATCGACGTTAATATATTCAAGTATCTAGGTTAGGCAAGGAAGTATTTAAGCTACTCCAGTGAGTCAACGTGCCCTAATTTCCTAGCCAAGATAAATGCCGCCTCAAAGTTGACAGGCAAGCAGGTGCCTTACTAGGCACCACCCACCCACATCACGCCACCGAGCTCAACCTCATCCCCGCCAACCTCCCCGTCCATCCGGAACCCTCCCCCCCAACCCTCTGCACCGGCGCCTCGACCGCGATAGGCGTCGACACCATCCTCTCGCCATTGATCCCCAGCGCCGCCAAAAACTCCTGCTCCCCACCGACCACTTTCCCCGCCTCCGGCAACGGCTCATCCAGGGCGGCCTCTTGCACGACGGCGAAAGTCTGGTTCCCGCGCCCGATGAGGGACAGGTCGAGCCAGGTGCCTAGGGGTAGGGACGAGTCAAGGCGGTAGTAGTTTCCCGACGCGAAGAGCGTGAGGGTGGAGGTTAGCAGGAGCGCGGAGTCGGTGCCGGAGATGAGGGTGGCATCGTTGTTGCCGCCCGGAGTTGCGGTTACGGAGTCGATGCGCAGCTTGAGGGTGAGCGTGTAGTCGCGGCCTTTGGAGATGAGCGGGGTGTCGAAGGAGCAGGAGGGTTCGATGAGCAGGGTGGAGTCGTCGTCGGAGAGGGCGCAGGTGGTTGTGGCGTCGTATCCGTTGCCTGAGGCGTCGGCGACGGTGGTGTCCTCCCAGGTGGCGATGGGCGAGAAGTGCTGCGTGCGCTGCGCGGACTTGCGGGGGTCGTAGTCGAAGATTGTCGAGCCCGCGTCCGAGCGGATCGCGCGGTCGAGGTTCTGGCCGGGTATGTATGGCAGGAGGCTCGGGAGTGCCTCGGAGAACTCCGGCTCTGAGAGATCGCCGCCCCATTGCTTGTCGCTCAGCGCGGGGATCCCGTCTTTCCAGGCGTAGTAGGCTTCGGAGAAGACGGACGCGTTGGCGCCGTAGTCGTTCCAGAGGGGTGCGACGGCGCCGAGGACGAGGGCGTTGGAGCGCTCGGGGTTGTTGGCGGCGACTTTCGCGTCGAACACGTTCGGCTGCCATATCCCGCCCGTCGCCGGGTCGCCGGTGAATGTCCGCGCGATGTTGACGACCTGCGGGTAGCTCCCGGAGTACTTGTTGACGACGTAGTAGGTGTCGTCGGAGTTCAGGACGGAGTAGTTGTTCAGGATGTAGTCGTAGTACGGGTTGTCCGCGCTGAAAGTCCAGTGTTGTACGGAGACGTTCTGGTCGACGTTGGCGTATTCGGGTTTAGGGGGGAAAGTGCCCCAGATTCGCATGGATTTTCCGGACTCCTGGTATATATAGTCTGCCATTTCGTTGACAAATGTGTTGTAGTCGTTGGGATCTCCCGTGTACTCATCTGCGCCAATGTGGACGGTTTTGGAGTGGAACCAACCGAGGAATGTGCTCCAGATGGTTTTCATGGTGGGGATTGTATCTGGATGCGAGATATTCAAAAGTGACAAATCATTTGCCAGTCCAAGCTCCGGCTTCCACTGAATTATCACAAGAGCATGTCCGGGTGCCTCGATCTCCGGGATGATAGTTACTCCTCGGGAAGCGCAAGCAGATTGGATTCCCTCGAACTGGTCTTTGGTGTAAGACTCGTTCTGATACTTGTTCAGTCCGGCAAGATCTTCAGAATCAGACCATAGACGAAATCGAGCGTATAAGTCTAAAGACTCCTCTCTCGAATATATAGCAACATTATTGTATAGATTATCGCTAAGATGCAGGTGGAAGGTGTTTTGTTTGAAAAAGCTCATATAAGAACACATTTCAATGATAAACTGTTCACGAAGTCAGTGATTTTTGGCAACTTACGTCTCCTACCTCGATTCATCATGTTGATAAATCCATTGCTAGGTAGGCATGGGAATACACGTACCTCTGGCGGGTAATAATGCCGGCCGGCGTCAAGCATCATGCCCCGAATCGACCACCCAGGCGCGTCGTCCCCCTCTCCATAGGGTAACGAGCCCTCCGAAAGAGCGGCCTGTTGCAAGATGGTCCGCGTTCCCCACCACACACCTAAAGGACTTGCGCCTGATATGACGATTCCTGTAGAAGTGACCGAAAGTGTGTAGCCTTCATGTGTCTGGGCGCCGCTTGCAGAGGCGTACTTGCTAGAATCTCCCAGAGTGAGGAAGATAGCATCTGGAGCGCTCTCTTCAGCAGTAGAAACCTCAACATCAATGTTCAGGGTGCTACGAAGATCATCCGCGAATGTTTTGGCAAACTCTTGTAAGCTGGGTGGGATCAGTGTCTCGCCGGATTCATCACGACTTTCAGCAAATTTGGCGTCCACCACCAGCGCTTTCAGGGACGCGATGGAGTAAGTACCGTCATTGGAAGCGGTAAAGGGAACAGTAGGTATTCCCACGAGTCTCGAGGCTACAAGAACGGCTTGTAAAGGGGGTTAGTATAGGAGGGGATGGAAATGGTGGCTTATCATGACTAACCGTTGCATAAGGTGGTTAACCATACGCAATATAGGTGAAGTAACATCTTCGCATTATTTAGAAGTAACGGCGGTGGGTAGATTAAGAGTTACTACATGTATAGGTATATATATGCAGCGAATATATTATGAAGATTACCAAGGAATCAGGGGGTGCCTAGACTCTACCTTTTCCTCCCCGTGAGGTGACATGGCCATGATTATATTTATGATCCCCATCTTTGATATATCTCGGTACCTTCCCTGCCGACATACATAGGTATCCATGGTGGCTGATAGATAACTCAATGATCGTCGGAAGTCTAGTAGATAGTATAGCTATCCATGATGCAACGTTGGAGAGCGGGGATGATAGATGGTTACCTTCATTGATAACTATTGACTGTTTATGGAGTTAGTGAGGTAGCAATGCCACCACCTTAGCTTTTCATTCCCCGGCCTTGGTTTTTGTTCGTGTTGAATTCCAAGTTGATCAAGTTGATCAAGTTGATGTTTATTCTAAGAAATCAAGAAATTCAAGAAATTCAAGAAATCCAAGAATGAGACTTGCATGTATTATGTAACCTGCATGTTTACATGTACTTCGTACCCTACAATCGTTCGATGCGTCACAATTTTCATCTGCCGTACCTGCCACCATCTGCTCATAGTACCCACTTAAATAAGGCAAGCTAAATAAGCCCAGGCTAACATTAAAATCAATCACATAACTAGGCACGTGACTCAGATTTTTGCATACTTTATTTGACTTTATCACTTACTACAACTTCACGGCCTCACATTCTCAAACTCCGAATAAATATAAAGCATATCGCCAAAAATATAAAATATATAAAAGAGATTCAAAAAAGACACAGTCATGGTTGTAATACTTGGCAAACGAAAATCACGAACAGGAAATACCAAGCCTTCAGTATCCCGAGAGGAGGCTCAGGCTATATTCCAAAAACACTTCGAGGCGCAATTCGCCCCCCTAGAACCCTCACAACCTACATCAGAAACTACGCCAGCAGCTTCTGAGTTCGAGGACTTGCGCTCCGACTCGGAAAATGATTCCAATGATTCTTGGGATGGCCTATCAGGCTCGGAGTCAGATTCAGAAGACTCACCAGCCAGCACAACAGCGGTTGAAGTCGTTGAGGTAGTCGCACATACCAGCAAACTACCAACTCTATCTGACGACCCTCTCCTCAAACGTGAGAGCAAGGCATACCTGTCCTCTCGTATACCCTCTTCCACTATAGATCCATCTGCTTCATCCGTCCAACCTAAGCAAAAGTCCGCAAAGGCCGCAGACGAAGATGCGCCGTCACTTCTGAAGAACGACCTGGCGCTGCAGCGTCTACTCTCAGAATCCCACCTCTTCTCAGGTACCCAGGCCGAGGGAAGCATAGAGCACAAGGGCCGCAACCGCCATCTAGCGACGGATCTCCGACTATCAGCACTCGGTTCTAAAGCCAGCATCTACAAGCAGACCAAGATGCCCATGTCGCATCGCAAAGGGATCACGGCCGCCGTCACGTCACGCGAGACAAAGAGGCGAAAGGAGGCCCGCGAGAATGGTGTAGTTCTCGAGCGTCCCAGTGCTGCGGGGGTTGGCAAAGGCAGGAGCAAATCTAGGAAGCGGGAGATCACTGTTGATGCGCCGGCGGTGGGAAGGTTGAGAAATGGCATGTTGAAATTGAGTGAGAAGGACATCGCAGAAATTCAGGCAGATAGTAGAGGGTCTAGGGGCAAAGGTAGTAGAAGAGGGGGGCGGAGGTGAGGTGGTGGTGGGGTACAGAGCGTGTACCTTAGGTGTGCCTGAGGTTGGCCAACATTGCTCCTGGGGCACCAATGTGTGAAATCAGCGCAATCCGACGCGAAGGTCTGGAATAAACCCCGTAAACCTTTTCACACAACTCGTTCTTCAAAACAAAACACCTCCGCACCCACAATCATCCTTCCGAGTTCATTAATACACGTTTCTTTCCAACATTTACAACCGTCTCTCCAAATCCTTTAACCCGCCGCACATTATTCTAACACCTACCTACAACCACCGTTCCACATCCTCAACACACATTAATAATCCATTCATCCCTCCATTTCAACATGAACTCTGAAAACCAAACTTCCAACAAAAAACCCTCCAAAATGCCTCCTGGTCGACGCCATAAAAAGGTTCGATCCCGCGGAAAGGGTGGACGCGGCCGCGCGCCCATGATGATGATCAAGGGCCTCCAAACCATTGTCATGCAAGAAGAATGCGAAATCAAAGCCAAAAAAGAGAAGGCAGAAGAGGAGGAAAAGTACATGAAGATTTACGAAGCGAACAGACGAGCGTGGTGGAAGAAAATAGCTCGCCGCTATGCCCCCAAAAACCACGCAACCACTGTCCAGACTCCAGTTGCTCCCACAGGCAACGAGGAAGAGGACTCTGAAGCTGATACGAAAGTCGGCATCGCCGCCGCCGCCGCCGACGACGACGACGACGACGACGAGGAGATCTCGCCCGAAGAGCGCGCCATGCTGGAGTGCGAGGCCGAGCAGGCGCAGTACCAGCGCGCGAAACTGATGATCCTCTGCCGAGAGGAGGGCCCGATCCCCGAGATGCCGTGGGAGCCAGCCCACAGCGTAGAGTTCCTTGTCGACCTGCGCGAGTTCATCCTGCAGGACGACATCTTCATGGCCGAGCTCGATGCCCCCCGCAAACCCGAAGAGGAGGGAGAGGGAGAGGGAGAGGGAGAGGGAGAGGGAGAGGGAGAGGGAGAGGGAGAGGGGAAAAAAAAAGAAGACACCACCCGCAAATCCGAAGAAAAGGGAAAGGGAAAGGGAAAGGGAAAGGGAAAGGGAAAGGGTAAGGGTAAGGGTAAGGGTAAGGGTAAAGGTAAGGGTAAAGGTAAGGGTAAGGGAACGGGAACGGGTAAGGGAAAGGGCGAGGTCAAGGGAAAAGAAGATGAAGAAGTTGAAGAAGAAGAAAAAGAAGCCACCCCCCCACGCCCCCCCCACATCCTCCCGCACGTGGGCACCATCCTCCTCGACGAGGACGAGTTCGGCGCCTGGACATACCAGATCGAGACGAAGATGCTGCTGGACGAGGCCGCGATCGGCTGCGCGCGCGCGCGCTTCATCTACGTCTGGCGCCTCATCCACCCGACCGTTCAGGCCCGCATGATGGAGGCCTTCCTGCGCGCCCACGACACCGGCCGCTTCGACTACAAGGACCTCGTCGAGGCCGCCTACCTGAGCTACGCCCCTTGCCTGCGGGACTGGTGGTTCCTGCGGGCCTTCCAGACGCGTAGGCGTGAGCCGAAGCCGAGCTGAGCTGAGCTGGGTACGGACTAGGACTAGGACTAGGACTAGGATAGGATCTTGACATTATGGTGGACTTTGCCTCCATGGCCACCCCCCTTCGTGTCCCTACAGGCGCAGAAGCAAATGAGAAAAGGGTTGCATCCGAGGTTGGTATTATCATGAGAAGGTTCCGCGTATGTGGAAAAGGGTAAATACGTACGTAATATGACAAACCAAAGACATGAAAGTACTAGGTAGAGGTTTTATGGCTGCGGATGTGTGTCCTGTTCAGCCTACGATACGACAGGCATCACACCTACCTATCTAACCTAGGTAGTTCATGTAAAATATTCGCTCCGTAAGACTGATGATTATCATCACGGCAATGTACAATTCAAGGCACCACAACAAACACTTCAAGTCCCTAGGTTAGTAGGCACCCCTAAAATCACCTTGTGATAAGTCAGTCCCCTTCTCTTCCTGAGCACCTACCTGAAAAAACACTCGACAGTAGAGGTCAAAATTTTCATCTCCTTCCACGTGACAAATAGGCAGGTAAGTTCTGCAAGACTCATCCCTAAGAGTGAACATGTCATCTAGGTCTATGTCTATGAACATACCTAGTATACAAGGCAACAACCGTAACATATAAAACACCAACAAGTTAAACGTGAATATTTATTGAATCTCAAAGTTTGTACGACCTAGTCTTCCATATGACTTCCAACACTTTGAAGAGTCGAAGCCGACCCTAAAACCTGGTATCATCTCCCATAGCTCCTCCCTACAACCGGTCCACGAAGATGAAGTGACAAATAGAAAAGTAAATATATATACAGTTGCATGAAAACCTCTCCCTTGCCCGTCCGCCTCTTTTCGCCGCTCATGAGAGATAGTCCAGTTATCCTCTGCTTGAAGCGGTTGTCCATTTCCCCATCGGGCCATCCACAAACCCGTCTATGAAATAAATCGAATTTTTGGTATCCCTCGTTGTAAAGAAATAAGCAAGTAAAACCCATCGCCTTACAATGTCAAAGTGTCGAACAAGACTCCTCTAGCCCACGCTTATAATGAAGTCCCCGGCTCTACACTTAATATGCCATGCAAAATCAGAACGCTCAACCCGAGTTGACTGCCGTCATAGTGCGACAGCTCCGCCTCGTCATAATGCATTCCACAAGAATCGAATAGGAAAATGCAACTACATTGCACCCGCTGGCGTACTCATCGTCATGGGCATACTCAGCGTTTGCAGTGGGTTAAAGGATGATTGCGTCATGCCGCCCGTAGCAAGGCCGTTATTCGATGACGATCCATTTACGGAGCTCATCGAGCTGGGCATATAACCCGATTCCGAGTTAGGGGAGGCTTCCTCCAGCGAGCCAAGTTGGTCCTCGCCCGAGAACTCTTCCTCATCTTCACCCGACAGAGCGAGCCCGCTTTCACCGCCTTCGCCGCGATCGTGTGTGCGCTTGTGTCTGTGACAACGTTAGCCTCATGTATCATTGATAAAAACTTGTCGCTCCTGATGATGAGTTGATGTAGGTACTGTTGAATGCCTCTGACGTGGTTTGGTTCGGATTGGTTGTTTTCGGTCTGATTGCATATCGCACAAACATCGTTGCTCATCACAGGATCTTCAAGTTGACAAATGAAATACAGGTAAAAAAAAGAATTGGAGCCATACTGTGCTAGGTTGTCGGATCTAGAGAACGCCTTGCTACAATAGGGGCAGATGTAGGGTCTTTCTTGGGTATGTGTTCTCACGTGTCTAGATATATTCGGTCAGATACACAAGGTGCACCACGCAAGCAACAAAAGAAAGTATTTGATCTTACCGCTTCAGGTGCTCGAGGCGCTTGAAGAGACGGCCACACGTGGGAATCGGGCATGAATGGGATTTCTGGGGATAAGGTCCAAGCTCCATGACTGTGGCCGAGCGAGCTCTGCGGACCACGCTTGAGCCAGGCTGCATTACTCGATGCTCGTGCATTGAGCCGTCGCCATTCAAGTCCTCGTTCGTGAAGGAGGGGAAGTCTTGTCGCTGGAGAGACATGGGATGCAGAGCAGGACTACCTTCCACTGCCGATAGTGGGGTGCCATGTCTCGACATTTCCATGTGCTGCTGGTTGCCGAGGGAGATGGTCGAGTTGCTGTAGGAAAGGCCAGGAGGAGAGTTGCCTTGCGACTCATCGCCTTCAGCGACCGGACCAACAGATGCAGAAACGGATCGTCTCAAGTCGGAAGGTCGGTGGTGAGCAGCCGCTTGAGCCTGAGCCGTAGCAGCGGCGATTGCCGACATCGAAGGAGGAATGGATGAACGCCGTCTTCTCTGTTTATATGTCGGCGAGCCTTCGATTACAGAGTAGACATTGTTGGTACCATAGCCACGGGAAAACTGAGGTCCAGCTAGGTTAGAAGGTGGAAGCTGCATCATGCCGTTCAACCCATTTACACCACCCATGTGATCTGGGATTGCAGTGTACAATCCAGTCTCCTCGTTGGCGATGTAGGCGGGTTCGGACCCAATGGCTAGGGCTTGCTGAGGGGGCGTGATTGGCTCGTACGAGATTCCTCGGTGGCTGTAGTCATCGTAGACGAACGATGGCGCAGGTGAGTATTCGAGACCGAATGGTGGCATCGATGCATGACGATGATGAATATGAGCGACTGGCACACCATTCTGGTTGTACTGGACACGGTTGAAATCAGGCTCCCTCTTGATCGCCTGTTGCATATGCTGTGGCATAGCCGGAGCCATCGCTGCCATCGTGTTGTATGGTCCCATGGCGTCCATCCCATCCGCTAAAGGGGCCATCGTTTGAGGCATCATTTGCGGGGGAGGCATAGGGTCCATGGCCCTCATCACCGGGGATGGGGCCTGTGACTGAGAAAAAGAAACTTGTTGGGCGTTGTTGAATGACGAAGAGTTTGCTTGTTGAGCTTTGGTCAATTGCTCGTACAGAGACTGCGACGAATCGTACTGGAACGACAGGGCGGGCTCGCTAACAGCCATAGTGGTAGCCTCCTGGCCCATCTTCTCCCTCTTCAAATCCCGTTCCAGAGCATCGAGGAAGAGACGGTCGTGCGGTACGCTATACCAATAAAAGACCTTCTGTTTCTTCTGTGTCCGAATACAGTTGTTCTTGTAGAGAAAGTCTAAGAACGGGCTCTTGGGCTCTTCCAAAGAAGCATCTGTGCCGGATTTGAGATTACGGAGGTCAGAGAAAATGCCCTCCTCAAACTTCTTCGAGTTCTTCACAGGGCGACCAAAGGCCTGGAATCGAAAAGAAAGACATCGTACGATATCGGTGCCCGATATGTGGAATAAGTTGTTCCACAACACGCAAGAAACATACTCGCCCGTCGGCAATAAGAATCGTCGAATGTACTGATCGGGCTGCCAGTCCACGGGGGCAGATATGAGGAAATATTTCACTGCCATCAATAATAAGCAACCAAAACCCTAAGGAGCTTTTAGTTAGTGTTCAGTCACAACTCACAATTATCTACTTGTTGCAATGCTACTTGCGCATCGTGTGGTAAAGCTTGCTGGGCCTCTGTGCTGAGCATGAAAGTCTCGGGCTTCTGTGGTGCTGATGCTGCCATCGCAGCCTGTTGTGAGTACATGATGAATTATACAGCTGCCTTCAATATGGCACTGATGTCCAGAGCGTTGGCCTTTTGCAATGACCAATATCTGGTCGGATTTGGCGATTAGATTTTTAACAATAACAATAAGAAATTCGTTCGTATTAGCTCGTCTGTGCTATCGTCGTTTCCAGATGTCAATATCACGGATCTCCAAAGGCACTGCCTTTCTTCTTTCTTTAAAAAAGTGATCCGTCGATAGATAATCTTGGGGTCAGCGTCGTTGGATTGATGTCGAGTCCAGCCCGTACAGAAAATTTTTGAATTCTTTTTTGACGATATTAAGCAGCCCCCAATTTGCCTCAAGCGAATGGGTGGGCGTAGTCGTCGGCGCGAACCTTCAAGGTGACGTTTGGGTGATGAAAAGATGGTGAGCGGTCCAATTGCGATCCTACGGTCTGTGGTATGCGAACCGTGCACCGAGAATTTTCTTTATAAGGCGATGCCTATGCAGTGCGGTATTTGCGGTCTGTTCCGTAAGAAAAAAATCAGTTGCATCTGCAGGTATGTCCGTCGCCGTTGTGTTGATAGTTCGCCAAGACCACGTTTGGGAAATTCGATTTGATAGATCGAATTGGATTAAATCTTGTTTTTTATTTGTAACAGTGATAAGAGGCACGAAAGGGGTTCTGCTGTCAAATGGACGAAACAGAAAAATAATAAATAAACAGGATGCTCCCAAGGATCTAACAAGATGGACAAAACGTGGATAGCTGGTCAAATATGCGACGAACTAAGTCTGATGATGGGCTACGGTTGTGCCGGACAGTCGGGATTTACGCTCGTTATCAATGAGAAGAGAAACGTCTCGCGAAGGCGGAGTTTAGGGGAGAAGAGAGATAGGAGTTCTTCGTTATGTGTGCGGGCTCTCCCCAAAAAAAGAAAAGAATTAGGAGTGATTTGTGTAATTGCCTGCAACACGAGAGACGGGGTGAGGGTAAGGCGTAAAAAGGAGGGAGAAGGGAAAAAAAAGAGAGAGGAGGGGTTCTGAATAGAACAAGTTGATCTTGCGAAGAAGACTTCAAGTAAGTAGACAGGGTCAAGAAAAGGAACGGGAGGAGAGGAGTTCGGGGGGGTTTAATGATTTCCGCTGGCTGGGGTGTCTCTTTTTTTTCCCTTCCTTTCTTGCCAGGTCTCTTAGGTCTCTTACCAGGTCTGGCCGGTGCAGTCGGGTAGGAGAGAAGAGATTTAGAGTGGAGTGGGCGGAGAAGAAAAGGAAAGGATGGATAAGTGCTAAGGTACCTGTTTACTAGGTATTTACTTAGGTATTTACTTAGGTATTTACTTAGGTATTTACTAGGTACTGGGAAGGTAAAGTATGCTAAAGGAGGAGCTAATGCACATAAACCAACTAAGCGAGTGCATTGCTCTAACCCGAAGGGGTAAGGTACTCGTAGTTGTTGCATTGCTTACCCAGATGAGGAAGTACATATTATGGTACATTTATGTAGTATTTAATTTCAATGTTAACTATTCCTCAAGTTCCTCTATGTATGTAAGTACATAATTACTTCAATGTTCAATGTTCAATGTTCAATGTTCAATGTTCCTCCAGATGCCGCTGGCAGGGGTCTTCTTCTACATACTGAACATTTAACTAAAGAAATCCAAGAGTTGAGATTGGGCACATTCAACTTCATATGTACCTAGTAGTTATTTCAACGGCGGTCGTATGTTGTAAACTTGTATTATATACACTCACTATTTGCATACTCATAGTATACTATTATTAATACCCGCCTTTTCGTCTTCTTGATTATTTACACACAAAATCTTTAATAAGTGTTTGGAGCTGTCCTCGACAAATCCATACCTATCATCTAACATAGTTTTATATGTATGTGCCATCGAATCAATCACCCTTGGCTAGAGAATTGTGGCTGCAGGATGAATCCGGTACTCAGGGTGAATAGTAGGCTACAATTTCAGCTTACTCCGCGCCATGATTAGGAGTCCAGGCGAGAGAAATGCTTTATGTTCCTTCTGATAATAGTAAATGGCGATATAGTATTCTATGGGGAAGCGCCGAAGCCTGTTTAAATCACAAGTGATAAAATCCAGTTGATAAGAGTTCAATCGGCTGGAGGCGTTCGTCCGGAGCAAGTTTGACCCAATTCCCAGAGGTGCTCCAGAGCCATTAATAAGAACGGTGGCTTGTGTCGATAATAACTATGTAGGTACGTATTTCGTACACAAGGGTCAGCCCTCGGCTCCTTTTACGAATGCAGTACAGCGTAAAAGAGAAGCAATCTCAGGTGCAGTCGTTCGACCCAGCCCTATTTCGCTAGATGCTATTAAATTGCATCCATACTTACCTAGGTACATACTGTATGTGGTATAAAAACGAATTTGCCCCTTTTCCGGCACATGTCGTAATCCAGCTGTTCTTATAAAATACAGAGTCCCGCTCCAACATCTTTCCTTTCCCCCTACTTCGTATGCACCAATTTTGCAGTCATATCATGTATGCATTACCGAGGACAAAGCGCCTGGTTTTTCTCCATCAGTAACATCTCTTAAAGAATTAGAGACCGACGATCGTGTGTGACTATGTGCGCCTCGCCCGAAATCATCTTTCGGGGGATATCTCTAGCTCTTCCACAGAAGGCAGGGATGGTTAAGTGACAAGAATGAATAGACGGGCGAGTGCTACCTTGGAAGCAGGTTACCAGGCAGCTGCCAGGGTCTATTTACGTGGAGTCGTGGACTGAGCACACGGTCCTTCTGGCCTACCCAGTGCCCACTCCATCCCATGCTCATGCTTCGCGGAGTTCCCTCGACTTGTGCTAATAACGAATTTATGCACATATTCGCTAGTCCGCTAGGTTTGCACTGACGTGATTTACTACTCTGTATGTACATATCTACCTAGGGTAGGGTAGGGTACATGAGGTACCAAGCAGGTTTCCCTTTCCATGTTGCCATCTACAATCCAGGGGGATGTTGCGGAGTTAGGTGCATAAGTGTGTACATATGTAAGTCGTCGACATGCCATATGTATGTATGTATGTATGTGTGTAGAGCTTGAGCTGCACCACACATATGTGCATGTGTACTTCGTACATGCTTACACTATCTACTTGTCGACCGTAGTATTCAAATACATGGGTCGACTCCTAGGATAAGAGAGAAAAGGCATCAAAAAGATGTATATCCTTATCATCAATAAACTATGCCTTGAGGTCGTATGCTATTTTCGTATTGGTGATACTAGCCTCGATATGAAGAATCGTCCCTAGTATGCTATTGGCTTACATGCTCCAAATGAATAGGGGGCTCGTCAAAAGTTAAGGCAGCGTGTATCACGAAGCTCCTCCAACTATGGTATAGTGACATGGCATCCCACTGTAGTTTATTAAGCTGCGTGTTCATCCAGCACAGTTGTAAATTCGTTACGCGGCCATATATATTACCTAGTACGGTACACATTTCCCCCATCATCGCGGTACTTTGGTACAAGGCTATCAAATATGCCTTTTGGCATACCACAAATGGCGGATATGAATGCAACAAAGAATGCCACAAGACAGTCTTGACCCTGTTGGACCATTGTGTCTCTGGATTGGTTCATCAGTTTTCCCTGTGCTCAGTGTGCTGCCCTATTTTCTTTCTTTGCTAATTATTTGAAGTCTTAGACAAGCTCTATTACATAGTACAACAAATGCAAATTCGATTGGGGCGATGGGTCAGCGTGTAATCTCCGTGTGCTAGTGCATCGCATATGACAGGAACAAGGTAAACCGCAGGGGAACCTATTCGAAGCGAAAAAGGATCTATTACCAGTCATTGCAATCTTCGAGCATTTGAGGCTATGTGATAGTTAACTAATTGAATTTGAGTAGCTACTTACGAAGGTTGAATTTTGACAGACACACACATAAATTACATGGCCAGTGTCGATGTCGAAATGAAAAATCACGAGAATAGTCTGTACATGTATCCATATGATCGTGATATTATTAATGACAATTAAAACACATAATATTATTTCCACACATTGACCTCAAAACTAATAATAGTATGTACTACTAGTAGTATGTAGTATGTAGTATGTATGGCCATGTAGTTAAACTTAGCGATATATTATATTAGTGCTACATGGTTGCAAGGTTCTCTCCAGCGAATTAGCACATTCAGCGGCTGCTTTAAGCGGAGCAGTTATATCCAGGTACCTAGTTAAATGTATCTACCTGTAGGTACTAGGCAGCCAGGGCAGATGAGAAAGTGCCCATGTGGTTAGTGCATGTGGTCAGTGCCAAAGCATGTACCTGCCCAATCCATGATAATTATTCGTACCGAAAGGTGCCAAGAAGGGAAAACGCTGAATGCTGGGTGTTACCATTGGTACGCGGATCCCTCTATCCCTGTGAACTTCCAAACTTCCCTGTTACTACCCTGTTATTCTGAAACATGCCTGGCGCACTGCTTCAGAAAATGGAGCTAGCACCAGATGGCAAGCGCTAACCTCTCCTTGGATCTTATCCATCCATTTCACCATTTTCAATCTTCAATGTTCATCTTTTGTGCAATTGCATCCTTTCCGTCCAATCAGCATTTCCAACATTCCCATCTAAGCTCTATATGACAACGCGTCATCCAACCAATACAACCTCCAACCTGCCATTGATCAACTTTACCCTTACCCTACATACTTAGTTAGTAGGTTAGTAACTTGGAATACTACCTACCTAGGTACCTAACCTTCTTATGTAGGTTAGCACTTGAGGTTAATATAGTGTACTGCCATACTGTAGGGGTACTATGCAGTACACATGTGCAGGTAAGAATAGGAACATTAATCAATACTACCAGGAACCGTACATGTGTATTCCTCCACATTCATGCATGACATCGCATACATGATAGAGAGCCAGCAGCGGAACAAGCTCCTGCATTGACCTTAAGCTCTTTGAAGAACGCATTCTCTCCATCTAAGATCTACTATTGTCATAGTGCATATACAAGTCCATTGATTCTCGTGAACTATTACATATAGGTGTTTAGGACCTTAGGTAGGTATGGATGTATATGTATGTAATATGATCCAATACATGGCCGGATTATATTCCAATGTCTGTGCAACCTTGGAGGCAACCTTGGAAACTTGCAAATCCATTCCGTCGGTAAGGGACCCGTCCCCTTCCCAGGTTTGTACATAGAACACCTATTTCAAGGCTACGCCCGCCGGCTCCCATGTCCCGCGAATGTGTTCCCTAGCTAGTAGCCTTATCCCAACACAATA